TTGATATGATGAGCCATTATGGAACAATTTTATAGAAAATGAGATCTGTATAAATGAGAATTTTATTAGAAATGTTTTCTAAAAACCTTTATCGGCCTGATTCCACTAATAGAATAAATGTTTATAAAAAATTCAAAGGTCAATCAACATCTTCTTATATTATTAAGCTGGCCTGCTTTTTGTTTGAATTGTCGTTTAATAATATATGATATCACCTGTATACTTTGTCATAATTATTGAATTTTGAGATAAAAATAATGTATGAATTTGTTACTATGTGATGAACTACTGTGGTTAATGTGACACATTTTATCGATACACCATATGTTCAAAAATACCTCTCATTTTTTATGTTCGGTATTTCATATAGATTAGTCCTACTCGATAATTTTATCATTATATCGCATATCACATAATCTATAACTCATTTAAAAAATTGAATCTCAACGCTTTGTTGATTTACTAGTGTAAACAAATATAAAATCTACTATACCCAATACTACGCAGTAGTCACGAATGAGTAGTTGCATTATAACGAGTATACAGTAACTAGGTAATATATATTATTATAATATCAATATGACATATTTTAGTAAATAAAAATCGCATTTCAAAGTTATTTCTTCGCATTCAAGTGTTTGGTATAACATCAATTAGGTTTACAATTCATTATAATCATTGTTAACGTTTATTTTTCTGAAGATACAAAATAGATACCTATTTTGTATATTATTTCTTTCGACTCGTTTTGGGTCAAGATCAACTCGATCGTATACTACATCAGTCGGTCTACATAGCTTTTGCCATATTATGCTTTTGCCCCTCTATTTAAATAATCTCCGGAACAATAATGCACAAACACGAAACGATAAGAAAATAGTACTATTTATTTATGTAAATACTAATAGTGCAGTTTTTAAGTAAACTTATTTAAATACGTAACAAATATCCCAATACTTTTTCAGTATTCGATTATTTATTTCAAATATGAATAATACTTGGTAATTATTTTATTTGAAATACTCTGCAAAAATATTTGTATTTGATATCAAATAGGCCCTTGTATAATTTTTTAAATCATTATTTAAAAATTTTTAAGAACTTTATTTAAAATGTTTTATTAATTTTTAATTTAAAAACTTAGTTACTAAGTTACAAGTTCCTAAATAAAAAAAAGTAACTAGTTACTAATAAAAAATGTACAAGTTAAAGTTACTTCTTACATTTTTTTTTTTGTAAACTGACTTTTATTTTTAATTATCAGTAGTTATAATAGTTAATTTTTTTAGAATTACTATTACCAATTTCTGAAAAAAAACTTGCCAAATGTGGCCATTTTAATTTTGGCTCAGCCATTGTTAATTGTATTGGTAATTGTTATACTATAAGAATATTAAATTATATAATTTAGATCACTTTATCACTTTGTCAATTCAAACATATTTATAAGCCATCATATATTCACATCAGATGACCGGTTTTTGGAGGAATATATAAGATAACCTTCATGAATTGACATTAGAAACGATTTGTCCATAGTAATAGTACGTTATTAAAATGTTATCACGTTGTATTATGTAAAAATGAATGTGTATTGGTACTGATACACCTTCGTAAAAATATATATATTTTTTGTCCGTCATGATAGGTATATATCAATATACTCGGGGAAATATCGGTGACACTTCCTTAGGGTTTTTGTCACCATTATAAATTAACTTAAGAATTAGAACTTATATTACTTAAAACAAATTTCACCTTATTATGTGGAATTGAAATTTGCTTCCCCCCTCTCTCAGAAATTTTCCGGAATACATTCGCCACTATAGTGGTTATAGTGATGGAGACGGATCTCACTTCTTATTCGTAAAATTATCAATCCACTTTAATTTAATCCTACGAAGTCTAGGGGGACGCTTTAATAATTGTCACTGGGGATTTTTAATGACATTTTAAAAATCAAATTATTCAACAATTATAAGATTATACGTAATTCGACTTACAGCGTAATATTTAAGGAGGGGGTGCAGTTTATTTTTAAACCCTAATAGTATTTTTATGAACACATTTTTGTGAGAGATAAATATTGTCTTTTCTTGTCTTTATGATAGATTTCCTGACATTTTTGTTAGATTTAGTTATAGTTCTCAGAAACGCCCATCAATTTTCAGTAATTACAGTCTCCCTTCACAGTTTTTCCCGTTTTAACCACTGGCCGCCACTGATATTGTTTACATTTATTAAGATTAACCGGTAGATATACCGGTATAACTGATAGGTTGAAGTTTTGATCGATTACTTTAAAATTTTAACATTAGATGTTTTTTCTTTGAAAAAACCCCAATATTCCGATCTATAATGGCTGATACATATGATATCGATTTATGACATTATTCACAACCACTAAAAATTATATTGCGTAGAGAATAAATTGTGGTGATTAGGTTGAAATTATAGAGTTTAAAGTTAAAACACAGATAACTTTATTTTAAGAAAATAATATTTTTAAGGGAATTTAATGAAACAAATATATTTTTAATACAAAAAAATTCAGCTATTTTTATTTTTTTTTTCACAATATTGTTTTAGAAAAATAGTAGGTACCATAGTATAAAAACGGTTATCAAGTTTTATGTAACTACCTAGGGTATTCTTCAGAAGTATATAAATCCCCTAAACGTCAATCCACCGACTTTATATGTATGCATCATCGGTTTTTTTTTTTTTTAATGCGTGATCTATTAAAAAAAAGGTTAAAAACGTGGTGTACAAAATGCATGATAACCATTTGATAAGGTCAGTTTATTAACGCTGAATTCGAACAATAAATCATGTATACAATACTGTCTAACTATAGTAGATGGATAGAAGTTTAGTAGAAAAGTATACTGCGTATCTGTGTATCATTATTTTAATATAGGTATACTGGCCGAAAGTATACAGTGTTTTTTTTTTCATAAATCAATCGTTTCTTTGGTTTACGATTATAGTTCGACCAAGTGCACATGTTACCTATCCATACTCGAGCTGCGTTACATTTTTATTTTTATTTTTCCGGTGTTTTTTATACGAAAAACATACCTACGTGTGTAAGTGTTTAAAATTTCAGTTTTAAAATAATTGGTAAGTAATTTATATGATTTGAACACACGCCGTAATAAAATATCGCCCGTCGTCGTTGATATCACGTTATATAAATTATTATCAATAACTCGTTTGCCGCGTCATTTATATTATTCGTCTACTTTTTTTCATTTTTGCAAGAACGCCGAGAAAAATAGAAAGAAAAAAGTACGATTCGCGTAAGTATATGATTTGGATCATTATCATCCTAAAACTTGATTACATAGTTGGCGAATCGGTCCGCGGTCGTTTGACCTTCACCCATTAAGCTGTGCGCCAAGTATCCGATTATATACTGCATTTAGGTACTATTACTGAACTTAAATGTTTCAAAGCGTTTCGACTGTAAAATTATATTTAGCGGCTGGGCAACCTAACCTAACCTAACCTTCAATTGTATGGACTAGTCGGGCTACGTATAAATTAAGTTATGTGATTTAGGTATTGTAAACAAGACGAATAAAAACGATTATTATTAGTCGAGTTTATTTTGTTTGTTTTTTTACATCGAATTTGAAAAGAAGCGATAGTCAATATTATATTATTACATAGACCAAGCCATTAAAATCGAAACACAAAACGGCTAAGTCTTCTTGCTGATGTCGAAATGTTTAAAACGCAGTACTTTAGATTGGTACCTCTATCGTAACAATAATTATTATACAAGCACTATAGCTGAGGCGAACCTAGGTATTGGTTATTAATAATCTTGTTATTAGTCGGTACAAAATATTCAAATATTAAAATTAATTATAACCGCTTTACGCCGCCAAACGTTACACTCTCATTATTCTGGTAGCTAATGGCTATATTCTGCAGTACCTACCTATTATATTATAATAATATATAAACTCGAATACACAAGCCATCGGCATAGTTATATTATTTTAATCAGACGTATCTATACCAAGAAAAAATGTATTGCGCTACTTGTTGAATATTTAGAGAGAGAGAAAGAGAGAAAGAAATAGAGAAGGAAATCGTCTGTATATGTCGATTATCATCAATGATGTGCCTGCACTATCCACGCAATATTAATATTAATAATGTGTATTTTGATTTTGTTTAGCTTTTCTACAGGTTGGGTAACTTGTTATTTTTTTTTTAGCAATGACACGATTCGCGAGTGCGCCAATTGAATATCATAATTCATAATACAATGTTATTACTCCGATAAATATCAATTTTAGCAAGAATGTAATAAAACACATAAATCATAATAGTATTATATACTCGTATAATGTAGACCCGAGTTTTCCAACTTTTTAGTACACGTCTCTTTTTAGATTTTCAAAAATTACACCACTCATCCATCAATTTTGAAAAAAAAACTTTTGGTCTTTTTATCTGGTTATATATTAGACATAGATAGGTATATATAATAATATAATGCTAATATTATTGCAGTGTTATAATATTGTAGGGCGATATTAACCTTCTACACAATGCTGTACTTAATAATTATATACGATGCAATTATTACTTTAAGTTTTTTTTAAATTATATTTCACTGTATGCACTACGCAATTATACATTTCATTGCAATAAACGATAGATTACTGGGTGTCTTACAGTGTTATCCTTATGCTAATAAATCTGTCAATATTCATTTTTTTTTTTTTCAATCGGATTTTGTGTAAGGGGGACTCATATTATGTAGAGAAAAGTTAAATTTTTATTATCGTCCTTTAATTATTATAAAATAATCACTTGTTAAAATGTTCAAAATTGTCATTTTGTAAAAGATATTATTCTAAACATTTTAATGTAACATACTTTTCCAAATTTTAAAAAGTGATAAAATAAAAAATTATTTTTTTTTCAATAATTACAAATGAAAATAAAAATTTAATTTTTCTCTACATATGCGTCACCCTTGCACAAAACCCGATTGGAAAAAATAATTTTAAAAAACTGAATATTGACAGAATTATTAGCATAAGGATAACACTGTAGGACACCCTGTATACAAATAGAAGTGACTGAATAATCATAGCACACCCCTAGTTGAACGTCCCTCTCAATTAAAAGTGCCCATCGCAATCCCAGTTAGGAATCACTAATGTAGACAGAATCGAAAATAGGTACTGTTTTTGTTGTGCACACTAAAATTAAAAAATAAAAATAATAAAAGCTGATAGCTATTTTATACCTACGTAGTAATAATATTATTGACCCGTGCGTTTTTCGTATAAATTCCTTACAAGTGCCATAAGTTCACTATATAGATACAGTAACTGTTCAATTAACTATACCTACGTAGGTAATATTAGAGAATTCATGGCATGTTTTCAAAGTCCGTAATTTGGCAAATTATTGATATATACTTGGTTAATAATAGGTACGTGTTAGAACATAATTTTCACGAATTTTGCTAGATTACGAAATTATTACAATCGTTTGAACGTATACGATTTATAAATGAATCGACCTTGGATAAATTTAAAAATTACGCATGACACCCGATAGCTACACCTAAAAGTTTATGCATTTACTTAACTACAAAAGTACCCATTATACTGTATATACTACGCCTAGGTAATCGTATAACCATATTTTAAAAAGAAATTCAATTATAATCGGATTGAAATCGAAATCCATTTTATAATCCAATTTTATACGATTACAATTTATTTGACTCCTTGTTCGCTCAAATATTCGCTTGAAAGGTTAACAAAAAAAGAATGGACAGATGTGGGTCCCGGACAACGACGAGCATAACGGAAAGGAATTTGAGGACTTTAGAAAACAAAGTATGGAAAAAAATTCGCAAACCAGTACTTGATTCAGGAAATCGTATTGTCAAAGGAGGTTTTACAAGGAGCTGCAGTAATTTATGGATATGGGTCTGGTGACCAGCTTTATCAAATGTCGTAGGATTCCGTGACGTGGTCGTATTGTGCGTTGAAAAGAACATAATACACTGAGAGCAGAATTTGATTGAAGATATTTGATTATATTATATATAAATTGATTTTAAAGAAAAAAAGACCTTGTAACAAACCAAGAAAAAGGTGGATAGAGTATAAAAGGATCTGAATGTACTGAGTATAGCTAATTGTAAGGATCTGGTATAAGATAGGTGGTGTACAAAGCACTTTGAGTGAAAAAGAAAAAACGAGTTTTTAATATAGTCACGGTAGTTTTGTTTAAATGTTTAAACAACTGTTACGGGCGTTTGTACCGCGTCTACGAATATAAAATAGGTAAATGAGAATTACTGAATAAAAAAAAACAAAACGTATGACGGGGACACGAAGTTAATGATACGAGTATTTGGGTTTACGCATAATATATATTTGGTGAAATTCAAGACACATTCTGCTGTTATGAAATTTAGTCGTAATTGTAGTGTATATATTATTAGCGTAACGAATACAAAAATTGTGTGGTAAAAAGATGTCATCTTTTTAACGATTAAGTTGAAGAAAAAAAAATACGTTTGAACTGCACGATTTACTGAAACCGCGTCTGGTATACTACATTATTATAATGGTAGTTAAATATTATTTTATAAAATATTACGTTGTAACGAGAGTGAAATATTATACTATATTATGCTGTTCGGAATTATTTTCTCTAAAAATCTTATTTATGATTTTACGACTGAATATAATTTTATAATACCTATGTCCTATATAATACAATATTCTATACGATAGAAAAGGGTAACTATGAATAACCTACAAGGGATTATTTTTACATTTACAAAAATATATTGTAAATAAATTGTAATATTTAATTTAAAAAAAAATGATTATAGATACACGACACTTCTACACATTCACTGTATTTATTTTGGATGTATAAAATAATATAATATTAATTAATAATTTAGAATTTCCTAAGTAAATAAACTCATTGGTAACTTTTAATAATTATATGAATTATAATTGATATACGAAAAGATTCTGCCCTTATCCTATTCTCCTGATTCAGGGTTTTCGGGATTATTTCGTTGAGAAAAAATCTTAAACATCCCCACCAAAACAAAAACATTACGTCATTTATCTATGTTTTGGACCACGTATATCCAGTTTTCCACTCCCAAAGAATGTCTATCCACTTATTATTGTGTTAAGTGCGAGGTCTCTCTCCTGAAGATTCCATTCTAACACTACTCTAACATTATCATCTTTTCTCTTAACTATATGACCTAGCTATTGTGATACTTTATTTTTTGTACTTGATATTGTACCAGTAAGTACTTGAAATCTTTAACTTTTTCTACAGAAATCCTTCCAATTTCTCGGAATATTTATCTTTCTCAATCAGCTCCATTAATTTGGTTTTATTTATATTCATCTGAAAATTTTACGGGATTTTATTTTTTTGTAAATTATATCTAATTCTTTTCTCCCCTGCCATACCTATACTAAATATACCTATACGACAAATTGCATCGTACTGTACAGTTTTAATAAAACATTATCTATTAACTTATAATTATTATAATTATTATTTGAAAACTATATTTAGGTACTATACTGAATCGCCTAATTTTTGTTTTTTATTTGTTTTTTTTTTTTTTTGTGGGTTTTTTTGTGTGTGTTTTGCAATAACAGAGAAATAATTCGAAAATGATTGACTTCTATAGTCATCATCGATAATTACTGTATTATTGTCTATCACCAACCTATGAACTGGTACTCTTATCGTATCGACGGATATCGATTATATTACATCATAGTATAAATGTATAACATTAGTAATGCTTAAATTCCGTCTCTTCACATAAAACCGTGTGAAATCACTAAAATCATCTTATAAATGTATAAAATAAACAGAGTTTCATCAAGACTTCGAGATAATATTATTTGCATTCGTGTGCCAATGATTAATCATTATTATATTATTATAATTGTATTTTATTGTGATACCGAAAAAAAATTTAGAAAATCGAACATTCTAATATTGTAAGTATTGTGTAAACAATATTCTTATTACATTGTGGTATAACACAACTGTATACATAAATCTTTTTTTTTTTTTAGACGTAATAGAATTTGAATTTTTTTTGTTTTATTGTATACGACAGGTTTTATTCTAATGTCTTGTTCGAAACATGCTTTATTTTCAGAGAGTACCTTTATAAAGTATTAATATGATATACCGACTATCGAATGTTTTTCGAGACTTCTCGTGGTATTTTATCGTTGGCACAACTTATGTACGTTACATTCATACAATTTAAAAAAACATTTAGAAACATTTCGTAATACCGTGGTCAGAAAATATATATATACACGCAAGGTAAATACACGCATACATTATCGTTTTTGTTTGGTCATTGACGTTACAGTGTTTAATATATTCTGTATAGGCACCAGAGAGAGTCGACACTTCAGGAAGAGGTATATTTTGTTGGGTATAGTTAAACATTTTTTTTTGTCGATTAAAATATACCAACCAACCGGTTTATTTAGTCCAGTTGCAGTGTTCCATAGCTGGGACGTGGGTGCTTTAGTACTACACATGTATAGTACGTTGAAATCTGCAAATTACAGTTGGCTCGCAGCTATAGGTAAATTATCGAAATCGTGTAATATTTCATAAAAGTTAGGTACCTATATATTCTTTACGGGAATAATAATTAGCAAAATATAATATTACAAGTTCGTTCTTATTTTAGATTCGATTGAAATCGAACTAATACAAAGATAATATGTATAGGTTATGTATATGTATAGGTATTATTATTCTTGCATAACACTACATTATAATTATTAAACAGTATAGGTACTTATCTAATACCGTTTGGCTTTCCTTATCATTTTTATCACCGTACATCTTTGTGTACAAACATTCGATGTTGGGTATAATTGCACAGTAAAAATTCTACATTATTATAAGAAGTTTTAAATTTAATTAGAAATTAACAATTCTACCCCCTACCAAAAAATAAAGAAAGAACTGATACTGGGGACGATTGTGTCACTGTTGAAGGTTGGAAGTCGGAAATATCACTAGCTACATAAGGTTATTTAATTTATACCTGTAAAAAACGATAAACCATTGCTAACGAAAAATGATTCGGAGCGAAGTTCGGTTATATATGTTTTGAAAGGCCATAATATTTACTACTTTCCTTAAAAATTGACATTAAAATTGCTTTATAAAAACAAACACTACATTCAGCTTTTCTTGACCATAAAGTACGACTATTATTGAACTTCCTATTCAATTTTCAAGCATTTCTGTGTTAAAATGTTTTTTAAAATTTAACCATGTCTAGAAAAAGTAAATATAAATTTTCTGTCAAAATTTCAAGTTTTTACGAATAATTTTAACTATTTTAATTTTAATAATTTTATATTTAAAAAAAAAAAAAGAGAGAGCTGATACTGGAAATGGGATCGGCCACTGTTGTAAGTTAGGATACATAAGGTTATTTCATTTACATCTGTAAGCAACGAAAAACCATTGCTTAACTAAAGACGATTCCGAGCGAAATTCGGTAATACAATATAATTTGAAGTACCGAATTTTTTTTGCGATTTTTGTTAAAATTTGATTTCAAAACGCTTATTGAAAAAAAAAACTCGATGATTTTCGAAATTTTACCACATTTTGGTAAGTCCAATATAAGTATTATTATTAAGTTTTAAGTCTCCGCGTATATTTATAATCGAATTACAGCAAAGAAACTCCCAAAAATTAAAATTCCTTTAAAACTCAAAAGTTTTGGTGATGATACCGTAAGAAAGTAAATCAAAAAGACAACAAAAAAGTTTTCTTGTGGTTTTTCGATTAGAGCAATATTTCTTATACAAAACAACGTGAACAAAAATTAAAAACAATGAAAATGGTAACGCCGCGACGTGCTGCTAATATTTGCCGTTTTACCTACAATTCTCTTTCGGATTTTTCCCAACCATTTCGAAAACTAACTAGACAAAATTATCTTTCAGAAAAGATGCTACACTCTATACATCGGAGCAAGATTCTATTTTGAAAAGTTGTTTACATATTATGCGCATTTAATGATAGAATATTTATACACATACAAAACAAAATTATAGTATTTTCACGTATCAACATTTTATCTCTCAACCACAGAATTTCCCGACAATCTTCCAAGAATTGAATACTATAGGGGCGTAAGTTCTTGAATCCTGTAAGCTCACCCTGTATAATATTTCATGTTTGACTGTAGTTGTACGTTGTTATCTTGTACGGTGTGTGATCCACATGTTGTTTCGATAGAATATTTTAACACGTCCCTGGACCTTGGTTAGAATAATTAAATTATCCGTCAATAATATTAATATCTACCTAATGGTCAAATAAATTTTAACACTGTCGTAAATATTTATTTTACTTGCACTGCCTATTATAACTAAAGGTAGTTATTTTAGTAATCAACAAATAAATAACATTTTTATATTATTGTCTTTTGCGCAAGACCGTCGTTAAGACATTATGTACGAGCTTAGTTTATTTTTACTATGGGTAATAGATAGGTACACAAAATATTATATTTATCGAAAAAAATCATTTACGAGTCGCATTAAATTAAGTGATTAAATTAGATAATAATATTGTATTGTTTATAATGTATTAAAACGTTTACAAAATTATATATGCGTCTCATAAACAACAATAATATTTAACAATATAGGTATTTCAATTCTAGTCATATTTTTTCTCTTTTTGAAAATTAAGGAATGAAATTCGAAAAAAGTCGACCCCACGTATACTTCACATTGAATTCAAAATTATTTTTTGAATTCGTTTTATCGCTTCAGTACGTCTATTGAACTAATCAAGGTGCAACTAAAGTAAAAATTTTGGAAGGCTATAACCTTGAACAAAAATTTAATATTGTAGTACATAAAAATATAAATATATCTAACTACATTTGTCGTTACTGGGGGGGGGGGGCTATTTGGAAAACTGGACCTAGCTCCCCCCAACCTTCCTAGTTGCACCTATGGAACTCATTAAAGGAATTTATTGTAATACTGAGTGTGTTAGATAGCAGTTAATGCATATTCACCACCTCCCCTAACTCAAAAAAAAAAAAAAAAATGATATACAATTATCTTAAGTTTCCATCTTACAAATGCTCGAAATAGTTTATTTTTGTTTAGCAGAGGACGCTTTGTGCTGTTATTTTTGACCTATTATCAAACTTTAAGAAAATAAAATTATTTGGGTTACTATGGTTTTTTCCTACGTATTATAATTTTTAAATGAGATAAGAAACATTTTTAAATTTTGATATTTCACACACTGATACTGATATTATTTCATTTAAAAATTAAAATATCGAAAAAATCCGACATAATTGCACAGATATTCTTAACTTCAGGTTTAAAAATAAGTCAATTCATTCTAATAAACAAACTAACAACAAAAAATTGTTCTCAATGAACGTAAATATGAATAATATTATAGAATAGTTGCAAAATATTTTGAAAACATATATTGTGATAAAAATATCTCACAATTATCACAAATAATCTGAATCACGTGGATGGAGCGGGATCGGGGTATCGGAGTTATTGTCATATTATTAATGGTCCATATTATGGGTAGTACTATTTCTATAATGTATAATGAGTATGTTTACTAGCGTACAACGTTGTATTTATTTCAAACATAGTACATCGAACAAAAACTGAATAAAAATATTGGTTTTACAATATTTATTTTTTTTATCCGCAGTGAACAACTTTTCTACCAGAAATCTTGCTCCGATTTTAAAGTGTAGCACTTTTTCTGAAAGGGATTTTTCCTGGATGGTACTTTAAGAAAGTATTTTTTTAGTTTCCCCAGGTGTTTTCATAATAAATGGGAAAAACGTAAGAAAAACGGAAAAATGTACGAAATGTACTATTTTAAAATCGTAATGATTTGAAAACCTATAATGTATTATGTATAGCATTTTTTGTTTTTTATGAATTTTAATATCAAATGTTGACAAAACTCGTAAATATAATATAAATGTATAACTGAACTCTGCTTAGAATTGTTTTTCATTAGCAAAAATTAATCTTTGTTTACAAATGTACATTAAATTTCCCCTCTATACATTCCCAAATATTGGGAAACCCAAAACAATAGCTCATCCATCGTACCAATCGTGTCAGTTTGTTATAATATGTACAACTCTTATATGTTCTTAGTTACTACACAAAAAATGAACATTATATATACGGAGTGATCAATCTATCATAAGACACTCTTTATCTCGGAAAGTATTAACTTTTTCCGCAAATTTTTTTCTAGGACATTTAAGAAAAAAGCTACTTTACAATTTTATATTTACGTTATTTTTCGTCACCCTTATTTTTGGGGGTGAACCACCACCTACTTTTAATTTTCAAATGGCAACTTATATTAAAAATGTCATAAATAGATGGAGTATTATTTAAAATAAATTTTAGTGTTGAAGTTTTTGATTTCCGCCTATCTATTGAGATATTCAACTTTTAAATTTGAATTAGAGGAGAGTAGTGAAGTATCATTTGTGTGGCGGTACGGCCCGTGGTGTGTTAATAATACACCACTACTCTTCTCCAACCCAAACTTAAACGTGGGATATCTCGTCAGCGGCTTGACGGAAATCAAAAATTTATTTTAACTAATATTTTATCTACTTATGGAATTTTTAATATAGGTTGTTTTTTTAAAATTAAAAGTAGGTAGTGATTTCACCCTCGAAAATAAGGGTGACAAAAATATAACATAAATATAAAATTGTAGAGCTGCGTGTTTCTTAAATTTTCTATAAAATTAATTCCGAAAAAGTTAATACTTTCCGAGATAAAGTATCTTCCCTGTATATAACATGGAGTAATGATTGCTTTTTTTGTTTTAATAGACTATTGAAAAAACAAATATTCACTAATTTTTTATGTAATATTCTAATACAATTCTGTATACCCACTATTTTTTATTTTTTTTTATTTTTTTTTTTTATTAAAATAAACTCAATACATTACATTACAGACAATTTTAATAGTAACATATTAAAATTAAATTATCCCCTTAATCCAAGCTTGTGATGGGATAATTGAATTATTATATAATTTACACATTACATTAAATTTGTATTTTATTTACAGTTATGTAAAACAAGAATAAAATAAAAAGAACTTAAATTTAGAGCTCGCTTAACAACTATTTTACAATTAAGTTTTTATTTATTATGTGTCCAGATTACCACTAGACACTAAATTAATATTCTTTTAGTGAATTTAAGTTTTGAGATCGATTACAATAGTAGAAAATATTTGGTTTGTATAACATATGGAATATAAAACACTTTTTTCATTCAACAATTTATTAAATTTAGTTTGCTTGGATTCACCGCTAACGAATTGATACGTTCTTTGTATTTCCGCTCTTGCGCCATTACGTCCGACTCGGATTATGCATCGTATCAGTGACTCATTATAATACACAGATTACTGATTACAAAATCATAATAAACAACAAAATATTATATTAAGTATATATTCTGTTCGTGTGTGTGTATATGACGTATTGTTCGTGTATTATTGTGATGAACTTGAGATGGAGAATTTGAGCCTTTATAAGTATACCGGACGACCGTTATCGGTTCAGTGTAATGCGGTTGGCAGCTAGACAAGGAAATCGCGCGTGTTGTCAAGTTCACCAACCGCAGATCGTTTTCTCTCTTTCTTTTTTTTTGAATAATTTTTGTTACTAGGTAAATATTATAATATCGTAAAAATAATTAATAAAAATATTGTATTCTCGTTTCGACGGCGGTTGACATGAAAAATATAAAAAATACACTTTCGTTTCTCAGGCCGGGACTACTACGACTGTCGCTTGTAAATCTATTGTTGCCGCGAATCATTACGTTGTCCTCAAACAACCCGACATCGGCTGCCATGAGTATATTCGAAAACGTCAGCTTGTCTACTGTGAGTAAATAAATTAGAATTACTAACAACTAATATACCAATTATTATTAATATATCAATGAGTGACTTAAAAACGAATCTAACCGAAATGAATCACATCGTCATATGTATAATTTACCTATGTAACCAAATAAAAAACTTTTTTTTTTTTAAATTCTGTGTTAACCTACGTATTAATCCGGGTTTATTAGGAATACTTTAAAAAAAATCTAATCTTATTTTAATTTCAAACTCAAAAATTTACATAAAGATGTTAATTCTTATTTATTTTTAACCTTAAACAGAACCACGCACTTATACAAATTATAGTTTAAAAATTCGGATTTTTCGCATAAAGGGAAAGATGCAGATTTTCAACGCCCTCCAAAAAATACCTAAAGTACACAATTGTTATAAACTCTGGAATCTCAGAAAAAAAAAATGATGATTTCGGAGAGTTGACGATCATATAATATTGTAAAATAAAATATTGAGAATCGTTTTTATAATTTATTCAACATATTTTACTTTTATTTATTATATAGGTGGAAATGCTCCACAACAACGGATACGCCTCCGAAGTCCACAAAGTTGTTACAAAAGATGGTTACGTATTAGAGTTGCATCGTATCCCCAGGAGTAAGTGCGGCCAAAATCCCACTAGAAACCACCCGGTGTTTATTCATCATGGCATATTGGGAAGTTCGGCCGATTGGGTCCTCGGTGGGGCTGACAAATCTTTACGTGAGTGTCCGATTTGAAAAAAAACTCTCACCATGACAATAACACAATCCTAATTTCCGTATATGCCCAAAATATAATATATAATTTACAATATACATAATATAGCTATGCAACTTGCTGACGCTGGCTACGACGTGTGGATGGCAAACTGTCGCGGTAACACCTACAGTAGAAATCACGTGACATTGAACTACCATCAAAAAGCTTTTTGGAACTTTAGGTAAAAAAACAATATTACTAGTAGGTTTGTGTAAATATTTCGCCTTTCAAAAACAAACTAAACAGTAAACACATAAAATTCATGAAGTTAAGTTTCCCCAGAAACGGATTTTTGTTGTATTATTATCAGGGTTTGGGACTTATAGCAATTGTAATCATCAAAATAAGCGCTGAAAAAAGCACTTAAAATATTAAAATAAGCAAAAAAAAGCACGCCCAAAAACTATAATCATAATTTTGTCTATATTATATTATTTTTACAACTAAAACATAAAACAAAATCATATCGTTAAAAAAAATTAAAATACTTTTAGCCTTTTTCAGTTTTTAAAAATATTTTGACTCCTATGTTAATATACTTCTTATAGATTTTCTTAAAAATTAATTTTAATTTTTTTTTGAAAATGCTTATTGTGTCGATCATATTTCAATCTTCATATTATAATGTTTGTTTTAATCTATAAATAAATTGTAAATCAAATTATAAATGGTTTTTTCATAATACATTGGTATGTTGTAATATCATTGTATTTTGTTAGTCATATTAATTGTACCGTCATCGACCGTTCCGATTAGGAGATAAGCGAGCAAATACGAGTCCTGGAATTTATTACAGGGAATATGATACAAAAGGGAAAAATTATTTTCCATTCTAGCTTTATCGTGCAGAAAAAAGAAAAAAAAATGATCTTAATGTCTAGGTTTTTGTCAGTGGCGCCCGTCATAATTAAGGAGAAATATGCAAAAAAGCAAAAACTAATTAGAAAAACTTAAAAAAGCAATTTGTTTAAAAACAATTGAAATAAACTAAAAAAAGCTTTCAAATTTGATATTATTATAACATGACATGAGTTTTCCTAGCACTCTACTAGATTTTATCGAAACTTTTTTTTTTACAATAACTTTATTAAAATGAATTATTTAAAATCTTTACTAGGTGCACAATAAGTACAATTTTTAAATACAATAATAAAAAACGGTGAGCGAATTGTAGGCGCTTCACATTAGATACGCCTGAGCTTGACGTGTTATTGGGATGTAAGTTTCAATGATTGAGAAGATCTCTAGGCCATTTGCGTTTGGAGTGTCTTGCTGGGTTCCCTGGTAACTGATTTGTATGTAGTTGAGCGATGAGACTGTTTGGGTGACCAGTCATTTTGGAGTGGAGACGAGTGTAGTATGTAGCAGCTGTTTGTTAGATAGTAGCTATTAGTTCGTTGTGTAAACTGGCGTTGATAACTTACCACGGGGCGTTGACAGACAACCGTAGGCATATGGATTGAAATGCTTGGATGGTTTTGATGTTGGCTGGTTTGGCCGAACCCCATAAGGCGATACCATAGGTTAAACTAAACTTTTGTATATTAGAAAGCGGTTAGAGGTAGAAATTTTCGATTTTATCGAAACTTATAGCATTTGATTATTTTTTTGGCCTAAGTCCTGAATCCTGGTTATTATTATTAAGACGTTAATCTAGGCAAACGCATCGAGTAAATCCAATGTGCAATATTTGTAATAAAAGGTTCATCAGAAGCAGGAAACTTTATCTTTAAAATGGTACCTCATTTTGATTAAGTATGAATGGAGAAAAAGTGGTTTTACCAAAAAACACCTTAGAGAGATAATATGCAATAAGACTATCCGTCCCACCCGGCTTTATCCGGGCCACAAAAAAAAAAAAAAAACAAATTATCATTATGCTTTTACGGCTCTTACATGAACTACCTTATTATTTATTATTTATTTTGTTTGTTTTAAAGTTTTTATAAATTTCATCCAAAATATAACCAAGTTAACCCATAAATCGACAGTACAAATTTTATTTTTGTTTCCAAAATACCAATAATCCTGTATCACTGTATCAGGCCATATAAGAGTAATATACGGGAAGAGAAGTAATCTATATGTTATTTCTAGTATAGAATTACATCTATGCAAAGTTTAAGCTCAATCCGTTCATTAGTTTGGTCGAAAAGTGGTGACAGAGATACATCCAAAAAAACTTTTCGCATTTATAATATTAGTAGGATAGGATAGTATTTTAATTTTTTGTATCCATCCACGAACTTACAAATCGTTTATTTTTGATTACCAACCTAATATAATCAGTCATCGGTATTTTTCAGGTGCATAATTCAGATAGTATACCCTTTTGCTCGGGAGACTACACTTAAAGTTACGTTAGTTATACCACAGAAAATGTATTATGTTATTTTTGAAAATTTTGAATTTTTTGGTATTCTGCAATATAATAATTGTTCGAGTAAGGCATTGAAACAATGTATTTTGGACATATACCTATAAAACGTCACCACTAGTTCTGATTTATAAAATGAAGGATCAAAATTGCGTCAACCTATATAATTATTATTTTATTTTAACTTATGATTTTATAGCTTACAAGAAATCGGATTGTACGATTTACCAGCGGCGTTCGACTACGTTCTAATGGAAACAAATACAACGCAACTCCATTACATTGGATTTTCTATGGGCACTTCGGTGTTTTTTATAATGGCTTCAGAAAGACCTGAATATCAAAAAAAAATACGATCGCAAATCAGTCTCGCACCAGTGGCTTACTTGTCTAACACGAGATCATCTCTACGGTTTATAGCACCCATGGCAAAAATGATGAACGTAAGCACGACGACGAATTTAATACCAAATATATTGAAATTAATGTTTAAATGTTAAACAGTTTTACATAATATTGTTTGATACTAACCTTAAAATTGGTTTACTAAATTCATTATGTTTCTTGAAGTCTAAAGATAATTATATTGTAAGGAAATTAATAAATGTGATCTACATCAAAATCATATAAAATTATAATTGATTAGTTTCATTTTAGAATTTGAGTGTAGCAAATAAGTTCTTAATTTTAATAAGATGTGAGTTTTATTTTTGTTCTCAAAAACAATTTTTCGGTTAGTAAAAATGTTCCAATTTTTTCATGTCATACTTTAAGACACGAATTTTTTGACTTGTTACGGTACTTTACTTGAAATAGTTTTTTTCAAATAATTGCTTCTAATATTTTCATTTTTGAAAACACTTTTTGATTAGGAAAATTCTTCAATTTAAAAATTTAATTTAATTCATCAAAGTTTTTAAAATTAAATAATTATTGGAAAATATTAACGTAATAAAATATATTATTTATAATATTAGGAGTAATGAATAGGCAAATCGTTCGTTAGTCTTTTATATTTTTCATCTAAAGACGATTTGTTTAATTTTAGTTTGATATAATGTTTTAATAGTACATGTTTCAAAGAATGTCAAAAGGAATGTTAATGCCTCAATCTAGGATGCAAACATTTTTGGCGTCTACTTTATGCAGAGAAAGATATACACAGAAATTGATATGCGAAAAGTGCATTATATTTTCAGTATGCGGTAGTGATCCATATGAATTTGACTCTGTAATTATTATATTAATATATTAATGAATTTATTAATTTACAATATTTTTATATATTAATTTATTTGTAAATCATTATGCATATTTTAGTTTTTGATGTATAACTTTTCATTGTAATTTAGAAATTAATTCCTCTAATCATGGGACATTTTCCGGCCGGGACATCATCTAAACTTACTGCGCACTTTGCGCAGTTTATATTAAAAGGTAATAAAATATAAATAGTTTTCTGTAATATGAAATTATTTTTTATATTATTTGAGATGGTGGTTTTAAATCTTTTCGCCGTTCATTTCATTATAGATAGTTTTGGTCAGTTCGATTATGGTCCGACTTTGAACTTACTTCATTACAACTCTACTGAACCCCCGACGTACAATTTAAAATCAATCAAAGTTCCTATAACATTGATTTACGGAAAAAACGATATATTGGCCGACGTAAAAGTAAGTTTTTGCGATTTTTACAACCAAGCTATTTTACTGAATCCACTTTTTTATTTAATTTTCACCATTTTCTGTGCATAGGACGTAATGAGATTAAAAGTTCAACTTCCACAACTTATGGACGCTATCCAAGTCAATAGCCCGTATTGTAACCACGTGGATCTTTTATGGAGCTTGAACGTCAATGAGCAAGTAAACAATCCGGTCAAGGAAATACTACAAAAAACCGATCGTATGGACTGGTCGTATTCAGGACCGAACCCTTCTGCTACAGTCGTTCAAGAATCCAACAGTGTAGGAAATCATAGAAATACTGATAAAACTGTAAATCTACTATCAGATCCGAAGAATACCGTGCGACTCGTAACGGGTTTAGATTTCTTCGCCGAAAATTTAGACACAATAATTGCGAGCACCATGCCTCAGTTATTGAACGAGACCGATGCAGCAGATTTCGAACGGGAACAAGAACTGCAAAAGATCCTGTTTGGAAACATGATCAATTTTTTTAAATCAACTGGCACGAAATACGGTAAACTTCGGGAAGATTTTACCAACGAGATAACTGATTGGACCGATGATATGACGACTGGTGTGTTGACCGAAGTAGCCAACACCCAAAACATAGTAGAAACTCACATACAAAATACGCAAATCATGATAGACAACCAAGTAAACGTGGTCGTAGACGCCGTCTCCAAAACTGAAAATATAGTGGTCAGTAGTGCTAATGTAGCTGAAAATGTTATCGTGGACGGGATCAGTAAGACCAAAAATACCGTTACAAGCAGCGTCGATAAGGCTGAAAATTTCATAGTCAACGGTGTCAGAAACGCAGAAAATTTGGTAGTCACCGGTGTTGGTAAAGCTGAACATTTCGTAGTCACCGGGGTCGGTAAAGCTGAAAATTTTGTCACCAACGGTGTTAACAAAGCCGAACAATCTGTCGTGGATGGTATGGTCAAAGCCGAAAACTTAGTCAATTCCGGCTTAAATAAAGCCAATCAAGCCGTGGGCAGTACCTTGGACACCACATTTAGAAGTTTAAACAAGGCGTTTTGGTTTTTGAAATAATTCATATTTTTATTTTTGTCCAATTAAAAAATTCCTAGTTACAAATATTCTCCGAAAAAACCTACACGATCGTTATAATATAGTTACATAATAAATTATAGTATTTAATGGAGAACATATTGAAATTTATTTTAAAATACAAAACAAAATTACTTATATGAACAGGAAATCCGATAACATCATTATATCCTCAATGTATTATTTGTACCACAACAGTTATCTTCACTGCTAACCCAGTTTGAAAAGATAATTACTAGTTAGTAGTAAGTAGCTTTAAGTATTTTAATTTATACTCGTCTTTATAATGGCCGATGGTATTTGTAAAATATTACAAAATTATGTATTTTTAAAAACTCATCATAATATACGCACTTAAATAGCACTAGATACCTAGTGATAACAATTAGATTAATATGCATGTTTACATATTTATTTGGAATTTATTTTACCGATTCTTACCTGATATATAAAAACGAAAAAAAAACTAATTGGTAATTTAAAATCAAAGGTTAATAATATTATAACATATTATTAACATAAGCAAAGCAAGATTATAGTTAAGTTATTTTAAATTTCGTTATTTTTGTTAATTTTTTTTTTTAATATTTAGTTTTAAGTAAAAACGTACAATCATTATAAATAAATAAATAATTATAAAGTTTTTAAAAATATCAAAGATTTGTACGAGTGTAAATTATAATGTAACTATAAACTGAGAAACCTATAGAGGAAACAAAGTTAGGCTTAAAGAGCAGGGGGCCTAATGAAATTATTTGAGGTGGGTTTCCTACGCTGAGAGTTTTTCAGATGTCAGATTGATTTTGTATAGATTCCGACCTTAGAAAATATTGTAATTTTTGCTACTCACTTGGAATTAATGGAGTAAGGGACACATATCTACTTGAGAAATAAACGTTAATTATTACATTTTTTTTTAATATAAATATTATCGGTTAGGTTCATTAAAAAAATTAATGAAATCGCATTTAAATGATTTTAAGTGGAATTAAAAGTTTAAATTATGTATTTACTCTTTTAAGAGTTATTTGTGTTTCATTTTCTTTGTCAGCTATCTAAAGAAAAGTACTGTTTGATAAAGGTATGACGAATTATGAGTATAATCAAAATAAATAAAACACTTAAGTTTTTCATATATCAAATAATCTCAATATCATATATTTTCTTTAAAATAGATTGGTTAACCTTTATTTATTTATCTACTTTGAAGTAAATAATATTAGTTAACGGAGTTTTTGTTATCAAAAGTTAGGATATGATATTTTGTTTCTCTTATTTTCTTATTAAACGTTATAAATACTCATAAGTATATAAAAATATCAATAAAATGCTTAACTTTAAAAGTTTACTAGACTATTTTCTTAGAGATTATGTTTATTTCAAATTAGTTGTTATTATTCTATACAGTGACGGATCCAGTGGTGTGAAGGGTGGGCGATAGACCCCCACCCTGTTCGCTCACTATATACACCTAAGTTTATTTTCATCATAAATGTAGGTCTTATATGAAATTGTAAAATTCGCTCCCCCTAGCCCTTATTTTCTTGACCTAACTCCGTTCCTGGTCTCATATTCGAAAATTAAAATATTGTTTGTCTTTCCGAGTGCAGATTTGGAATGAAACTTAAAGGTTTATTGAGATGTCCAGAAACTAATATTGTATTTTTTTCGTAATAATAATTTTATGAATTCGTTAATTTCGAGTGGATAGTTGGCAATTTAATTAATATAATTATTATTTAATAATAATATTAATGCTGAATTGACGCCGAGACTATGTGATATAATAGAAATGTATAGGTGTGGTCTCGTGCTATGATAAAATGCGAATATTTTGCAGTACCGATGCAATTAAAATGAACGAAAAAAAAAATGGAACACTATAAGTATACTGCAAGACAACTGCTATTGATTTAGTAGTAATGTATTAGTGACATGATGATATGAAATATCAATAGTTTCATCAAATCGGTCGTTTTGAAATTGAAAACAATATTTGCACAAAAGTTAATTAATAAGCAAAACAATTATCATATGGTATAATATAGTCGTTTGGCCATAAGTAAATATGTTGAATATGAAATTTCCGTTATTCGAATTTAGACTATTCCAACTGCAGATATTCTTTAATCTGTGGTTGTTACTGTTCATCATTGCCAATACTCCAAGATCGTATGCTTCGGACGTTTTTAAAAATAAAGTCAGCTTGTCCACTGTAAGTGTAATATATTATTACTTATTATTATATTGTACACCAGGGGTAATCGATTTTTACGTGAAAATGTGAAACCATTAATTGGTAATTATAAAAATAAATTGAACACGTGAAAACAAGACATGTGAAATATAATACGATTTCCAAAATGCATTTTATAGTAGGTAGTCTAAAACCATTATTTATTAGTTAAAGTTAGCTATTAACTATTGGTATATATGTATAATACATACAATAACATTATTGAAATTCTATACACATTTTATTATTATTATTATTTTTTTTATACTGTGATAAAAATTTCTACCAAAAATGTTGATTTTCTGAAAGGAAATATTGTACAGATGGTACTTTAGGAAGATTATTTTATAATTTTCCAAACGGTTCACATAATATCTGGGAAAACCCGGGATATAACGGAAGAAAAACGGGAAATTTTACGTAAATAATGCTTTTATTATTTTAAATTTAGTTTTTTGTTGTAATTCAATTAAAAATATTCGTAGAAACTTAAAATTTAGACAAAAACTTTTTTCTTATCTAGGCGTGGTAAAATTTTCAAAAATGTTTTGCCATTTTTGAGCTATTTATAGAAATTTTGATTTTGCGAGTTTTGAACTAAATTTGTATTCGGTATAGGTACTCTGTATAAAATTGTTAGACTAAATAGAAGTACTTGAAAATTTAACAGGAAATTCATTAAAAGTCGTACTTTGTGTTAAAAAAAAAAAATTGAGCCCAATGTACCTAGTATTATTTTTTTAATAAAAAAATAATTATAGTAAGTAATAGTATTTTAATATCAAATCGTTTGAGTAAATCATTATATGGAACAAATTTAGTTACGGGTCTCTGAACATTTTTCAATTTTTATTTTTTTTGTTTTTAACTTAATTTGTATATTTCCAATTTCAAAACGATGATGAATTCAAAATCGAGTGAACTGACTTAATTTTGAAATTATGGTTTTTTAAGTTCTGATACTATGTATAATGTATTATTGTGTATTACTCAATATTGTCAATTTTATGGTATATCTGTCGTAGTCTAGTGATGGTACGTACCTATTGTCATCCTAGATATCGCAAATTCAAACCCGAGTTCCAAAATTGTTTTTGAAACCACGTTGGGTAGGTAACAGAGAAAAAACAAATGCAATACAATTCATATGTAATTCATTGTACTCAATATAATATATGTACTTTACTATAATATGACATAATTTGTATATTATATGTCTTTTAAAAAGCAATACTATTAACCGAGCTTCGCTCAAAATCGTTTTTCGTTAACAATGATCCATCTTTGCTTAAATATATACTTAAACATTAAATTCCCCTCTATATCCTACCTTCCCAACTTCTCATCTACAACAGTGGTCCACCCATTGTGCCAAGTATGTTCATCTTTTTTAAATTTTATTTACAGTTAATTTCGCTCATTCGCAATTTTTCGACCAAAGATTTCCATTATTCTCAATCTTCCGTATTGTTTTATATTACTCTGCAATTTAGTTAAGTTAGGTAAGGTTAGACTCCAATTCATCAATTTTAGGATTTAGCATAGACCAAAGGTCAATATATTTTGTATATTGTGTATATGAAAGTCGAGCCTCATCACCTTACGTTGTGGACCACGTCAAATCCACGTATGCAAAAAAAAACATAGGTAAACTATTTATAGTAACGTTTTAAATCAATAATATTTCTTTGAATTCTATCGTCATTAAAATAAATACTGAACTAAAAAAAAAGATAACATGTAGGAAAATATGAAGATAATATTATACGTATGTACTTTAAATGATTTAAAAACCTCATAGATTCAAAATCATCTTTATCCTATTATTATAAAAAAATGTTTTGATTGGTAAGTAAAAATGTCTATATTTTTATGTTAAACGAATTATCTTTAAAGTATTCTATGCTAATTATTATTATTATAAATCGATACAATATGTTTGCAATTATACAATTTGTTCTATAACATTATTATACATTAATAAATGTTAGAGAATAAAAAAATATTTGATATAATTAGAAATAAAAATAAGAAATTGGGAAATATATATACAACAATATATTATATTATTATTACTGTAAAATGTATAAAAAAAATTCGCTATATTTTTCATTCAGGTGGAAATTATCCAGAAAAACGGATACGCGGTCGAAATTCACGAAGTCGTTACGGAAGACGGTTACATTTTGGAAATGCATCGAATCCCCAGGAACAGAAGGAACCAGGATCCCACAAAAAACCATCCGGTGTTCGTACACCATGGACTTCTGGGAAGTTCTGCCGATTGGGTACTGGCCGGAGCTAATATGTCTTTACGTCAGTATGAATTTGATCAACTTTACAAGCTCTGTTTTTAACACAGTACATTTAAATATTCATATAGCTATGCAACTCTCGGATGCTGGGTTTGACGTGTGGCTGACAAATTGTCGGGGTAATACTTACAGTAGAAAACACACATCACTGACGGTAAACCAGAATGCTTTTTGGGACTTCAGGTAAAATTATAAAATTATTATTATAGTATAATATTACTAATATTATTACGAATAATTAGTAAAAGAAAGTGCGGAATAATAATATTTTTTTCGGTTACAGTATTGACGAAATCGGAAAGTACGATTTGCCGGCGGCTATCGACTATATCCTAATAGAGACTAACTCATCGCAACTTCATTATATAGGGTTTTCAATGGGTACTTCAGTGTTCTTTATAATGGCTTCAGAAAGACCTGAATATCAGCCCAAAATTCGATCGCAAATCAGTCTTGCACCGGTTGCCTATTTAACCAATTCCAGATCTATTGTTAAACATTTCGCTGTTTACTCGAAAATTATAAATGTAAGTTTATTCGAATGCGATAAAAATAAATATTTAGCTATCTAAAAAAGAAATTGTATTTCATGACTATAATTAAACTATATACCTCCCTACACAATTGGGTCGATTACCTTTTAACTCTCTCAAGTGATCGGTCAAATATATTATAATATTTGATAATATTGTATTTTTAAATAAATTATCAAATTGATAGTTTCGACTTTAAACAATATATTATAGGTATAATAGTTATTTTAGAAATGCAAATATTTCTAACTTTTATTAACAGGAAAAACATACTTTTTTCAACTTCTTTTTTTAACTCTTGGTCATTAAGACTATACCGTCAAGCAAAATCGTCTCCATCCATCTCTATCTTCCACAGCTATCCTCCACGATACATCTTGTTGGAACTGTCTTCCCTGCGGCTTTTTAAAATTCGGTTTCTTCTTGATGGTTGTTTTAACTATGGAATCCACTTTACGACACGCATGCACAGCTCACATCAACGTTCTTTTTTTTTAATCTCTTTTGCAATAATCGGTATTTGAAATAATACTTAAAGTTCACAGTTGGGTCGTTTACGCCACTTTCCGATATGAGGGTCGATATAAAGACCATATAATTTCCTCGGGATTTTTTCTTCAAATACCTAACTTCGTTTCCTTGGTTTTCCTAAGTGGCCGTGTTTCTGAGGCATGAAGTTCTAGTTCTATACGTCATATCAGGGTCATAATATGATGTATCTGTATTTTCAGATTTATTGATAGCATTTTTGTACTCAATATTTTTTTAATTCCAAAAAAATCCCGTTACCCCCTTGATCCTAGCACTGATCTCCATTTTTTGATCATTATTTTTGTTAATAGGTAACTCAAGCATTTAAATGTGTCACTCTCGTAAATACACTTCCTTCCATATTCATAGACTGTCCTTGTTATCCTTTATCTTGAAGACTTATTATCATGTATTCCGTTTTCCGTATTAACAACTAATCCGACTATATATTCAAGTTTCCCACACAATCTTCTCAAGTTTTCTACAGTTTAGTTTGCCTAATACTGCTATGTTATCGGCATAGGTAAGGAGGTTTATTATGTTCGAATTTTCTTATAGTATTCCGTCATCCATAATATTAATTTCTATGATTGCTTTCTCCAAAATTAAATTATAGGTTAGGATGACGCGTCCTCTTGTCTTAGGCCGGTGATTATAATTTGATTGGGTTTGACGTCTCTAATGCCAATTTAACCTTAATTTCCATATTTTTTATGTGGCCTAAATTAAATTTATCAACTTATTAAAAAAATTACTTGTGAACGAATTCGTCAGCTACACATACATTTTTATTAATTTTTTTTTTTAACGTCAACTTAAACAATTATGACATGCTTATAGGTATGTTTCTTAAAAAATTTAAATATTTATGAAATATTAAATTTATATTCTTCTTTGATCTGAACTTATCGAAAATATATAATTACAATTTTAATCGTTTTAATAGTACCAATATTTATTAAATTTAGAGCATATTAAGTTTAAAATTTCAATTAATCTTTTTCTAATTTCCTATAGACCATGTTTCAAAGGATATCAAAAGGAATGTTTATGCCGCATTTCAGAACACAAGACTTTTTAGCGTCCACTTTATGCACAGAAAAGCTGACACGGAATATAATATGCGAAACTTGCTTTATATTTTCAATTTGCGGTAGTGACCCTTACGATTTTGATGCCGTAATTATTAGATTTTCTAACTTTGTCGTAGTAGTACTGTTCGTACTTAAACTAAAAAAGAATTGTATTAAAGATTTGTAATATTAATTTTTTAATGGTAAATTTAGGACTTAATTCCATCCATAACGAGCCATAGTCCGGCAGGAACGTCAGCTAAGCTTACCACACATTATGCACAATTGATGTTGAAAGGTAGGTATTAAACAAACGACAGGCCGTGGAATCTATCACTATACAAAACAAAATAAGGAAAGAGATTTTATACTTACATTTTTTAAATTCCTTTGTAGACACGTTTTGTCAGTATGATTACGGTACCGCTATGAACATGCGTGTATATAATTCCACCGTACCTCCAACATACGATTTGAAGTCGATTCAAGTGCCTATAACATTGATATACGGAGAAAATGATATATTATCCGTCGTGAAAGTGAGTTTTTAAGAATTTCAGATTGATTTTACTTTATACCCAAGACGTTTGATTTTTGTTTAATCTGTGATCAAGTTTTCAACCAAAGCTTGATCCAATAAAAAACTTCATAAGTGCTCTCTTCTAATATTTAGAGTTTAGTTTATGCATTGAGGTAGTCATTTTATTACAAATTCCGAGTAATCGTAGAGAACCGAAATCGTTAATTCTGTTAAAAATCGTGAAATCATTAAATTACATTCACCATTGGTGGTGAATACATTGGTGTTAGCATACTAATATTTCTAATATAGCATCATCTGTTTTTTCGCTATAATTTTTTCCGTTAAATTTTCAATTTTCTTTTCTTTAACAGGACGTGACAAAATTGAAGGATCAACTGCCCAAATTAATGGACTTTTTCCCGGTTGATAATCCGTATTGCAATCACGTGGACTTGTTGTGGAGCAAAGATGTCACCATTAAAATAAATAATCCGGTCAAAGAAATACTACTGAAGACTGACGATATGGATTGGATTTATCCGGGGCCAAATTTTTCTTTAGATACCAAAGACACCAGTTATAATAATGTCGAAAAGATCATTTATAACGGCAATTTATCCCTGTACCCAACGACCAACTCATATGATTTACTAGGCCTGGATTTCTTCAAGGGTAATTTAGATACATTAATCAGGAATACTATGCCAATATCAATAGACGATAACGACACAGAAGAGTTCGAACGACAACGAAAAGTGTTAAATGTAGTGCTGGAAAATATGATTGATTTTTCCGTATCTATTGACACCGAAAACAAAAGATCACATCAAGGCTATTTTAGTAACAAAATATCCAACTGGGTTGAAAAATTGAGCACCGATTTTCTTAAGGATCTTCGAGAAACAAAAATAGATTATGACCGTAATTAAATAATTGAGTATGGATAGGATATCATATCGGTAGGTAGGTTTTTAGTTAGTATTCATTTTTGCATGTGTAATGGATGTAATTATAATATTCTGTACGTATTTAACTTTTGTGTAGATATATATTATTCATTTAAATTTGATGAATAAATATTAAATCTGTATTGGTTGTTTGTTTGAATTTAAAAAAATTATTATTTCTATTGTTATTTTACTATTATATAATTTTGTCAAGTATTGATTGTATCATACCCATATTATTATATTATATTGCGTTATTATTTTAGTTGATATTTCCACTAAAAAAGCAAAATTTCGAAACAATAATATAGTTAATTGTATTATTATTTATTACCTATAATACTTTAAGAGTACATATATTTGTATGATTTCTAAATTACATTGGTCACATTGGTCCAGCTAACCATGCCCCCTTTTTCCTATTCGCTTGTGACATTTTCACTGTTCCACTCTTTATTACGTATCCATATTATATTATAACCTCTTAAATATGATCACTCTCAACGATCAGTTAGCATTCTGCTGTTTTTATGGAATGTAATAGTTATTAAATTTTAATTCAACCAATATTATATTTTATATTTCCTATATCTATATATTATATATTACATAGTTTTTTTACTTGTCTTTGAGAAATGAGTAGTTATCAGTTTTTTTAATTAGGTAATTTATATGTTTACTTAATTTTATGAAATAATTATACAATTGAAGTACCACCGGATTTTGAAAGTCAACAAATTATGTTCCTTCAAAAGAACACAGGTAAACTATTTTAGGTACAGATATTTGATGCTACATGGGAAATACGACTTATGTTTGAATTTAGAAAAAAAATAGTAGGTATACTCTAGCTAATTTAAAACAAAGTAATGTCCCATGTTTTCGGGATTGCATAGTCATTCGATAACTGTTCAAGCAATTGAAAACGGCAAATACGTAGTGACACCATTGACATATGCAGGATCCGGTAAACAAGACGGAAGGTTTATAAAATTTTGAATTCACCAAGAAGAATATCAACGCCATAATACTCAAAATACCCAAGTCGATGAACAGAAAAATTACAACAAAGTTTAAACAACAACGACGTTTGTTAAAAAAAATATTGAAGTGGGTGTACAAGGCATTCGCTATAAATATTAAACATTTTAAAGATGACGCTACATAAAAAAAATAAAGATATAACAGCCAAGTTAGACGACATTCGAAAGTCTATCTCAAGAATTTAAATAGCTTGTTTCTGTTATCAGTAACTCCACGATTAAAATACACATACGATAATATCATACACGATATATTTTTTTTTAATTTTATAACATTGTCATAACTAATATTCATAATATAACATATGACATAATATTGATATTGTTAATTATTGTCAATTTTGAATCAGTCTATGTTATTATATTGTGCTTTGAGATTGTGACGTATTTATACGGATCAAATCGTATTGATTACGAATAGATACGTAGTTTTATAATTTTTGTAAAGGATTCAATATTTATAATTTATATGAGTTAAGTATATTATATTATTTTTAAATTTATCGCATATCATATTTACAATTATAGATAATAAGCTAAATGTTTATTAAAATTTAATATAAGTAAAGGACATTTTTATACAGTGGATAAATTATTCCTAAAATACAAAAATTTCAGAAGTATAATATTTTGTAAAATTTGTAAATTTAAAAATTAACGTTGCTTATAAAGACAACAAATTTTTCACTAAAATGATGGATACTATAATACAAATTGGTTACAGTTAGAATGTACTGCCAATTATAGATTTAAGAAAACAAAACAAAAATATATCGTGTTTTAACATAACAATAAGTAATATACAGTAATTAATAAAAATACATTTACCCTATGCAATTAGATAGTCACGAGTAAAATAATTTAATACAATCAATAATCAAATGAAAAATAAAATGGCACAAATTTCTTACGAACTTTATACGGAATAATACAGTTTTGTGATAAATTTGTTTTTATTTTTTTATTAACTATCGACTATCGTTCATTTTGGTTGTTCGTTTATTTTATTACAGAGAAATGGTTTTGAAAATAATGTAAACACGAGCACTACACACTGCACGATCGCACTTTACGGACATACAGAATATTCGAATTGTGACCATTGCGTGACATAAAAAAAACCATCGTGTCTAATAAACTTGTTAGTTGGTATAGTGTATACCTTATACTGTCACCGTGAACGTGTGCAATCAGTGAATGCCAACAGTCGCCGGTGAATGTTGATATATACAGTACACTAAAATCATCGACGAATGTTGGAAAATTATTGAAATATACATTTTATAGCGTGAATGTTTACTACCTAGTGAATGGGGACAAAGTGATGTTGCAGTGACTGTAGACAATAATGCGGAATGACAGTTTTCGAAGTGTCGGCCGCGGATGTGGATCATTTTTTGTCTTACTACACAATATTTTATTTTACTGTTTCATATAGACACATATTTGTTTTCAAATTAATTATAAATTCTCGGCATCTAATAAGTTATTAGTCCGCATTAACTATATTGATGGTATACTAAAATTTAGGTGTTTTTAATTTTTTAATGTATAAACTGAGAAAAATCAATATGATAATATTTAGTATGTTAAAAACGAGAAAATATTTGATAATATACATTTCAACTGGAGACGGCGGACGCGTCCGAACGAAAAAATAATATTGCACCGTAAGTACGCAAAAAAAGAAATTACACGCACAAAATCATTAATTATTGTATTGTTTATTTCAACGTATGCGTTTGACGAAAAACAATACAAAAGCACACGGGGAAAGGCATTGGCGTAAAACCTATGTGTACAATAAATCCGGGTTTAGAATATACTAGAATATAAACCGACGAAATCTGCAGCTTTCAGTTTATAAGGAAAATATGTATCGATTATAGATATTTTAAAACGTACTCGGACCGTTTCGTCGAAGCGAGCAAGAAGACTTCTGAACAGGAAGCGTCGTGACGACGTAACCGTAAAACGAAATGTAGCACAGAAAAAAAGTGTCGGTAATCGTATAATTATATTAAAGAATGTTGACATTTTGAATTCCACACTATGTCAAGGAAAACGACGCCGGTGTAAGAAATAATAAAATTAACGTATAAAAATCTGAAAAAAAAAAAAATAAATAACTATAACGAAATAATATATTCTGTGTTTTAAATTTAATTAAATACGAAACATTATTGTTCTGTTCAAATCCACTAGGATATCGTAGTGTAAATACTTTTTTCATTCGTCCGTATCGGCGCACGTTCACAGTAACATCATTTGTACAGGATATTATGTATTTAATTAATGTTTATAATATTATATACTCGCCTGATATAATATTCAAGTATCTACACGAAATTGCCTATATTAAACTTGAAAATTCCAATAATATACCGAAGTTGTATGTTTGTTATTAAAACAAGAATATACAATAGATGGATACCTACCTATGATGTGACTCATTGTACACGTGATTCAATAAAACCATTTGAAACCGTGATATTATAATCTGGGCGTAATGTGACGTACCTATGTATTATTCTCTCTGAAACACTCGCGGGATGAATAATCGAAACAATACAACAGGCAGACGGCCGTCATTAGTTTAGTAATAAGGTTAGTGGCTCAACAAGAAGGAAACCCGGTCGCTGCGAATCTCGGAAGAGATTTCCGAAACAATAATTTAACACGGTGACGTAAAAATAAAAGAAAAAAAATTTCAACATTCCGCTGTGATTTTGGCTATGAAAAAGATGTTATTTTTGAGTCGCAAATTAGGAATATTGCAACGGATATTGGTTATTGCAGTGTTGCCGCTGATCATCATCACACTGTCCACAAATATTTCTGCATTGTCCGTCAAAGACACGTTCCATAATATCAGTCTTTCCACCGTGAGTACAATTTTTATTAATATGTTTAAAACATTATTGAATTTTTCCCAAAATACGTTTATAGTGACCACAAATTACATACCTATAATTTTAGAATTTTTATTAAATTTGTTAGTGTATATAGATCACCTTTATGATTATAGGGCCTACCTATTTGGATTATTTTAAACGTGTACACATACATTCACGAATTACCGTACTTTAATATTTACTTTTTTACTTTCTTACTAATACATAATATTGTTGAAATTTTAAATTAATAATAAAACAAATTAAAATTACACAAAACTCACAATAAATTTAATGTTTTTAACTAATGTAATACGTTATTGCTTAAACAAAAAATGTCCGTGTACACGTGCATAATATTAAAAAATAATATGAACACGGATAGTAAATTTAGTTCTAGGTAAAAATTTCCGAATAAAAATTTCCAAAAAAAAATTATCCAGAGGTAAAAAAGTTCGGGAAAAAAAATCTATGAGAAAAGAAAAAGAAATGAAAAAATGTTAATGTCACTTATGTCAATAGATCTATAGAAAAAAAGTCACTAGGTTTATAAAAAGAATAATATAAGATAGTTGAACCATTTTACAAAAGGATGTAGGATGTTGGATTCTTTAGCTTTTTAACCAATCGATGATGTACAAAGTTGATTTGACTTTTTAAAAACAGTTATGTCCGAAGAAGCCATTATATTTATAGACATATGAATTTTACGAATTATTTTCGTAATTTTTATTTGGTAGATACTCTGTGTATACAATTATTAGGCTAAACAGAAATGATTAAAAATTTAACAGTAGGTATATTATAAGTCGTACTTAATTGTAAAAAAAAAAATTGATTTTCATGTAATATTTTTTTTTATACAAATTTTAATATCAAATTTACACGAAAATCATAAATTAGTAATCGTAATCGTAAATACGGCCTTTAAAACATCTATAACCGAATTTCGCTCTGAATTGTTTTTCGTTATCAATGATTAATCTTTATTTACAGATATAAATTAAATAACTTTATATATCCTACCTTCCCGACTTCCCACTAACAACAGTGGCGCACACGTCCCCAGATTACATTTTGTATTATTATTATTATTATTATTATTATTATTATTATGATTTTATTTTTGTTTCAATTATACGATGTTCACATTGATTTTTGGTCAATTTTATCAATTTGTCATTTTTATAACTTAAGATACTTTTTTTCAAAAAAAGCTTAGTTAGTAAAAAGGCTCCGAATTGTTAGAATCGTGAATTAAAATAATATACGGATATTATAATAGTACTTTACTCGGTGGTATTTTAATTGAAAAATATTTAGATTCTCAACAGTTTTTCTATAAAATTAAAAAAACTAACAACAAATTAGGATACGTTTATTGATTGTTGGGTTAATTCAACCACGGAACAAAAAGCCACGACTAGTACTACTTACTTCGCTCAGTATCGTTATTTGTTTTCGATGATTTATCGCTGCAAACAGTATACAATTTAAATTATCTTGTAGATCCGCAACCTTTTTAACTACTCACCTTGAACATTGATATCTTAACAGCTCCTAACAGTATATAATGTACATATTCTATCCGTGAGAAGTATCAACTTTTTATATTTTGAAAGTATATTTCTATTATAAGAAAGAATAAAATAAAATAAATTCTTACCTTAAATGCTTCAAAAACTCACACCATAATTACGCTACCTGTTTAAGCGCTTTTTCAAGTTGTAAGTACAACCGCCCCGAAAAATTCACCAGTACAGGCCTGGGTAAAAATAATAATATTTTCAAGTATCAATTTTACGTGATCTAAAATTACCAATATTTTTCGTTACAATTTTATAATATTACCTATTTGAGTATTTATAGTATTAATAAAAAATGCATTTTTACATTGTACCAACCTGTATATTTTATATTTATTTAATGTACAAATAAAAATTTGAAATTTGTTTCATTCTCGCGCCAAAACAACAACCATAACCTTAAACCTAATCGAAATGTATTTTAGTATAATAATTTAGATAGAAATTACCATGAAATTATGTGTATATGATGTGTCTTACTAGTTTAAAAATATTAAACAGGTGGAAATACTCCATAATAACGGATATGACGTCGAAGTACACAATGCTATTACCGAAGATGGTTACGTTCTGGAATTACACCGTATTCCAAGGAGCAAAAGTGGCCAGGAACCCACCAAAAACTATCCGGTTTTCTTACACCACGGAATTTTTGGGAGTTCGGCTGATTGGGTACTTGCCGGTGCTAATATGTCCTTACGTGAGTATAGTATTTCGACAAGACCCATATCCAACATTTATAATCGGTTGTCACTACAACTCGATGTATTCAACTTATACGTACATTGAAATGTAGCTATGCAACTCGCTGACGATGGACACGACGTGTGGTTGGCAAATTGTCGCGGTAATACTTACAGCAAAAATCATGTGTCGCTGACCGTCAAAGAAAAATATTTTTGGAATTTCAGGTGAAAAAACTGTTCGGTACTATTTAATTGTATCGCATTATTCGTAAATCTAGCCACGAATTGAGGGGTATTTCTGTGAGCTTAAAATAATAATGCATATAATATATTCGATATTTATTTAATACGTGTTTACAGTTTACACGAAATCGGAAAGTATGATCTGCCAGCTGCTATCGACTATATTTTATCGGAGAGCAACACATCACAACTCCATTATATTGGCTATTCTATGGGAACTACAGTGTTTTTCATAATGGCGTCGGAAAGACCCGAATATCATATAAAAATTCGATCCCAAATCAGTCTTGCACCGGTGGCCTATATGTCCAACTCTAGATCGATTATAAACTATATTGCTCCTTACGGAAAATATGTGAACGTTAGTAGAAGTTACAATAGGTTGGATATTTAACATTATTTTATTATTAACTCATACATTTTATTTATAAAAATGTAATTAAAAGTGTATTAAATGGTATTGATACAGAAGGAAAAAAATAGACAATACGCCTGTGAAAAGATAATATTTTACTATTCAAAAGACAACAGTTTTAATAATATTTTGTTACTTGTTGAAGACTTTTGAAATTGTTTTATTCTTTGTCCTTTGAAGAGTATTATATTATAATATATTTTTTTTAAATACTCATATTTTGTAATGCCCATAATATAGGCTATGCTCCAAACGATTTCAAATGGAAGGTTAATGCCTCATTCGACAATTCAATCGTATTTAGCCTTCACGATGTGCAGAGAAAAGTTAATGCGGAATTTGATATGTGCAAAATGCATTATATTTTCTATATGTGGAAGTGATCCCTATGATTTCGATTCAGTAATTAATTATTAAATTATATTTTATGCCGTCAAATTTTACTATATGACAAATAATAACTGTTTAATATTTGTACAACTAAATTTTAAACTGTATTATAAAATATTCCACAATGACAGGATTTAATCCCAATTATCTCGGGACACTATCCAGCTGGAACATCGTCAAAACTGGCCGCACATTTTGCACAGTTTATGATGAACGGTAATAATACATGTATACATTTAAAATATTTTCAATCTCCTTATACTTAGTATTGTTACAGACAATTTCAGCCAGTATGATTACGGTCCTGTCATGAACCTGCATTATTACAATTCGACTATACCTCCAATGTACAATTTGGAGTCAAATCAGGTGCCCACCACATTGTTCTATGGAGATAATGATCTAATAGCTGATGTTAAGGTAAATTATTTACTGTTATATTTTGTTAATACACTATTTTAGATTCTGAGTGGGGCGAGATATTAGTTTTACAATAATGTTTAAATTTTTTTTATTTTGTTTTTTTTTTGTTATATACTGTCTACAAATATTCTATCAGAAATCTAGCTACGATGTTTCAAATGTAGCACTTTTTCTGAAGGAGAATTTTCCTGAGGTTCTTTATGAAGGTCATTTTTTGGTTTTCTCAGAGATATTTATAATCTCTATTTATAATAAATAGAAAAAAACGGGAAAATTTACGAAAATAATACTTTTATTATTTTCAATTTTGAGACTTGAAATTCGGACAAAAACTCATATTCAACGTTTCTAGACGTGATAAAATTTTCAAAACATTTGAAGTATTTTGGAACTATTTATAGACATTTTAATTTTACGAGTTTTCTACGTCATTTTTATTCGGTAGGTACTCTGTAAATAAAATTGTAAGACAAAACAAAAATGCTTGAAAATTTAACAACAGGTACATTATATGTTGTACTTATTTACACGAAAATCGTAAATTGTACGGCCTTTTAAAATATCTATAACCAAACCTCGCTCCGAATCTTTTTTCATTATATATTTGTAAATCCTTTTTTTTCTTATTCATTAAATTTTCCTCTACATCCTACCTTACCAACTTCTCATCTACAACAATGACCGACCCATCGTGTGAAGTATCTTTTTGATAAGTTTATATTATTCTATTGATTAAATTTTGCAGGATGTGGCTAAACTAAAATCCCAGCTTCCTAAACTGATGGACTTTGTTCTAGTTGACAACCCGTACTGCAATCACTTGGACTTTATGTGGAGTATAAATGTAAATTCTCAAATAAATGATCCAATTAAGGCAATACTAAAGGAAACAGATGTTATGGCCTGGAAATACACTGGTCCTAGACCCTCTACCACTATTCAAGAAACCAACAATGATGGACTAAGCAATGCCGTTGATCGGATGCCGAACTCGATAAATAACATGGAGACTTTACCGGATCTAGATTTTTTTGAGGAAAATTTAGACACTATAATTGCAAAAACTATGCCTCGGTCTGTTGAAGAGAACGACGTGACAGAGTTTCAAAGACAACGAGAAGTGTTAAATATAATTTTGAGAAATTTGATGAATTTTATAAAGTCTATCGATATGAGAAAAAAGTCACTCCAGGATGGGTTTACTAACGAACTCTCTGAGTGGAACGATCACGTGGCTACCAGATTAGCCAGGATCCAAACATTTTTATTAGGGGTTTAAATAAGATTTTTATTTTGCCGTGAAATATTTCAAAAAATACAATAAATAAAGGGAACCCAGGGCAAAATGAAATACATTAGCTTTAATTTTATATAAAAGTCATTTTTGATTTTAAATGTACTTTAGTACAACTTATTACTTGTTACTCAACTTATCAAATATTATCATCAAGCATTCAACAACTATTTCTCATCATTTTTAAAAAAATTATTCGTTCCATGAAACGTTCCAAAGACGTTTCGTTTTTGTAGTATTGCCGAATATAGAAAAAATCGCCTGTCACATTTTACTCAATGTTCCCCTACTCACCGTTTTAGCAGTATTAAAATATCTACTACCTATTTAGATATAACATAATGAACTGTACCATACAATTTTGTTACAATTCTAAAGTTAATTATTTATTATTAATTTATCTTATATTATTAAATATTATTATTATTACTCAAATTGTTTGTGTTTTTAAGCCAACGGGGGGGATATAACCCCTAACCTTCCATCTTGTGCACACCACCACTTCCGAATTCTGAAATCATAAAATCGCAAGACCTAATGAAATTTAAAAAATCTACTGTTATATCGTTTTTCCTCGTAACTGGTTAGGTAACACACTACAAAGATATTTATGATTTCGACGATTTCGAACCAGAAAATACAGCGGAACCTCGATAGGTCGAAATTCGAGAGAAGTGTAATTTTTTCGACGATATTACAATAATACGCACCGTTCAGTCAGTCTCATAACGGAATTTAGACAATTCTAAACATGTACACGCGATAACATTGTCTTACTATAATATATCGCATCACATGATATGGTGCACATGATAACCAGAAAATTTAAAAAATGGTATAGGTCTATATACAAGTATACATAAATTATATTATCCGATCTTTTTTTTTCAGTTATATTATACACCCATGTATGCACTTCTCCTTCGCATAGGCTATAGGTATTTGTTTTTATCGTGATTCGCGAACTGACCGATTTTAGTCAAATTTTTTGTATTACGATATTATTTTGTTTCAACTATAAATTCGATGGAATTAAATAGAAAACAAACAGCTGAAAAAACTAAAAAAAAAAACCAAGGATGGGTCCTGTTAAATATCTATGAAAAAACAAACGGAATAATTATAATTTAACACCGACAAATTATTATCAGAAATTAAATCGACAAGATAGAAAACGTAACCAAATATCGATGTACCTAAAACTATTATTATTATTTTTTTTTTTTTAATAAATAGTTTTAACATTTTTGTCCGGAAAAAGCGAATTTAAAAATAATAAATATAGATAATTAAACGCAAAAAAATGAAATATTTATTAAAAACGAATAATTTTCCCATTTATACAATAAACTTAAAACGCTAATGTATCAAAAAATAAATAATACAACCATCACATCTGTTTTGTATACATTTTAAACCAATAAGCAGTTTTTAATTTTCAGTTTTCAAGACCTTCAAAATTAAGATAATATTTGTGAACATTTTCGAGAAAAAACATTACATTTGTATTTATTTCGGTCACATCGAATTTTAAATCGATAAATCTGCTCCTTTAAAACTCAGACAATTTGTTAATAAATCCACACATAAACTTTACAAATCTAAATCGAATGTTGGGTATTTAGAAGTATTTCAAATTTTCAATTATTTCAGATTGATGTTGAAAAGTCGTATCACTATACAGTAAAAAATAATTTTAAAATTCAACTAAATTGGAAAGAATACGAAAAACGATTACCGACTTGACACGATATTCGATGTTATTTTAAACTTTCGAATTTTCTGATAAATATTTTGTGTCACGCAAAATTTTAAATTTTCGTTATTTACATTAATTTCTAGGCAGTATGCTAATTGATTCGAGTTTGGTATGAAAAATCGAATGTACTTCATGTTTCTAGTATTGACCGTTTAATTGTATAGTTTTTTATATGGCCGGTTATTAATTCTTGCCATTGGTGGTTAACCGCATGGCGTCATTATACGTTCATTTGTATTTGTGTCTGGAAGCCCCTCAAAGTCCAATATTCATAAAATATCTTAATTTAACTACCGAACATTTTTTTGTGCGGATATTGTATTTACAAATTATTGTTCAGATTTTAGTTTACTATTACAGACTACAGTAAAATAAGAAAAAAAAACGTATAATAATTTAACGATTATATTTGTACACCAATTACTGAAAACTGAAATTCACTTTTTTGAATACAACATATATAAATATATATCAGTATATTCGCGAAATCCATTTCCATTTTTTAGAAATATTATCGAATAATTAAACTAACTTTCTATTCAAAATCGCATTGATTTTCATGGCCTTTAAATTTTTCATTTATGGACCCCTAAAACAAAATGTTCCTGGAGCCCTTAGTGTGCCAGGCTGATACTGTTTTCGTTTGTTCCACGTAACTCAACATTTTTCTATAGTTAATTTACGATTTATCGTAAACAATGTGTGAATAAAACACTAGAAATATCAAAAATAACGTGATACGACGCGCGTATCTTTATATTTTCGGTAAATTACTGACAAAAGATTAAAAAAAAAACATGAATCGATGAGTCAATTCCCATATGATTTTGATATTGCCCCGTGACAAAACAAGTATTTTTCTTTTATAAAGATACATCTCGTATACCCGTATTGTATATGTACAGTGGCAAATTAAATATATAATTACAATCTGTGTCTCGTTAAAAACCGTTTCTCTTTTATAATGATTAATAGTCCATTAATTATCCCATGCAATCAACAGAAACCCGAGAGTGGAGGAGGGAGAAATTCAATTTTCATCTTTTAAGAACAAAATTCGTGTATGAGTCCCTCTTTATTGGGATTAAATTCCCGAAAATTCTTTCTTAGCACTTGCTCACTTGTTCACATTAGGCTTAAAAAAATGTTGCAAGAACATGCGATTCGGACTGTGTGATTACGAATCAAGAGACATGATATTATTGTTGTTCACGAAATCGATAAAATTTAAGTTTATTACACGGTAAACCTAAAAACAATCTCAGGCGTTCTAATTTAAGTTCATAATATAGATTATATTGCATATAACGCATTAAATGACTCGTTTTAAAAACCCGGAATAAAAAGTTAAGTTATTAATCATTTAAGACACAAATAATTGACTAAAGAAAAAAATAAAAGAAAAATGTTTACAATAGCGACAACAAAGTCATACGTGCAACGTAACAAAGATACGATCACTTCATTATTGTAGGAATATTGATTATCATTGAAACAATATTAAAAAATTATTATGTAAATAAACGAAAAATATATAGATTGATTTATAGAATCGAATATATTATAATTAAATTTCAATCGTTTAAATGTGAATGAAAAAAACGAAAAACCATTTAAAACTACACGTTACACAACAAAATGATAAAGTTTTTGTAAACAAATGTACAAGACCTAAAAAAAGAAAGGACGTCTTAGGATAATGAGACCGAGTGCAGCCACTGTTATAGGTAATTTAATGTATACCTATAATAATGATAAACCATTTCTTACGAAAAAACGATTTTGAGCAGAGTTCAGTTAATAGTGATGTCTTGTCAACAATATATATGCCATAATATAATAAAATAATTAAATAGGCTCTATACATTTTCTTTAATAATTTTTTAATGTTGTACCGATTTTCCGATCAGTGTTGCCACATAAGTACGCCATAAATTTATTACATAATTACATGCATTATCCATACACTAGCGCCCCTTGTAGCCACTACGGTGATCATATAAGAGTTGCCAGGGTGGGAACAATGCACGTAATTTATTGTGTAATAAATGTATGGCGTACTTATGTAGCAACACTGATATTTTTTGTGATAGAACTGGTAATTGTACCTACTACGTCACTTTGTTCGTTTATTTTATAAATGTTGAATATTAATGTATTACAGTACATTTTAACCAGGTATCCAATAATAATTATAAATTAATAAACAATAATTAAAGATGTAGTTATTTAAATAGGTATAAATTGTAAATTATAATATGAAAAAATGTACTTGCCTAAACTCCAGAATTCAAACCCAAATAGATTGGCACGTAATACTATGTATATGCTAAGTGACAACGGAAAGCCAAAAACCCAATGTTTAGTGACAAGTGAAACGAAATGTCACTGTAACGTCTGTGTTCAATAACTGAATACCTATAATAAACGTGTAGGTATTAATTTAATAAATATATTAAAAAAAATAATGTCAATGACAGTCGATTCAAGGATCCAATTGCCAAAAGGCGCAACTATTGGGAAAGTCCACAATCAGGGATACTGTGCTTCATATTGGGTGATTATTAATCTTTTTATAGATATATTCTATTTTCCTTATCAATGGTCTTAAATGTGTTAACATTTTAGGCGCATAATACTACCGGTGCATTCGCAGATCGGTTGTGTATACAAGCAAATAGCCATTTTAATAGGCTAATATCGGTTGAAGAATTAGCATTCTATTATACGTACTATGGCCAAGGGTGTAATGGAGGTGATATCTATCCCGCCTGGAAATTTTTCTAAACTCATGGTTTAGTCACCGATGATATTTATAACAGTTCAAACGTAAGTCATTTTTATTTTATAACTATCGCAATATCATTAAGAATAATTAAAATAAATCAATTTCCACACATTTAAAATTATTAAAAACCACATTTTAGCAATGTCAACCGTATAAAAGAAATTTGTTGAAATTGACTCGGCCATTCTCGTCCGGAAAATAGTGCTTAAAATTCGGTGACTGGACCGAAATCCAAACGATTGCTCTACCACTGAGCTACTCGATACTAACTTCTAACACATTTCCGTTGAACTTAAATGGCCTAACGTTCCGGTTTTGGGCAGTCGGTGGAGTGGTAGTGTGTACGGTTGAGAGGACGAATCAGTAGCTGTGTTAAAGTTGATGGATATTTAACTAAAATTAGGTATACTTAACTATTAAGAGTTAAGTATTAAGTATGAAAATAATGTTCAACACAATTTTACAAACAAATGTTTTCAAACAATCATCATCTTACTTTTTGGTTTTACCTGTTTGAACACTGGGCATTAAATTGGAGTTAAAAGAAAATATGCGCATTCTACAAACACATAATTGAATGTGATTATTATAAAATATTGTACAATATTATAAACATAATATGATGTTATAATTAGGTGCGATAAACGATGACTACAAACTAGCATTTGTTGTTTTCGTCAGTCGTCTTTTAAACTGTAGAACGAAGTAAATGTTATCCAGTAGAATCCTTTTTTGTATTTTCTATTTAATCTTTGAATATACATTAAATAATTTAAATTTAAAAAATCTGTTTTTAAATTTTAGCTAATTTATTCAGAATAAATACATCATTTAATGTACCTTATTAGATTCTAAGTATGATAAATATTCCATATCAAATTACCAAATGCGTATTTCTGAGCCTTAGCACATCAATAGCTTAGCACATGTAAATTCGAAAAGTGAATACAAAAAAAAGTGTGTATTTCGGCTATAAACGGAACAATTAACTACAGAGCAGCCAGATTAAACATGATAATCGATATGCGCATAGTTAAAAATTTTTCCAAATTTGAGAGCTGTGAAAATATGTACAATATTAGTACATAAATTAATACTTATAAAAAAATGTATGGTTCTAAAATTTATATTTTATTATTTTAGTCATTAATAGAAACATTGTTGAAAATTGTATGTTTATTGTTTATACTTTAAAAGTATGGAATTCCGGCAGTGGACTCTTCTTCAATATCACACTCGTTTACGCCTCTGAGAATTTTAAACGTTCCTTGATCTCCGAATTCTGATCCCCAAGAATTAATCACCAGCCAATAGGGTTTACCATATTTTCTACCCCATCCAATTAATTTGACAGAGTGTAGTCCCAAAAATGACGCATTTTCCGTTTTAAAGTAAACACCTGTTAGAAAATAAATTTTTAATTTAGTTCAAATTTATGGTAAGTACTAAATAAAAATTCATATTTATCATACAATTTTACCAGATTCATAATTAACGAAGTCATCATAAACCGAAAATGTCACTTCTATAGGTCCATATGTCATAACATCTTGTTGCATGCTTACATTGGAGAGAGCATATGCGCTTATACCTATATACGTGATAAATACAAATATACATTGTACAATCGTAGAAAAAAAGTATAGATACTCTATATTATAAATTTTACTTGTATGGTGGTCATATTTGTAATTAATAGTTTTATCTCCATAACAGGTTTTAGAACATTCGGGATAGTATTCTCGTTGAAGTGTGCACGAGCTTTTATTTTCGTTTTTAAAAGAACAAGGAGGTATTTTGTACGGTTGACAACCCTAATATTATAATATAATATAGGAACATGATTTCAAAATGTTTTTATCGTAAATATTTATTTCGTTATATTATTTACATCAGATGTGTTATAGTTTCCCCCGGTGACTACACCGTGAACTATGAAATTTTCCCAGGCTGAATATGGGTCACCTCCATCACACCCATATCCACAGAGACTACAACAAAATGTCAACTCTTCAACGGAAATAGACTTATTAAATTTACCATTCGTCTTTATACACAATCGGTCTGCAAACGCTCCTGTAGTACTGTGCGCCTAAAAATGTAATACAAATAACATCGGCAAGTTATGATAAATAAATTTACATTTGATTTTACCCAACAAGAACCACAGTCTCCTTGATTGCGAATTTCCCCGATCGTTTTACAATAAGGCCATCGTTTTCTTGCGTCAAATGTATCTGGAACTTCGTTATTTTTGACATACAGTGCATCAGTTTTCTTAATTCGACGTTTTGAAATTGTATTTAAACTTTTGGATTTCCTTGATCCTAATAATTTTACAATATGTTCTCTGGGGGTATTTGGATGAAAATTTTGTTTCGCCTAAATTAAACTAATTATTATTAGTTATTATTATTATACTAAATTAAACATTAACTATGTAACTAACTCAACAAGGTTCGAAATTAATTTGCCTATAAAACGCACACCAAATCTAACCAGTTGTACCTTTAACTCTGTATAATTTTAGTAATTTATTTTCACTACATAAATCGATAAAAAAATAATTTATTTTAATATCATGAATTTATATAAATAGATACACACAGATAAATAAATATTATTCAATGACATTTTATTCAGTTTAATTCACACGAAGAAAAAACTTTAGAATATAATATAATAATTTTACCTTCCACGATGTAGCAATTTCATTAAGTTTATGTATGCGTTCTTTACTTAAAAAATTTGATTGTTCTGTGTGGTAAACACTAAAGAAAACTACTGTAAATAAAATTAAAGATGTATACATTACTTTTTTTGTATTAAAAACAAATTATATTCGATGTTTAATGTCAATATTCACAAAAAATTTTAAAACTATCGACTATTGTTACAAATGATGTAAATTATGGTGTATTCCATTAGCAATCTCATTGATTATTTAAATATTAATATAAATTTTATTTTATAAATTATCAAAACCTATATACACAAAAATAAAAGTATATAAACACTTAATCCAGGCATCGAGGTATTCAGCTTATCGGTTGTTTTTTTTTTCTTGATCGCTTAATAACAATAAAAATGCGAAAAGAATAAGCTTAGCACTTCATAGTTTATTTTATTATACACAAACTTTGAATAAAATAAAAATATTATACACAGTTCCTTGATTGCTTTTTATTTATTAATAAATGGTTATTATACCTACAGCAAGTGTTAATAAACCAATAACAATCAATTTTTTAATTTTAGTAAATTCTAATCTTTTTTGTTCTGCCTCGCACATTGCCACGCACTCTCACTTCAATCCGCATAATATTGTTAAATAATAGGTGATATAGATTATACGTACCTACCTATATGAAGTGGAAAAAAACGAGATGTAGACATTTCAAATAACCTTGAAACGATAGGTAGGCAGGTTGGTACTCTAAAGTTTGTTTAGTTAATGTACAAATAATAATACTTGGAACATATTATTATAATTTATCTATTATAACTTATCGGATTCACCTCTAAATAGAGTCGTTGCCAAGAGGCGAATGGGAGTTCCCCCTAGAACCACTAACCATTGCCGCCACCCATTTACTACCGGGGAACCTAATAGTACAGGTTCCCTTGTACATCAGCATTCTTTGCTGGAGTTTAGACGATATCGCTGCACACCATTCTTAATATCGCGCGTATAATTGCATACAGATAAAACCGATAAGGCGATAAGTAATCGATTGGGTTTATTATTAAGTTTAAATCATATACTATGGATAGAGTTATTGACTAAATATTTGAACTAAACATAACTAATGCGCAGGCGCAAAATTTATATCACACGCAATTGGTCGAATTCACGTAATCACTTGTAATGTACCTACCATCACTGTCTGGTGGTATTATAATGATTATACGATAAATATGCGACGAGTACTGATACGCATGCGCAATAGACATCAGTCCCCTTAGCACTCGTTAATAATGATGTCTTCAACTCTATCATGCAGTAGCTTTATCCATATTATACGATCTAAGTTAATAAGTAATAACCAATTTTACCACGTGTACTATAATAGGAAAAATGGGTAGAAAATTATAATTACCTAATACCTATAATCAAAGCTCATTAAATAATGTTATTACTTGGTTATAATTATTAATTTATCTAAAATATAAAATGTATAAAAAAATTATTTTTCATTTTAATAACGCCCCTCCTAAAATTCCAACTGCCCCTCTCACAATGTAATATTGCTACGGTTCTGCCTATAGGTACGAGGAATGTAGGATTTGGTGACCAAGTGTTGTTTAAAATGATTTGAGGGCAAAACTGAATGCGCAATGCGCACACAAATTTATATACGATACCTATATCTTATAAATTATAATTTTGTTTTTCAATCACTCATTATAAATACTGGACCCGATGATCTATTTAAATGGGTACGATCATTATCTCGGAAAGTATTAACTTTTTTCGGAATTTGTTTTATTGGACATTTAAGAAACAAATTGCTCTACAATTTTATATTTATGTTATTTTTTGTCACCCTTATTTTTGGGAATGAAACCACCACTTACTTTTGATTTCCAAATGACAACCTATATTAAAAAGTCCATAAATAGATGGAGTTAAAACAAATTTTTTGTGTTGACGTTTTTGATTTCCGTCGATCCGTTGACGAGATATTCTACTTTTAAGTTTGGGTTGGACGACAGTAGTGGTGCATTATTAACAAGCCGCGCACCATATCGCGACACAGATGATACTTTCTAAGATAATGAGTGTACCCACTTAAATCTATCACCATCACCTGGTAGTAGTGTAGCCAGTGTAGGTACCTTTTTTTTTTTTTTTTCTATAAAATGTTTGTATATTGTTAAATAATTTAATAATAAATAAATTATGAACACCAATAACAAAAACCAAAATAATCGAAAATTTAAGCCGAGAGCATTGGAACGGAATTAAAAAAATAGAGAGGTAAAAATAACATAAATCAATTTTAAATAAAATTAATGCCACGAGCGAAGCGATCTTCTTATATTTTTTTTTTTTGTGGGTGGGACTTTTGGTATGTAGGCTCTTTAAATTACTTCCCAGTAAAAAAATAATTGCCTATCCGCCACTGGCAACAACTTCAAACATTAACAATGACATTAGGTAAAATACATAGTAAAAACAAGGACACAAATATAACAATATCTAATAAAGAAAGAAATTATAAATAACAGTACCTAATAAGTACAATTGATATAATATATAGTGTACGCAGTAGCGGAACTAAAATTTTATTACTGTGGATTAGCTATTTTCAAAAGGCCACTTTTTATTTCCAATAATATTAGGACCAAGGACAGAATTTTTTTGGAGGAGGAGAGCTGAGTAAAATTATTTTAAGCCACATGGTATGGTTCATGTTCTATATTATTATAGAAGTATTCTGAATGGTTTTAAAGAGTATTTTATTCTTTGAAAAATAATACTTTTTTTAATCTCGTTTTAGAGTGGCAATGCTTAACTTTAAGAAGTTTGTTTTATTTTTTCAGAAAATACTTTTTCAGTGTTCTGATTTGTTCACACATTACATTAAAATATTCATAATTTTTTAGAATACCCAATAGGTAATTAAAATATAATACATAACCATGTGTACCATCATAATATAATATTATCTGTAGTTCCCTTTGAATCATCCGAACTCAATCTAACATTTTGTTTAAACGTGTATTTTGAAACACTATTGTATGTCATTCGAATGGATATTCTGAATACTATTTTCTGTGTGTATTGGATTATTTATTCTAAACACTTTTGAAAAGAATTTTACCCAAGCCTGATTATATATTATTATAATATGTGATATGCTTCAATTTCGATAATTTATCATTTTTTCCATGTGAAAAAATTAAAGTCTATAACTTATCACAAAAACTTTAACAACTGAATTATGTTTGAATGTACTTCTTCAAATAAACCATTTAAATTTTATTATAGCTATAGATATTAAAATGATATACGTGTACTTGTCAATTAATATTACGATTAATAATATTATTAACTTATGATTTCCTCATCGTATTTCTCATTGTTGATTAATGATTACCATTCATGTTTTCGTTGTAATTTATAATTTCCCTATGAATATTATTGTATTAACTTTGTGTATGCTTCAACATAGGACATAAAGCCTACCTATATCATAGAAATAAAACTATAAATGTATAGACTGATAGCAGAAATAGAACAACTTACGGCCGTTTATTAAAATATATATGAATGTGATTCTTTTTAAACAAACATTTCCTTTCATATGTTTAAAGACTTAGGATTTTCAGTTAATTAAAACTGTTATGTTAAAAAATGTTTGGTGTTTTTTTTAAACGACCTAAATAATATTTTAAGAAACCTCCTCACAGAATGAAACTTTGTCGAGAAAAGGTAGTCTACGCAATCGCTATTCTCAAAATCTTCTCAATTCCTAGACGGATATATCCACCTCCCATGGCCAAATCAAAAAAGCCAATCAAAAACGCAGTGGATTTTATCACCCACAGTTTTTTAATATTTGCGGGGGCAGAAGCTAAGCAGAAATTCCAGGAGTAGGCGCAGGAATTGGCAGGAATTGAGCACTAAATACTGGCATCGGAAAAAGTAAAAAAAATGGAAATGGGTGGGGGTGGGTAAATGTACGTGTGCATTTTGGTGTCCCGCAGTCATTCTTGCAATACTCGTTTCAGGTTCAGCATCAATGCATCACAGTACAACATTTTCCATCGAAGTCCTAAAGCCAACTACTTGTAATTAGCCCTCCACCTCTCAAAAAGAGTGAATGTAACATAGGATAGATTAAACGTAAAACACATACGCATATATACATATTATACAATACATTTTCCAAAAAAAGAATATTTTTTAAAAAATAGTAAGTTAAAAATGTTTTGAAAAAGTTTAATACTAAAGATAAAAAAAAAATACATAAAATAATCCTACAAAAAAGTTTGAAACGAAATATTATTATTTTTAAATTGTAATTATTTATTTTGTTTGTCCAATTTTTACTACGTACCTATAATACCAAGGTATATGTTATGTGTACCTAAATGCAGCATACAAATAATAATTTGCACACAAACAAAATATGAAGGTAATATAATATTTACATAGTTTGTTTTATTATATTTATTATTTCAACAATGCCGTGTTGTCTTATTCAAGGCGTGGAAAAATGTTTTCTCATATAAGAAGCTGCTCCCTACAAATGCATGACGCAATAAAAATAACAACTACATTCACACACTATTATAGGTGATTATTGAAAGTATTAATTTGTTTATTTCTATCCATATTATCCCGACAGTTTATAGTAAAAAACATAATATTTTGTTAATTGTTATGAACAAAATCTAAATATTTGAATTGGTATGCTATTGTGCGTCGTCCATCGTCTAAACTCTATGTATGATGATTGAAATGTATAAAGTATACTATAATATAATTGCCTAAGTTATTTATTATACAGAGTCAAGGTGTGACAGGATTATTTGACATTTGTACATTGTAGCTGCATGTAAAAATTTCAAGTAATCCAGTTACGGCTGTTACATATAAATACATGGTTCAGTGTTAGTCATTATTTTAATATTATTGTAGATTCTAGCCCAACCAGAAATATATCGGTTTATGGTGCGCTGTTATCTTTTTTATGATAGATACTCTAATTAAGTTGATTATGCTTGCATTAGTCATTTTAAAAAATACGTAATTGCACAATGATTAGTAAGTACATTTATAAATGCTAAAATTATTAAAAACAATAATAATAATTACCCAAATAGTTTTTATTTTGATATGGACAATTTTCGAATAACGAACAAAATTGTATGATGTAACCGGTTGAACTGATATTTTTATAATGACAATTATATATACATAATATATATATATATATATATATATATATATATATATTAATATTTATTTATTTATGTATATATTTATAATTTATATATACAGAGTGATTCAATCAACTGGAAACACTCATTGTCTCAAAAATTATTAACATTTTTCAGGATTTAATTTGTGCAACATTCAGGAAATAAGACATTTCTACAGTTTTACATTTATGTGATTTTTGTCACCCTTATTTTTGGGGTTGAACCCACTATTTACTTTTGATTTTCAAACAGTAACCTATATTACAAATTCCATAAATAAATGGAGTATTAGTTATATTATAATTTGGTGTTAAAATTTTTGATTTCAGTCAATCCGTTAATGAGATATTCCAATTTTAAGTGTGGGTTGGGGAGAGTATCATTTTGTGTGGCAGCACGGCACGCGGGATTTTATGGTGCACCATTAATGTCCCGCGACCCAAACTTAAAAGTGGAATATTTCTTCCGGCATCGGCTTGACGGAAATTAAAAATTTCAACACTGAAATTTATTTTAACTTATACTCCATTTATTTAAGGTATTTTCAATAAAGGTTGCCATTTATAAATCAAAAGTAGGTAGTCGTTTCATCCCCCCTCCTGTAAAATAAATTATAATGTACAATTTTAGAATTATTTGTCCTTTAAATTTTCAAAAAAAAAAAAAAAGTTCTAAAAAAATTAATACTTTCGGAGCTAATGAATGTTTCCATTTGAGTGAATCATCCGATTTAGGGTTTCGCTCGAGTTGGCGAAGGTACGACCAGGTGAATTTATAGATCAATATATTAAACTTACAAGTCACCTTAGTCACCTATACACTTAAATTCGTGCGCACCTAATAAATCGATAAATGTATAAATAATAAACATGAATATCACCTACATATTTTACAACAGCTCGTTCTATTTTTGTTTCGCTCTGTTGTGTTCGCCCGTTTGTATAGATATTATTCATTCGCATTCACTTTTTAACACGCAAAATCCACAGGGGGACTGCGAAAACAGCAACAATTTTGAGATAGGGACGATACCTATACATGGGTAGGTATTTTGTATTTTTTTTTTTTTTTTTATTGTCACGTTGATTATTGGATACATAGAATAGGAAATCATTACCTGTAATCAAAGAAATATATGTGGTGATAATATATAATTATAATAGCGAGTGACAAGTTGAACATACGTTATTTTTTGAGTTGCATAAAAAAATGCTACGGTCCTCGACTGTTGTTACACTTGCAGGCCCTTCGCGTCTTTAGCCATTACTCCGGATAAATTGTGAGAGGTCACTGTAGGAATATGACCGTTCGCTTGAACGCCTAGTAATTTGTATACATGCATAACAATCGTTAACACGCAATTGGCATTTATATCGGTCACACAATAGTGCCTACCTATACTGCAGTGTTATAACCGGCGTGCACAATATAGTAATATGAGTAGACAATGACTAATAAAAATGCGTCGCATATATTACGTCGGTAACATGCGGCCGCGAATAGAGAAGACGCTCTTAGTCTGTCCCCAAATCAAGTCCTTGTCAAGTGTATGCAAAGTGCGCTCAGCCAATATAATGAGGGACGAGCCCTCCAAAATATTCGGTCTACTCGCGCCTTATGGTCGGTAGGTGCATGGTTAATATTTCCATATATTACGGTATTTTGCAGTAATTATATAGATAGATGTATCTAAATAGTTGTTTTTTTTTTTCTCGGAAACACTTTTTATATACGCTCCGATTTTCCCATGGTAAAACGCCGTGTGAAATATTTTTTGGAAATTCTCAGCAGTCCAACCCTGGACAAATCCAGTTTAACTGTGGGCACCTACTAATAGACAGTTACTTATGAAACACAAAGTTTGTTTTGTATGGCTGTAAAATACCTAGTCCCCTAACTGTACTATCCAAACCACGAAAAAACCTTGAATTCTGTATCTATTTATTTTCGAATTTCCGCGTTACAGTAGCTTTGTTAAATTGCGTAAGTAGCTACATACCTGTAATACCGATAAAGGATCGGGATACCTAGTAAGTGGTCGTAACGCGTTCGGGTACATACCAACTACACATCCGTATTTTCGCCCATAAATGTAAAACACGTTTGGGCACACACTACAACACGTTCGGGGAACCACCTTGACAAATACAAATACGGGATAGTTGGATAACCCGGAAATCGCGGCGATGTTGCGTTTTATGATTTATAAACTTTTGAAAACGATTTAACTGTCTTTATGAGATGAGCTATTCCCGGACAACTCACAGGTATTACGTAAAAACACTAGACGGCCGATTAAGAACTGGATAAAGATGTTTTGATAACGGCTATTGTTTGCTTATTCTTAATAAGATTCTTAAATAGATTCCGGAAATGTTCGAAAACGAAATCGGGCCGACTATAGGTAACATAAAAATATTAACGTATTTGTTGTTTGTGCAGGTGTGTGTCCAAACGTTTTGTTAACGCGTACCCGGAGACGTTTCGTTTGTCCTTATTGCTGCGTCCTCGCGGACGCGGCGTTGTTCTTAATTTTCGCATCCCCGCACAGAAACACCGGGAACAATTGTTTTCGGTTACAACCGACAAAAACAGAAATCGACTATGCTAGTTTTTTATACTCTCGTAATAATAAACCCGGGTACTCTCGTTTTACGGTAGTCGCGTAAACAGCCAAAACCGTTTCTCGGCCAACACGACCAGACGACCCGACGGAGGGGGGGGGACGACCCGTCGACGGCGCACACATATTTGTCAACTACCGGTTTTGATTTCGACACACGGTCGCGTTGATTCGGGGCGCACACCCGGTGAACACAACAAAAACGGCGCGCAAACGCACCGTCAGTTACGCTGGTCATGCGTATACGCGACGTCCTACGCGTGCCGTACTACACCGCCGACAACGCGCAGTACTCAACGGTTCCGCGTCCAGACGCGACCGTACCGCGCGTACGTAACGATACGAAAACGTCGCGTTGGTATTTTCCGTCCCACCACCCATACGCCGTCGTCTCGACGCTCCTCGGCGTTGCCGGGTTGTCGTGTCGCGGTGCTGTCCGACCAGTTGTCCGCGCGCGCCGTACCTCGTGCCTGCTGTGTTCCGTATTCTTTGGGTACGATATCACCGACTGTAATGTAATCAATATTTACTTTTTCTCAACCGGATAACGATAATACAAATAACTGTTGTATCCATTTAAAATTCAATAGGACGCGCGCGCGATGCGGGATTTTTCGATGCGACATAATTTATTGGTACGAAAATAATAATATTAGGTACATAATATGGTGTAGTACGATTGTCGCGTACAGTCACTTTTTCAACCGTGCATTTATAATTGTTTCGTGTTTTTTTTGCTTAACCGAAAAACGAAAACATGTCTTTCCTAAGTCTAATCGGACTGTTTGTAGTACTGAAGTTGTTTGTGTACTTGGCGTTGTTTCTCACTGGCGATACCGATTTGGAACTATGGTGGTACGACAAGTTCAAAAACAATCTCGGTAGGTACCTAACTGATAATTGTTTAACCTGTTGATCTATCGTTTCAATTCAGTAAAATACCGTCGTATGTGTCGTATCGTACGACTATATTAACGAAAATATGCCTAAAGGCTAAAATACAATATAAGTATATACATATCATGTATTATATTGTCGTAGATTTTAGATTATTTAATGTTTTATTAGGTATTTAGAAACTCTTAAATTATATTGTTGTCTAAAATTATTTAGGTTCTTTCAAGGACAAAGTAGTTTGGATTACTGGTGCCTCCAGTGGAATTGGTGAACAAATCGCTTTGAACCTGTCAAAGCATGGTGCCAAACTTATTTTGTCTGCGAGAAGTCAAGACAAATTATATCATGTTAAAAATCGATGTATTGGTAATTTTTTTTACATTTTAGTATATTATTGTATTTTTTTTTAATATTTATCTGCATTTTTACTTTATGTTACTTGTATGTTTACAGAACTTAGCGAAGGCAAGTTAACTGCTAATGATATACTTGTGTTACCGATGGACGTCACACACATAGCCAAACATTTATCATTTTTCGATAATGTCATCAATCATTTTGGGAAAGTATGAAAACAACTTTATTAAAATAAAATCTAATTTTATTTCTTATCTACCTGCTTATTATAGGTATTTGAAGTTTGAAACATTAGAATACAGCAGGCAAAGTAAAACTTAATTACTTTATATTAACTGATTTATAATAATAACTTATATAAGCAAATAGGTTTAAGTATTGACGTATGAAATTGCCTACTTGTTTAATTTTAACAGCAATCTTAAGCAAATATTATTTTGCAATTGTTTTTCTAGGGAGTATACAATTTATTTTGGATGTGTATCAAATCTATATTTGAAAAAAAAAATTCTAAATTTAAATTATTTTCCAAAACATTAAATATATATAATTGAGTTGAAATAATTTACGTATACAATAAATATTATAGAATACATATTGAGTAACAAAGTTTTGTTCATTCAATGTAATCAAACTTCAAAGACTAATGTAATTTGTAGCTATAATAAATAAATGGTTTAAAAATACTAAAGTTATTAATATTATGTAATTTTATTTTTAGCTTGATATTCTTGTAAATAATGCGGGTCGTTCACAGCGTGCTGTTTGGGAAGATATTGAACTTGGAGTTGATCGCGAAGCATTTGAATTAAATGTATTTTCTACTGTTAATTTATCGAGAATCGCAGTGAAATATTTTAATCAAGTAGGACGGGGTCAAATTGTGATAACTTCTAGTATTGCAGGAATTATACCTGCTCCATTTTCTGCTAGCTACAATGCTACTAAACATGCACTTCATGTAAGGAAATATTGAAAACTATTATTCGATTTAAGTGGTTAAAGGTATATAATGTGAATTACATAGTAAATTATTGTTTTTATGACCATAAAATTACCATAGTGAAATTATTGTAGTTATATATTATATAATTGTAAAAACAAAGGTGTAGTAACTATTTATATGAGATTAAATAACAACTAAAATAATTTGAAATTTATTATTTAAATTGTTAAAAAGTAATTCAAGGACTATGCATTAAAAGCAACAATAAATCGTTTAAAATTTAAAATCTTATTTTGAATAAAACTAGTACCTATTTATTTAAATATTTTCAATTTTTCAAAATTTTAAAAATGGCAAAATTATAATCTCGAAAAATGTCCTTTTTTGGTTGTGATTCAATAAAGATGTTAAATAATATTTATTATACTTGTCTGTTAAAAGGGCTATTTTGGAGCTTTACGCCGAGAAAAAGTACACACAAATATCCACGTTACTATTTTATGCCCTGGCCCAGTTTTTAGTAACTTTCTTAAAGAAAGCTTTACTGCTCGACACGGAGATGTAAGTTAACTATATTCAAAATTGCAATTTGTAAAATTATATATTATTCATCTGAATTGTAAATATAATTAACTATGGTAATACATTGTTAAATAATTTACAGAAATATGGATTGACACATTCACCGACAGACAACAGAATGAGTGCTGAAAGATGTGCTCATTTGTCGTGTGTAGCAATTGCAAATAAATTAAAAGAATCATGGATGGCAAAATTTCCAATTCTTCCAATAACATATTTAACAGTATACTACCCTGTTATTTCATACAAGTAAGATCATTTGTGCATGTTACATAAGTTAACTTATTCGTTAAAAAATATATACTATATATATATATATACAATTTTAACAATGGAAATTAGGTTTATATAATGAATATTTATTTTGTTTTTATTAATGACATTTCATAAATTCATTTTTGTTGTATTATTTAGAACCTTTACAGTTTTGACTTGGAATAATTTACATATTTTATTAAAAATTGTTCTTATTATCTTTTAAATAAGTACTGAAATTAATAATTGTCAACTATTAGTAGAATTATCGATTTAATGACAAATATCATTTAAATACGGTTTTATAAAAAATACAATATTCAATTACAAATCCATAAATAGGTTTAATTGTTAGTAAATAATGATAAAAAGCAAAAATACATATCTTAGAATAAATATTTTTCACGATTCATAGTAATTAAAAAAAATTTGTTTAAATTTACCAAATAAAGCAGTAAGAAAAACTGGAATATAGGTTATTACATGAAAGATTTAACACCTTAAAATAACTTTTGTCCTGTTCAATATTTTTAAACTTTTTTTTCTTGTAGCAATAGCCCTTGCACTATGATTATTTTATTTTATATTTTTTAATAACTAAAAGTAAAATAATTATTTTTACAAAATCCAGGATCCATAAACACATTTTAAAACAAACAGCCGATTTTACAAAAATCATTATTTTTTATAGACAAATTGGTGAATATATAGATATTATTTAATAGTGCAACAAAAACAATTACAACAAAATTGTAAACTTTGTTTTTTTTTTTTAAGAAAACACTAGCAATTTATTATTAGTGAATATTTGTAACAACATTTTGTTTTAAAATATATTTATAAAATAACCATCTTAGATTTTGTAAAAACAATTTAAAAAAATAAATAAATAAATTATTGTCCATGGACTAGCAATTATTATAACAAGAAACAAATTATTAAACAAAACTAAGTTATTTCAGATGTCAGATCTTTGTGTAGATAAAAATACTACCCAAATGTACAATTTCATTTATATTGTTTGAAATAGTTACACAAAATGATTTAATATATTTAAAATCTAGTATTCCACTACAAATGAATTTATAATCTTATTAACTAATATTGTGGTTGTAAAGAGAAAAAAATGTGTTACATGATTTCCACTGTATTTCATTATACGTAATTTAAATTAATTTTTTTTTTTTTTTTTATGATACTAAATATTAATGGTGGACAATGGTATTTATATTATATAGTGCTAGTCATTGAAATCATATTATTGTTATTTTAGATGGGAAATATTGATAGATAAACATCATTAAAACAATTCCTCGTATTTTATCTACTGATAAACAAATAAATAATTATACTTTGTGTTGTTAAATTATTTAATATTTTTAGTAAGACATTACTTTAATCCATAAATTACTGTATTAATAATAATAATAATAATAATTGTTTACAATCTAAGTTAAAATTGCAAGAATTACTAGTTTAACTCCGGTTTGCATAGTCAATGGCTTTGTCTATTTCAAATATTATTTTGTTTACAGACTTTATGAACTCTATGGCTACAAAATCGCACAAAAATTGAGGGACAATCAATAAACTATGTACTTGAATTAAAATTTATCTAAATATTGTGTTATCAATGTCCTTTATTCTAATAAATTATTTTTACATATATATATATTCATATTTTTTATGCTTCAATCATATTATTTTTATTGTTCAAAACATTTTTTCTAACATCTTTAGCTTTTAGAATTACATTCTTAAATAAATCACAATATAGTGTTATAGCACTTGGTGTATCATCATTACCTGGAATTGGGTATGTAACCAAATTGGGATTGGTGTCTGTATCTACAATAGCTATAGTTGGTATTAACATTTTTGCAGCATCAGATAGGACACTATGTTGCCCGCCATTGCTTTTAGTAGTACTACTTAAAGTATTTAACACTATGCATAAATCCGGTAATCTTGTTTCGGATTTGAAAATTCTAGAAGAGTTTGTAAACATGCCACTACGCCAATATCTTGTATGAGCGTATTCACCACATTCTTTAGCACAATTTTCAACAGTTAAACAATTGAGAGGCGATTGACATAAAAATAATATAACTCCACCCCTAAACATAATTGCAAAATATAAATAAAAGGTAAAAGGTAAGTTATTATTTAATTATATTATAATGTTATATGTATTAAACATATTTACCTATATGATATATGTGCAATCACATTGAGAGCTTGTTGTAAAAGTCTTTTAGTATCATTTAAATTAATAATGAGATGGCCCAATCTGGTACCATATAAATATGGCTTCATTCTATCATCTAATGTACCTTCTGTATGTCCAAAATGTACTCCGGCTTCAAACAAGTTTTTTATTTTAACCATACGGTTCACATCAAACGCATCTGGGACAGACAACTTAAATTTGGACTCTAAAGTAAACAATTAAAAATTTAATATAGTTATAGAATATTTAAACTGAATAAAACTTACCTTCATAAGAAGATTGTACATCTTCATGTTGCATTTTGGGTAATGTTGATAAATATGATACACAAATTCGACTTTTTATATGATTCGGAAGATTTTTACTAAAAGCTTTTCCTAGAATAAAATATTTCAATTTTAAATTTGTGTGGACCTTATTACCAAAATTGTCAGAGAAACAAAAAGATACTTTATGGTCAGACATTTATTATGAGCAATTTTAAACCTAGTAGAACCAGTGATGAAATACATTCTAATAGTTAAAAATAAAAAACATAATCTGTTCAATAAAAAAGTAATAAACTTTTATTTTGCAACTTAAAATATTTTAAAATTTTGAAAGAATATGTTTTATAAGTCAATGGTATTAATATTTATTGTGAGGGTAAGTATACATTTAATTATAACCAGCAACTTAAGTCTATTCACATATGTACCAAGTTATAATAAAACAATAACCTATTTGATATAAAAAAAAAACTAATTGTATTATTTTATTTATTTACAACAAAACATTTCATTATATCAACACGATATTAAGTTGAAATTATAATTTAATACTTGTACAATTTGTCAAAAACCTTTTAATCACATGCAAAACAAATTAATACATATAAATATTATTTGTGTTAAGGTGACTAATGAAATCATTTATAAAACAATTGAATAACTTTTAAATGTATTTATTGTTTACACATACTCATTTTAAGAATAAATTAAGAATAATTACCAAAAGTACTCACTTAAATAATGTGTAGCCATATTACTAGGTAATTTTTAAATAAATATTATAAACTATATTAATATTACAGAAAATATACTGAATAAATTTTAAAAATGTAGAAATGTTAATTATTATTAAGATTTTATGTTATCAGCATTAAAGATCAAGATCAAATTTCAAAAAACTTTTAGGTTATAACATAAAGTAACCAGTCACACAAAGACCAAATATTGACAAAATATTTTTTTTCGGTCAATTGGAAATAATGAACATAATTAATGTTTGTTTTTAACAAATATTTTTAATGTGATTAAAGATAATAATATTAATCCACCTTGGTACTATAGTAATAATACTATCTTGAATCGTGAAGCCTAATTAAAATTAATTTTAAATTATAGTGATAGTATGATAACGCTAACCGCATTCCTAAATAAATAATTTAGTTGTAAAGTAATATACCGAAAAGTTGGTAGTGGTTAATGGGCGGAATCTACCATATAATCAAATTAAAAATTCTTTTACATTTTTATTTTTTATATGAGTAGATACTAACAATATAAATGTAATTATTATTATAATATAGATTTTTTTTTTTTTCTATTTTATAGTGAGTAATTTTAAATTATATTAGTAGGTAGTACTATTTCACGTTTAATGTTTGTTTAGTATTTAGTGTTAGCAATTTTTTGTATAAATTAAATCAATATTGTGTAACTCATAATGTTTACATACAAATTGTCAGTTGTGCTGTGATTAATAAATTCTCTACCTAGAGACTAATTGAATTTGAGCTAAACAAATTGGGATACATATATAAAATAACATAAGTTTTCAAGATATTGTTTCATAGATAACTATAAGTAAGTAAAATAATATGTTGTATACATTTGCTTATTCAAGGCTACACCTTAATGTACTGTATACATTATTCATTATGAAGAATTGAATATAATATTTATATACTATTATTTTACAGTTATGCTAAGCAGTTGGACCAAACATTTACTTCATTGTGCCTTATTGGTGATTGTAATATCAGTATTTGAAATATGGTCAGGCGGTGTAAAACTATCAGCAGATGTTCAAAATACCTTTAATTTTAATCCATGGGAACGCTATGGTTTTATTTGGTGCTCTGCGTTGTATCTACTACGATTATTGACCTTTTTACCATTACCTCAAGTTCTTCTAAATTTCTTTGGTCTTACATTTTATAATGCTTTTCAAGATAAAGTTGTATTGAAAGGATCACCCTTATTGGCTCCATTTATCTGCATACGTATTGTCACAAGAGGAGACTATCCTCAACTAGTCAAAGCCAATGTATCCCGTAATATGGCTCGATGTTTGGAAACTGGTAGAATTAAAATTTTTATTTTATTGTTTAATATCATATTTAACATTTTTTTTTTTAGGATTAGAAAATTTCATCATTGAAGTCGTGACTGATAAATCTGTTGGACTACCTGTACATAGACGAATAAGGGAAGTTATTGTACCAAAATCGTATAAAACAAAAACTGGTGCTCTTTATAAATCTAGAGCACTACAATATTGTTTGGAAGACAATGTAAATATTTTGGCTGATTGTGATTGGGTTGTACATTTAGATGAAGAAACCTTATTGACTGATAATTCAATCAGGGGTGTCTTAAATTTTGTATTGGATGGTAAACATCAGTTTGGTCAGGGTCTTATTACATATGCAAATGAAGAAGTTGTGAATTGGTTCACAACTTTAGCTGATAGTTTTAGAGTCGCTGATGACATGGGTAAACTTCGAATTCAGCTTTCAATGTTCCATAAACCCCTTCTTAGCTGGAAAGGATCTTATGTTGTCACTCAAGTAAATATTATTGTTCAAAATGTTTTTTTTAAAAGTAAATAATATTCTTAGACTTATCTCATAAACTACTATTAAAATATTTAAAAAAAAATGATTTATGAAGAAAAACTTGCATACAAAATGTACTTAAAATACATATATTATTAGAATGAAACAAAAACCCACATAATTTTAAATATTTTAAGGTAATAAGTTTGTTTCGTCAGTTATGCCACAACTGGACTATTAACTGCTTATTTTTTCAATGTATTTTACAAAATGGAGGTTAATTTTAAAACTAATAATTAAAATTACATTATTTGTACTTGTTGGGTAATTAAAATAAAGTAAATTATTTATTTTTACGATAAACATTTTAATTAATGTATTTAATATATACTGATTTACCTAAATAGTATTCATAATTTATCTGTTACAGTGTAGGGCTTGTGTATAAAAGGTCTCTAGCCTCAATTTTTCTTTGGTACCTACATTTTTTTTTCTTTTTATATCATACAACAATTAAACTAACAAAATACAATTCAAATTTCAACATCAAGTTCTTGTCTTTGACAATTTCAAAGCAAGTATCACCATTTTTATTTATAACTAAATAAAACTAAACACCCACTCTTTAATTGTCCCAGGAATATATTTTTATTAGTGGGGTCAATAAGCAGAGCTTTGTGGGGGCCCTGCTTAAAAATAACAACTACTGTAAAAAGTATAAACAAAATCTAAGGCCTTGACTGTGTTCGTGTCTCTGGCCAGGGCAACACTAATCAGTTAAATCAATCAAATTGTATTAATTTATTTGATTCATGTAGTTTAATCATTTTTAAATTTTAGTTAGGTGCAGAGCGCCATATTTCATTTGACAATGGCTTAGATGGATCGATTGCAGAAGATTGTTTCTTTGCCATGCGAGCTGCTAGAGAAGGTTATACGTTTAATTTTGTGGAAGGAGAAATGTGGGAGAAATCGCCATTTTCTCTTTGGGACTTCATTCAACAACGTAAACGTTGGCTGCAAGGTATTCTATTAGTTGTCCATTCAGCTGCTATACCTTCAAGAACAAAAATTTGGTTAGCCTTGTCATGTTATTCATGGGTGACATTGCCTCTGTCTACATCTAATTTAGTTTTAGCAAGATACTATCCAATACCATGTCCAGGAATTATGGATTTTGTTTGTGCATTTATAGCTGGAGTTAATATATATATGTACATATTTGGTGTAGTCAAATCATTTTCTTTATATCGGTTTGGTGTACTAAAATTTACATTGTGTATAATAGGCGCACTGTGTACTATACCCTTTAATGTAATAATTGAAAATGTTGCGGTCATATGGGGTCTTTTTGGAAACAAGTACAAGTTTTACGTTGTACATAAGGAAATAAAACCAATTATCACCGTTTAGATAGCTATTATTTATGTGTTCATTTAAATTGGATCTGAAATATGGTAGGGAAAGAAATCTTGCCATTAAAGAAGTAATGCAGACTAAATATGTGTGTACCAATGACAACTTAATGGCTTATAATTTTTGAAATTTTAAATACTCATTCTTGGCTATCATAAATGCTCAAATCTTATAAAACCAACAAGTCCAAACTATTTTTTTTTTCTTTAAATAGATAGTGGTACTAAAAAAAAACAAATATTTATATATCTAATTGTTATCTACTATTCAGATGACAGCTTTAAGAATCCTAAATTTAAAAATCACATAAGTATTTTTTTAATCTTTTAAAGTTACAAACTTTTTTTTACTATACAAAACAAAAAAATAACTATTAAGTATTACATTTTATTTATGCTTGTGGATGTCATTGTTTTTTTCTGTGGAGGCTAAGATCTCTGTATGAACCTTAATAAAGTTTGCCAAAACTAGTCATAACCTAGTTTTTCATTAAGAGTTATATCTGTTTTAAGCTATGAGTGTATTGTTTATATTTATATAGTTAATTTTAAGATTTTTGCATATGCACATAATCTAGTAACCATTTAAACAAAATAGATTGATTACTATGATCAAACCTAACACTTTAAAAAAAGCAAGATCACATTTGAACACCAATCACTACTACTTAATACGAACAAATTTCTTATGTTTAAAACATTTAGCATATTATGCTAGTCATAAATCTCAAAAAAATTGTATCTGAAGTCCCTTTAGTTTTCTATTTATTGAATTTTTTGTTTTAATGATTTTCATTTTTCTACTTACTATTAATATTTCAAGTATAATAATATGTATATACATAAATAATATTATATTAAAAGTTGTGTAAGTATTTACTTAACTATATTTTAGATATTGTTAAAGTAATTATTATGTAAGATAGATCAATGAGCTTCAAATAAGTATAATTTCATTTAATATCTACTTAATGTTTATTTTGTATTTAATATTATATATATATATATATTTTTTTTCATCATATTAAATAACTGGGTATTGTAGGTGAATTTTATTGTTATTATATTTAATTTAATTTATATAATATTTTCATTACTTAATATTTAAATTTAGAAATCCATATTAACTGTTCAAACTAAAATTGAATTATATATGTTTTTATTTTGGTAGATTTTTCCCAACATTTGCATCTATACCATTGATTTTATAATATAGTTTTAATTAGGATCTGAATTATTATTTAATGTTAATGAAGATTTTTTTTAAGAATTCAATAAATGAGCTATTCAGGTTTTTTTGTATACATTTAAGTCAAAAATAGCTATCATTATATAACTCTTAAAAGCTTTTAATTATATAATAAGTATACAAGTTTTCTTTTTGCACGGTTAAAATATATTCAAAATATAATGTGTACATGTATATTAAAGAAAAAAAACAATATAACATTTAAATTACTAAAATGTTGTTTTGATATCAAAATTTAAATATTTGTAAAATCCTATGTTTGTTCAACTGACAATTTGCAATTTATACATTGTTAGTACATTAATTGTAATTTTTATTTAATGCACACTAATCTAGAAAATATTTTCATACAACAGATTAAAGGTGATTTGTTAATAATTTTTTCACATTTTTAGTTGGTATACCTAAAAAAAAAAAAAATTATATAGGTAATTTGTATTATTTATATTGAATATAAAGGTACATACATACATACATTTTAAGCACTTGGTATGGTTATCAATTTACATTAATAATTTCACAAAAAATGTATTATTATAAAACTATTTGATGTATGAAAACATTAGGATATTTAAATGAATAAAATTACATTTTTCTCTGATTTTATATATTCTTTGTCGTTGGTATTTGTTATATGATTAATAGTTTATTTTGCATAATAAAAAATATTCATCAAATAATATGAATGGTACGTACCTAATTTTTTTTAAATATTAACAAATAATGAAATTGATTTGATAATTTTGTCATTTTGGTTAGATGAAAAATCATACAACAATCACCAAATTAATAATTTTGGCTTATATGGGTTTTAAAATTATTAGATTTTATAAAATCTTCATAAAATACAGAAAACCAGGTAATGGAGTAGTTTTTTTTATAATATATTATAGGTTGATAAATAACACAATTTCTTTTTTTAATATATAAGTAAAAATGTATTAGGTATCTATAATATTAAAAATTGTTCCATGATCAGCAGTTTTATTTTAGGAGTTAGTTAAATATTATAATGGACTCAACCGATACATTTTATTATTAATGCTAAAAGGGTTCTTTAATATTGCACTTGACTTAATGAGCGTGTTTGTGATGGGACCTTTGTGGCTTTAGAGACAGTAAGTAAATTAGACAAAATTAAGTAGATATATACTGCTATAAAATTATATTCTTGAAAGTTATCTTATCTTATCTTATCTTGAAAGTTTTAATACAAAATTATCTAGTTGGTACCTATAATTAGACATTTGATTAGATTAATGTAATTAATTTTATAATAAATTATAAAATCAATGATTTAAGTAACATTTTAAATTAATAGGTATACAATGTGATTTTTGTTGAGTCATTAGTATTGATATACCTACCTAACAGTTGTTAATATGCAATTAAAATGTTTAATAGGTAAATAGATATTTTAGATTAATAAATCTTCGATAAGACACTCATTATCTCAGAAAATATTAACGTTTTTCAATATTATTTTACAATTATTTTAAACAAGCAGCTTTAAAATGTTACATTTCTTGTGTTACTTAAGTTGATATTCCCCATTTTAAATACAATATTTCTGATAAAGCCATAATTTCATTAATAATCTGTTCTTAAACTTTTAATTGATATGACACAATTTTTAAGTAATTCACAACCACGATGAAGAGAAGTATTTGGTGACTGTAATAATTTAGAAACAGAGTATAATAGTCTTAAAATATTTTCCCAAATTGTTAAAACAAAACAAATTCAAAATATTTGATTGTAATATTTGATTTTTAGCCCAATACTTTTTGTTCTTTCTTCTGTTTTCTGACTGGTTAAGGGAATATTAGTTAATAATTTTAAATCATCAATTTATCTGTCTTTTAAAGCATATTAAACTGCTTCATATCATGCCTCCCATCCAGTAACACATTTTTAAATTTTGAGTGGAGCGAAGAAGCTTATGGTTTTAAAAAGATATTTATTTAATTTTTTTTCTATCTATGCGCAACTTTTCTACTAGAAGATTTTTAAGTGTAGCACCTTTTCTGAAAATCAGTATGGGGAGGTACTTGAATAAAGTCATGTTTCGATTTTCTCATAAAATTTAAAAACAGAAGAACAGAAAAATATAAGAAATGTATGTATTAAATATTACGGCTTTCTTTTTTCCTGTGCACAACTTTTCAACCAACAATTTTTCTCTAACTTATTGTGATAGCAATTTTTCTCAAAGTAAATTTAACTGGGAAGAGACTTTAGGGAGGTCATTTTTCGATTTTCACAAGTTTTTCCAGCAAATGTGAAAAACTAGGATAAAACATAGGAAAACTAGGAAAATCGGTGCAACATTAAACAAATATTATTAAAGAAAATATATAAAGCCTATTTAATTATTTTACTATTAAATGACATATATTGTTGACAAAGCATTACTATTGATTGAACACCGCTCAGAATCGTTTTTTTGTAAACAATGGTTTATTGTTGCTAACAAGTATACAATTAAATTATCTATAACAGTGGTTTCATCCATCCCCATTATCATGGGACGTCTTTTTAAAACTTTTTTTTTTTATTATGTTTGTTACATTGTCACAAATACTGTGCTATCGATTTTCAATAAATGTTAGGAAACCAAACAACGAACTTAATATTATTCTTTACGTTTTTATCGAGTTACAGAATCGACCTACAGACGTCGATATAATTTACTAATGCTAATCTATCAATCTATGGTACGTTGTACTACATTGCAACAGATAACACTAATTGTTTATGGTCATAAGCTGTAAGCTTGATAAAATATGTAATATGCAAAATATTTTTTATGGTCCTATGTGATACCTATAAGGCTATATAACACATGAGGCTATTCGCGATTGAAAAGAACTACAGGTTGCGCTATAGTCGATACTAATGATAAGTCTGACGTGGAGATGGACATAATAAATTATAATAGTAATATAGCCAAAATAATCCATTTTTTACTAGTTTTTTTTTTTAATTTCCTTATTAAAACTTATTTTGTTTACAATTTGTTGTAATAAAAGTACATGTTTAATTCTGTAATAGGAATCACCGACATAATTCAGTATATTGGTGATTTTAAAAGATCTTTTGTCGAAGGTTCAGAAATAATTAAATGCAACGATATTATCGAAATAGGTTGAGACGGGGCACCGTTTGTCGGTGATCTACTCGTTTAATAAGCAAAATAACTCCTATGGTTTACTCGTGGTCCGTTTATTCATTTAAATAAATATCAAATAACGACAGGTGGGGATCAGAGGGTCGACACCGGCTGGCTAGGCTAAGGTAAGCGGGTCGAGTCTAGCGGTTTTCCTCTACGGTAACTATTAACGGGGAGTGGTGTATCGGTGCGGGTGCCCGCTTAAGTAAGTGGCCGTCTGCAACGCTCACACCCGGGTAGCATGGCTTAAATAAGCGCGATCAGTGAGGGCCAAACCTCGTGAGAAGAGATGCCTAGCGATTGATGACTCACGATTAAAGTGATTCCTTAGTAAGTCCTGAAAAGGACTGGGTTAGCCTTAATCGTGGTCGTTATTGTGGATGTCGTATTTGACCGGCCATTCGTGTTCGGCTGGACTGCTTCAGTGTTGCGGTCGGTTTCGCACACCCGATGCTGTCGGCAGGACTACCGTCGTACCGCGTCACCGACGATTATAGCGTTCCTTTATTAATTCTAAAAGGACTGGATTAGCCTGAATCGTACGGTGGCGGTCTGGTCGGGTACTGCCGGTTAGCTTGGCGGCTATAGGTACGTTCGGCCGCTTTTGGTACACTCGGCTGCTGCGGGTGGTCTGGTTGATCGGCGTGTGGTTTTTAGTGGCTTCAGTGTAGGTAGCCAAATCTGTCGTGTAGGCGTTGAAAGTTCGGATGATAGATGTGAAGTAAGAGGAAAAAAGACGTCGTAGGAAAATAGGGACGGGTGCAGCCACTGTTATAGGTAATTTAATGTACACCTGTAAGCAATGTATACGTCATATTATAGTAAAATATTTAAATAGGCTAAGACCTCTTTGAAGTACCTCCCCACACCGATTTTCTTTCAGAAAAGGTGCTACGCTTAAAGATGTCTTCTGGTAGAAAAGTTGCGCACAGATAAAAAATAAACATCTTTGTAAAATCATAAGCTTCTTCGCTACACTTAGAATCTAAAATTATATATTTATTAAGATTTTAAGACTATGTTTGCAAATCAGTGACCTTCACGATGTAGGTATTTACATTTTAAACACTATACGTACTGTATATTATATATTTTGCAAGTTCAATACAAGTTTGTATTTAATTTATGCATTTTTACTATCCATTCAACTAGAATAATTATGATCATCCTTAATATCAACAAATAAAGCTATATTTATGATTATTACAACTTACGAACGAAACGTGATTATTACAAAGAAATTCAGAAGTCAGTACTCAATGTTTCAAACCTCAATATAGCGTAACCTAACGAATGTACATCATCCTTGTTAGAGCAGTTTTAATAAATTGGTAGCGAATCTTTCGCTTTCAATCGGGATTAACGTCTATATTAATACGGGGAAGCGGTCGTATTTTAATCACGAGTCATATAATATCATATCTTACTATATGATTTTGAATTTTAAATGACCACCTAATAGTTTTTTCAAGCAGTTTGGTCAACTGTTCTTTCTTATATTTTTTTTTCGTTTTCTACAGTGCTGCTCACATTAGAGTTTCCCGCCACTTATTTTTATCGCTCTTACACTAATTGCTCTACAATAATATAGTTGGTCTCACGTGGATTATTATTTTTTTACTACCAACAGGTTCTTTTATTCTTTAATCTAACAACTGGCAAATCACTGGTAGAGCGATAGGCCGCAGGGAGAAATCACTAATCAGTACTGACCAATTTGAACTTGTTATTGGTAATTACTAATTTGGGTACATACCTTTTATTTATCTGTAATTGAAACACGTCGATAATTATTCTTTTTTAGTGGCCCAAAGTATTTTTCATCGATTTAAGAAATTATAAATCTTGATACAAAATTATTATTTAAACGTACAGGTAAATTATTTTTAAGTATTATAATTAACTCTCATTTGAAGTAGATAGGTAATATAATACTATAACTTTGAATCTTTAAGTATCTACTCTTTGGTATTTTTGAAACTAAATTGAAAATATTAATAATTTCAGGATGACCATTTTACAATATTACCGAAAGGTACACAATTTACCGATTCGGGAATTAAATAAAGTTTCACATCTCAGACTAATATCGAATGATATATGTGATGTTCAAATTGAGCAATGTTATTACATAGATGTTGGTGAACATACAAATTTGTCTACAGATGAGTTAAGGAAATTAGAGTGGTTGTTAATGGATCCATTAGATCAAACAGGATTGTCTCAAAATAAATGTTTGGAAAAAAAAAGCAATAGCATTTTGATTGAAATTGGCCCTAGGTAAATATAACTATGTATTTATTTATTATTAATTATTCTACAATAATATTTTGGTAATTTATTTACTTTAAGGTTGAATTTTTCAACACCTTTTTCAAGCAATGTTTTATCAATTTGTAAATCAATCAATTTGAATTTTATAAAACGCCTAGAAAAATCAACTCGTTATTTAATTATATTTTTGAATGACAAGTTAACAACTGAATTAAATGATCAGGTTAGAATAAAAAAAAAAAATTAAGTTTGTTATAAATAACTTTTATTTACTCATTCATAAATTAGATTCTTTATAACATCATTTTTATAGTTAACTAGTACCTTATATGATAAAATGACAGAGACTATATATTCGTCTCCTTTGCAATCATTTAATAGTAAAGATATAAAAGAGAGTTGGTATGAAGTTGATATACTTGGTAGAGGCATTGAAGCTATGATAGAAGTCAATAAAAAACTTGGTTAGTAAATTTGAAATTACTTTTTTGTATTAGTAAGTATTATTTTATGGTTCCATTTTCTATATTATTAGTATCTAATATAATTATAATTTTATCTGTGTTTAAGGATATTAACCAAAATGTACAAAAATTAACAACCTAGAATGAATTAATAAAATAAAATAGGTATTTGCCTATTATTTAATTAATTTGTTATATTATATTATTTACTTTTAAAATTATAGGTTTGGCATTTGATGAATGGGACATTGAAAACTATACTAAAATGTTTTTAAAATCAAATCGAAACCCAACTACTGTGGAGTGTTTTGATTTAGCTCAATCAAACTCTGAACACAGCCGTCATTGGTTTTTCAAGGTATTTAGGATGTTTTCCTATTTTCTTGATGTATTAATTTAATTTCTTTATAGGGCGAGTTAATTATAAATGGAGAGTCTATAAAAAACTCATTATTGGACATGATTATTGAAACGCAGCATTTTTCTAACCCTAATAATGTTATAAAATTTAATGACAATAGCAGGTTTGTATAAATTAATTATTAATTAATTTGTTGTTTATTTAATTTTTGTTGCACATTTTAGTGCTATTAATGGATTTAAGGTTAAACAAATAAAACCATTAATGACAACTGGACCTAGTTCTTATACCTCTGAATTATTAAATTTAAATTTGGTTTTTACCGCAGAAACTCACAATTTTCCAACTGGAGTTGAACCATTCAGGTATTTTATTTAAAAGTTATTTAAGAAAAAGTAGAATTTATATAACTATGTTCTTTTATATATAGTGGAGCATCAACTGGTACTGGGGGAAGAATTCGAGATGTGCAAGCTGTAGGAAGAGGTGGATTTTGTATTGCTGCCTCTGCAGCTTATTGTGTAGGCAATTTATCTATACCTGGTAAATTATTAATATATATGTATTTATATATAAGTTCAAATTTTTACAAAATTAAATGTCACTTTGATTCATGAGGATTGTTATAGTTAATATTTTAATATTTAGTTTTATAGCACATAGTCTAACTACATTTCTACAAAAAGTTTAAATAACTTTAATTTATATTTTGATTACAATTATTGATTTAAATTATATAAATATTTCAGGTTATAATTTACCATGGGAAGACAAATCATTTATCTATCCTACTAATTTTGCAAGTCCTCTTCGAATACTTATTGAAGCTTCTAATGGTGCTTCAGATTATGGAAATAAATTTGGTGAACCTGTAATTTGTGGTTTTGTTCGTTCATTTGGTTTGGTAGTAAATAATGAACGTCGTGAATGGATCAAGCCTATTATGTTTACTGGTGGATTGGGTACAATGTTGGCAGAGTACACTAATAAAATTGCACCGTATGAAGGACTACAGGTTGTAAAAATTGGAGGGCCAGTTTATAGAATTGGTTTAGGTGGAAGTTCAGCAAGTTCATTTGAAGTTCAAGGAGTAAATAAAACTAGTTTAGAATTTGAAGCTGTGCAAAGAGGTGATCCAGAAATGGAGCAAAAAATGAATCGAGTAGTTAGAGCTTGTATTGAAAATCCAGGTTATAACCCTATACTAAGTATTCATGATCAAGGTGCGGGTGGAAATGGTAAATAATAAAACAAAACAGTTACATTTTATATTATATTTGTTATATATTTCTCTTCTTTCTAGGAAATGTATTGAAAGAAATTGTAGAACCAGCTGGTGCTATCATTTATGCTAATAAATTTGAACTTGGTGATCATACAATAAATTCTTTAGAGCTTTGGGGTGCTGAATATCAAGAAAATAATGCTATTCTTTGTGATAAAAAAGATTTAAAAATGTTAAACAAAATTTCCATAAGAGAACGGTGTCCAGTTTTACCTGTCGGTATTGTTACTAATAATGGGAAGGTAAACTATGTACAATTTTTTTTTTTTAAATATCAATATTATTTCAGCATTAAAATGTATCATTGAAAAAAACCTTTAATTAATGCTATTTTAACTTTGCAAATTGAAAATAATTAATTTGATATTGTTCTAGGTTATTTTAACCGAAGATGATAATTTTATTTCTGAAAATGGCAACCATCCAGTTAACTTGGATCTTGATATGATATTAAGTAAAGTACCTCGTAAAGTTTTTAGTCAGTCATGGCAACCAAAAACAAATTTACCCATTATATTACCTAACCTAACTGTTGTTGATGCATTGGACAGAGTATTAAAACTTCCATCTGTAGCTAGTAAAAGGTATTTGACAAATAAGGTTGATCGTTCTGTAACTGGGCAAATAGCTCAACAACAGTGTGTTGGCCCATTGCATACACCACTTAGTGATGTTGCTGTTACTGTCATTTCATTATTTGATACGGTAAAATTATTGTTTAAGTGGTACCATTTATGATTTGTAACATTTTATTTTATTTTAAATTTAAAGGTTGGAATAGCTACTTCAATTGGTGAACAGCCTATTAAAGGATTACTTAGTGCTGATGTTGGAGCTAGAATGGCAGTAGCTGAATCATTGACAAATTTAGTATTTGCTCCTATATCATGTTTAGAAGTATAGATAATTTATATTCTGTATTATAATTAAACATTATATTAATTCTCTATTATTTATAATCATAGGACGTTAAGTGTAGTGGCAATTGGATGTGGCCGGCCAAATTACCGGGCGAAGGAGCAGAATTGTTTTACGCATGTAAAGCTATGTGTGAGGTAATGAAACAACTTGGTATAGCTATTGATGGTGGCAAAGACTCTTTGAGCATGGCAGCTAAAGTTGGTGAAGTAAATATTAAAGCACCTGGTAATAACTAATAAGTTTATATTATTAAATTTTAATATTATTAATTTGTATTGTTTTTTAAATTATAAATTATATTAGGTTCTATAGTCATCTCAACATATGTACCATGTGTAGATGTGAGATTAGTTATTACTCCTGATCTTAAAGGACCAAGACAGAGTCATGAAAATAGAGAAGAAAGCTATCTTGTATTTGTAGACTTATCTGGTGGTCTGCGACGACTCGGTGGGTCTGCTTTGGCACAATGTTATGGACAACTGGGCAATAGTGCACCAGATTTGGACGATCCAAACATGTTAAAAAAAGCATTCAAAACTATTCAAAAACTAATTAAAAGTAAAAATAATATAAATTCTTAATTAAATTAATTTAATGCAATAAATTAATAAGAACAATTATTTTAGGTCAAAAATTATTATCTGGTCATGATATAAGTGATGGTGGATTAATAACATGTCTCTTAGAGATGGCTTTTGGTGGATATTGTGGATTTCATGTTGATTTGAGCAACATTAAACATGCATCTTGTGTTAACAATATAGAAATATTATTTGCAGAAGAATGTGGTTGGGTTTTAGAAGTTGATGTCAAATATATAGATGAAGTTCTCTTAGAACTAGATACACTTGCATATGTAATTGGACGCACTTCGACTTATGGCAACCAATCTCGTGTATGGTTATGTAAATTATTTTACCTAGTATTTTAAAAGGATATCAGTTTTGAATACATATAATAATTTAACAGTTAAATAGTTATAATAAATAATTTCATTGTACAATTTATTATTAATTTATATTATTTTTTAATTTTTTAGATTATAGTAGAAAATTCTGGAACAGTTATACTTGATGTTAAACTAACTGACGTTTTCAAAATGTGGGAGCGGACAAGTTATGAATTGGAAAAAATTCAGTCAAATGTCTTGACAGCTGAAGAAGAATTTAAATCATTAGAAAACCGAATAGGACCCATTTATTATTTTAATTTTGAATTAAATAAACCTTTGGTTATTCCAGGTATATTGTATTACTTATTGATTTTATTTATTTGTTTATTATTTAATATTTAAATTGGTAAATATTTATCTATTATTTAGATTAATTATTATTAATTATTATTAGACGTATCATTGAAAGTGGCTGTTATTCGAGAAGAAGGAACAAATGGCGATCGTGAAATGAGTGCTGCTTTATTTATGGCTGGGTTTGAAGTATGGGATATTACTGTCCAAGACCTCTTAAATGAGACTGTTGATATTTTACAATTTAAAGGCCTAATTTTTCCCGGAGGTTTCAGTTATGGAGGTATAATAGTTAGATTAATTATTTAAAAACATAAATTTAAGTTTAAAATAAAAAATGTCAACACATATGCATAGCTGTTTAAATGTTATCTAAAATTAATTTAAGTTGTTTCACCTAAACACATTTCTGTAAAATTATGTTGCATAGTTTTAAGATTGAACTAGTATTTAAATTCTTTTGATTATTATTATTAAATTAAATATTTAGACTATAAATTAATTAGTTATTATTCAATTAAATAATATTTGTAGATAGGTTTTATTTTTGTTAAACCATCAGAAAAATATCACTTAAAGTTTTTACATTAATTCAATAGGTATTGAAGAATCAGTACCTATAGGTAATCTGAATCTATTAGATTAATTTGGCATTTAATATTATAAGAGAGGTATACATTTCATTTTCATATTTAATGAATAATTATAAGACACTTAATAAATATGTTGCATTATAATAATTATACTTTTAGATGTGTTGGGATCAGCCAAAGGTTGGGCTGCAAGTTTAGCGTTCCATGCTAATATAAAAACAGCCTTGGAAATATTTATGTCTAAAAAGGATACATTCAGTTTGGGAGTATGCAATGGTTGTCAACTGATGTGCAGCCTTGGAATAGTTGGTAAATTATTATTACAAATAAATATATTATTATTAGTAAATTATTTAAACTAGTTGAAAATATTTTTAGTTCACTTGTATAAGTATTAAATTTATTAAAAATTATTTTTAGGCAAAATGAATGAAAACAACTCTTTAAATATTGATAATCCCCCAGTTATAATGTGCCATAACAAGTCTGGAAGGTATGAGAGTAGATTTAGTACAATTAAAGTAAATCCTTCAAAAGCTATTTTATTCAAAGATATGGAAGAAAGTATTCTTGGAGTATGGATTGCTCACGGTGAAGGTAATTTTTTTCATTAATTTTTCAATTTTAAATGCAGAAAAACCGAGGTTATTAGTATTGTAATATGTTTTTATTTTTAAAAAATATTATTTCTGGTGTTTAGAAATATTTGTTTAAAAGTTTATGTATAACTTTATATAATGATAGACTTATTATTAGAGATGTGATTAACTGTATGATTTTCGAACTGAACTGAATATTGCAATTAATCAAACTGAACCAAATACCCAATTATTCAATGCCGATTCTGTATGGTCAACTATACAATGTTCTGTGGTGGAATAGAGGGGTCTTGTTACGAAAAAAAAAAAAAATTCTATTTTTTTCACATTTGTGTGTCTCATAATCATAAATCACAGAACCGAGCAGTTTGAGAACCTAAGTTTTTGACCTAATCTTTTTACTTTTTTAATGTTAGAGTTCTATTAAATATTTTAAAAGTTCGGTTTAGTTCGACCTGAAAAACCGGGTTTATAACATCTCTACTTATTATTACGTTATTATATCATAGTTAACCATTAATTACAATAGACAATATTCTATGGTCATTGACTATCTATTTTAACTAAAGTCAACAGTATAAATAATAAATAATAATATATTTATTTAAAAATAAATTACAGGTCAGTTTGAATTTCGAAATGAATATATTAAAAATTCTCTTATTACCAATAATTGTATTCCAATTACATATGTTGATGATCAAAATATGCCGACAGAAAACTACCCCATGAACCCTAATGGCTCTTCTGGTAAGTGATGTAATTCAATTTAAATGAACCATTCCTAACTAAAATATATTTTAATGGAGCTTAATTCTGACAGAAAATATACTGAAAATGTGTTGAGTCATATTATATTAGCTTTAAGTTTAATGATAAAACACAATGGCATGTACATAATCACAACAATTTAGCAAGACAAATTAAGCACATTTAAAAAATGTGTACTGTAATACTTACATACATATGATTAATTCAATTAAACATATATAGTTAGAAAGTTATTAAATTTTGATTTGAAAAATATTTATTATAAACATAAGTTAACAAATACAAAAGAATTACGGTTTTTAAATATTCAAGTGAGGACAATAAAAGTATTAGTGAGTTTCAAAGAACTATTAATGTAACTAAGAATTAAAATATACATAAATCAAATAAAATATAATTCACAATATGCTAATAAGTGTAGTATTACAGTTAACCAAATGCAATACCTAAAAAAACTCAAATAATGGTGTTTTTTTTTTTTTTTATCATTACCTTAATCAAACCTAGAGGATTGAGTCCGTTGTAAATAATAATATATAATAGTTAATAATTATATGTTGCTATAATTTTAATATTATTTTTAAATAAATGATAACTGCTGATTTATCCAGTCAGTCTACTAAAAAATAAAAAAATAACACCAAATTTGATGGATTTTAAATATGATTAAAAATGTTTCAATATTTTTATTTCCATTAAGAAATTGATGTAAAATTAATAACTATGAATAAGTTTTACCTTTTTCATAAAAAAAACTTCATCTTCGAAACATTGCATATATTCTAATAAATTCAATTGCTTTTTTTTATATATATTGATTTAGTATTGAAATATTTGATAATAGTTTTTATCTATGATATTGTTATTATTATTATCATTTGTGTGTTGTTTGTCAAATTATTTGCAGTCCCATAAATACTAAGATTTAAATTGTTCATTTGCAAATTGCTATTATTCTCGTTTCAAGTAATAAAATGTGTATAACATCTAATTGAAATTAGGCATAACATAACTCATAATTATTTTGTTATTGTTATACATTTGTATACATGACACATAGGTTCAAAGAGTAATATTAAATTTTAGATGTTAAGTAGAGCCAATAATGTATTGTTACAGTTATCTAGATAATTGTAGATTTTATATTAATTTTAATAATATAAGAGATATTTAATTTTATTGTATATTATAACATTTTTGGTTTTACTATATTTTTTTTGTCTAAACACAAATTTGATCAAAATACTTTGCCCAATCATCAACATTAGACATCCTATAGAAATTTGTATCTACTTTATGCATTCGAGGAGTAATTTGTTTAAATTCCTTGTTATTTTTTTTTTTTTAATTTGTAGAAAAATTGGGAAATTGCTTTTTAAGGCCATTCAATTAATAAATGAGATAACACATTTATATGTTTTTTTAACTAAAACTAAGTATAAAACTTCCTAGATTTACGATATGTTTTAATAGGTATATCAAATTTTAACTGCAATGACATTTTTTTATTTATCAATTATAATTGATACTTATATTTATTTTATTACTTTTTTTTTTTAACGTGACAGATTTTGTAACTTTTATTAATTGCATTCATTACAAGTTTAAATTTACATTCAATGGTGATCATTTGATTGTATAACATTACAAAATTATTTTTCAGTAAATTATTAAATTTTTATGAACAGTGCACAAAGATATGAGTACAATTTTGAATCGTTTTTCAAATGTTTATATATTTTTTTTAAATTTAAAATACCTATATACGTATAATACTGCTCCGTCCTACTGTTGTGGTAAGGAAAACAATTACTTAGTTCAATAACTGACAAACAAAGGCTATTGTGTTTGTACTTCCAGTTCAATTAAAAAAAAAAAGGAATTATTCTTTTTTCTTCAATGTTTGTTCAAAATATGTTTAAAATTATCTAATAGTAAAATCAAATTATTTATTTGTTTGTAAGGTGATATAATATAATATATTTAGTTTTGTAAAAGTATGATTTCTATATATTTTCGATGATGGAATGAAACATACAAATTTTGCAAGGCTTAGGTATACTAAGGAGTGTTGAAATATAAGAAACACATATATTGTTATTATTTGTTAACGAAAAATTATATTCAATAAAGCTAAAAGAACAATATTTCGAAAATAAAGATTTTTTATATGGTTATTTAGGTTAGGTATTAATTTTATTCGGTGCAATCTGTGTTAATTTTCGTTAGGTGCCATTTATAAAATGTATAAACCTATACCTATTTTTTTAGATTCTGTGTGTAACAAAAGTGCTATTAGTTTTACAAAGATGTATTTTTTTTGGAAAATATTTTATTTAGTTAAAATGCTCAGATTTTTGTTTGATGAACCATATCAAAATAATTGTCCGAAATCCCTAATTCGATTTAAAAAATTGCTTTTTTTATATAATTTTTTAAGACTTGGTTTTCACGTAATTCCTCGAAATATTTGTAATATTTACCCGGGTTACTTTATTTGATATATTTACCAATGTTTCTAAAAGTTCACTTCTAGATCATTATTTTTGTTTTTTTACGACAAACATTTTCGGTTAGCAAAATAATTCAAATTATTCGCATCGTAAAACCCAACAACAAATTTCAATACCTATATCAAATTTGTTTTTGTTGATTTTTAGGTAACTTTAACAACGGGACAAAAACATGACCAATACTAAGTTTAGAAACATTTTTTTTTTCGTTTGCAATGATTTATCGTTACATACATTATAATATAAACTAAATTAGGTACCTACCTACTCTATTTATTTACCTTCTCAACTACCCACCCATAACAATGACCTACTCGTGTAAAGTATTAACTTTATTTTTTATTGGATTTCCTTTTGTATTATATTTTTTAGGCGGAATAGCAGGTGTATGTTCATTTGACGGCAGACACTTGGCGTTAATGCCACATCCAGAACGAAGTATATTTACGTGGCAATGGCCTTACACGTACGGGTTGGATGAGTCAAAAGAAAATAATCACGCCCCTTGGATGCAGATGTTTTACAACGCCTACCAGTGGTGTTCCCAAAAATTAGTTTAACAAGATAACTTCCATTTCGTTGTCAATAGAAAGAAAATTATTTAACGAACCTACGTAATAAAAATAAATAAACACGCACACGCACATACTTATATTTACGTATACCTACCTCTATACTCGTATGTGTGTATAAAATATTTGATTATTTTATACTTTTCCCCCTGTGTATAACACGGTTTTGTTTTCGAACAATATGTAGGTTTCTATACTCTATAAAAGAAACGGGTCATTAAGATTATCGCGCGTGATGAATGTTGGACGGGGGTAATATAATAATCTGTAATATTATTATGAATCATTTTTATTGATCAATGTTAAGTATTATCTATTGTTAGTTTCTTTTTCTTTCTTCAATTAAGTAATAGTCAGATGCATCAGAATAGTAAATGCATTTTATGTAAGACGTAGGATAATGATTTTATAACAGTTTTTTTTTTATTGGAATTTGATTAGTATAACCATGCGATTTTTTTTGGATTTTACTTTTTTTTTAAATATATTAACCGTCGTTACAATTTTCGGAAAAGAGACATATATTCCGGATGCGTCATTAAGTGTGGTAAGAATACAATATTATGCGCATATTTATTAAAATATATGTTTTGAATATTGATACCTATTATAATAGCCAAAAATAATTAAACGACATGGCTATCCAGCTGAAACACATATTGTGGACACGAAAGACGGATATCTGTTAGAAGTCCATAGAATACCGTATGGAAAAAATGCAAAACAGTCGAAAAACTTTCCGGTGCTCTTACAACACGGAATAGTAGCGAGTTCTGCAGACTGGATTATAAACGGTCCTTCAAAAGCACTGGGTAAGCTTCAATTGAAATACATATATACACATTATCACCAAAATCCTATAATTAATTGTTAATTTTCGAGTTAATGTACACCACGAACTCAAAATATAAAAAGAATAATATTCTAGATCATGGTACGTTGTCGTTTTTCTAAAATATTATCAATTTCCATACAAGCAAGTTAGGATACAATATCTATATTTATGTTTAAAATAAGTACAACTACGATTAAAGATATCTTAGAAGACTTAAAATCATGAAAATAACGTTATTTTGCTGTTGTCCGTTCAGACTAATAGTAGTGAAGCGCGATAAGAATTAAGAATTTAAAAAAAAAAAGTTGGAATTCAGCATGTTGTGTACCTATATAGATATTGAGATCGGTCTTACCACATTTCGAATTTCAGTCAAAAATTCCTAACATTTAATTTGAAAATTAAAAAATAACAAACCAAGTTGAATAAATCAGTTTGACAAGATTAATGTTTCTATGGCCTTACTGATCTCGTGAACCTTTCACGCGCTTACCAGATTCGGTGGGTATAGATAATATAGAAAATATGTATGTATATATATATATATTTATGGATAGAAGTATAGAACCACAATGTAAAGAATCTACATCATGATTCTACAGGTTCTCTACATCGTGGATAAAACTGGACTATACAAACTATTAACTTACTAATTTATGGAACATGAAATATACTAGTTCTTAAAGTGGTTACAAATAATTAATGTGTACTATCCACCATACTAATATTATTTATTATTTTGCGTTAAATGCGTAATGTATAACATATTAACACGTTCGATTATTTACAAATTATATATCTGAAACTCTGAAATAAATAATGTTGAAATTAATAACAAATCAGATTGATAAAAGTGTTGTTTTTTTATAAACTAGTGTTTGTAACCGCATATAACCATTATGGTAACTAGTAGACTTTGCTCACATATCGTGTGTAATAGGCATCATTATAGGTAATTGACATAGACCGAGGTGTAGATAAAACGGGGTAGTCCATAGAGTAATTACTCTATGGGATACTCACTCCGCGCTTCGATAAGGATTTTTCTGAGTACGTTTATATGATGGCTGGTTAATTTCAAACCTTTTCAAAATTGATTAAAACGGTTTAGTTTAATATCTATCATACCCGTTTATACGTCAGATATTCATAATGTTAAATCGGATTAGTAAACGTTTTGTAATTCGATTTAAATATTTTTATTTCTTAGTAGAAATTCGTTGGGACCAACCGGTGTAAATTTCCTCTTGAAAATCAAACCGGTGGGAATTTGAAAAATTGTTTGGAATTAGTTTGACCGCAGATCAGTGTAACCACGAATAGGAAAAATAAGTCTTTATAAGAAATTATTGGTTATAGAAAATGTATTACCCTTTCCTACTCCTCCGGTTTCAACTTCAAATAATAAAAAAATTATAGTAAAAGATGTACATTCATTTATTTCTCCTATGTGGCCCTACTGCTTTTAGGTAGATTAGGTAGGGTTTACACGATGCTTAGTAGTAATCATTAGTACTTGTTACTCGCACTAATAATATATGATAATCATTGATAATACTATATTAATAGTATTATCTTATATTATAAAATTAATAATAATAGTGATTATTAGAAGTTTATAATATATTATTAATTATTATTACACACAAATTAATTACTAGTGAAATTTTAATGTTTTAGACTTAATAAAATAATTAAATTAAATTAAAAATATTAATATTAACAAAACAATACTTATAATTTATATCAACACAGTAAAAGATGCGGTCACACGTTGCGAGTGCAACCGGGAAAAGAGTCGTGTAGGGGGTAGCTACTTGTCGTTAGTAAAAAGAACGGCGTTCTATTCGCTCGCACTTGCGGTATTACTAACACTAGCACTGTTCGTACCGGTTTACAAGTGTGGTATTAGTGCGAGTGACAAGTACCAGGCATTAGTGTTATCGGTAAAACGGAAAATGCATTATCTGGTTTCATATAAATTGTTGTAATATAATATACAAGGATGGAACAATTTGTATTCTTTTTTAAAACGAGTTTGGAGGGGTGTTAAAAAACAGATGTACGATATCTGTGTGCATCGATGTTATTAAAAATTTGCAAACGTTTTGCTATAAATAAACTACAATTAATTTTAAAATTCTTTGATAGGTAACTGTTATACTTCGGTGATAAAGCATCAATTAAAAACGCCACACAAAAAAGATATTTATATATTTTTTTTTCTAGCTACTTATATAACAAAACGCTCCATCCTAATAAATGTATAATTAAGGGTATTTAAAAAAAAAAAAAAGAGCTGATATTGGGGACGGGTGTAGTCACTGTAAGTGGGAAGTTGGTAATATAGTACACAAAATTATTTAATTTATATCTGTAAGCAAAGATATTCATTACTTACAAAAAACAATTCGCAGCGAAGTTCGATAAAAAATATTTTGAAATTCCGTAATTTTTATGATTTTCATCAAAATTTTATCTTATTTATTATTTATTAATATGAACATCCTAAAAGGTAAAACTGCAAGATAATAATAATTATAATGTTAAAATTAATTATTGAAAATTAAATCAATTAAAAGCATTAAAAATATTAATTTTTACATACTTATTTTAAATTCTAAGTGGAGTGAAGAATGTATTGGTTTTAGAAAGATGTATATATATTATTTTTTTTATGTGAGCACTTTTTTTACTGTAAGCTTATTCTGATGTACACCTCTTCTGAAAGGAAATTTTCTTGTGCTAGTACTTTAGGGAGGTCATTTTTTGATTTTCTCAGGACTTTTCTCATTAAATGTGATAAACCGAAAAAAAAAATGGGAAAATATACGAATATATTAGTAAAATATTATGATTTATTTTTCTGCGGACAACTTTTCTATCAGCAACTGTGCTCCGATTTACAATGATAGTCCTTTTTTTGAAATTAAATCTGACTGGGAAGATATTTTAAGAGGGTCATTTTTCGATTTTTCCAACAGTTTTCCCAGCAAATGTGAAAAACCGGGAAAATACATGGGAAAACCAGGAAAATCAGCACATGTATGTTAAAATATTTTATGTTCATTGGATGTCTCATTGCTATTATCATTGCTGTTGTCATGTAAAATTTTGACGTGTTAATGTGCAGCTCAAATCATTTAAACACAAATCAATCTTTATTTTTAGAAGTTGATATATATTTTTTTTTTTTTTATAAGTTCTCTAAGCCAAGAGCCAAAAAGTTTTAAATTTTCATATGGTATTTCGGCATCCGGATGCCCCCCAAACATCTGCTGCCCGGGGCAAGTGCTCTTAAAATCCCCCGTCAAATAAGGCCCTGGTTACGTTTTACTAGCAGATATTGATTTTAAAATCAATAGTATAACCTATATTAAAATTACTTGGTATTGTACTAACTATTACTAGTTTTTGATTTTGTATCATAAACACAGTTGTGTGAAGTGTTTAATACAACAACATTTTTACATAAAGTGCATGTCTGTCTCTAAAAAAATGTGCATTTTATGTTTACAGTTATAACATTAGATATTATATTTAATATTTAAACTAGTATTAAAATTTTTAAATTCAATTATAAAAAATAAAATTTTAATACTAATTTAATTTATTATTCAAATGAAAACACGAAAATGACGTTACCAGCACGTCCAAAAATTAAATTTATTCAACTGCGGTATACGCGGTAAAGTCTTGTTAGACACGATAAAAATGTATATACCATGACAATATGAGCCAATCAGAAAAGAGTATTTCACGCGAAACGAAACGACACTGAGTTAAGGATTCTTCATAATACGATAGAAGTCTAGCTGCTGATCAAAATATTTTGTTAGCTACACTTTTTTGGGAGTAGATACAGCGGGATAGGTACGCTCGGCGACGGAGGACGCATGGAGAATGGCCGATCGGATTGTAAAAGTAAAACGTAAAAAGTCTAGCTACTGGTCGAAATATTTATTAAAATATAAGAAAATGTCTAGATGCTGGTATTTTCGTAAGTGGATACAGTTGGCGGGTGAGCAGTCTGCCTTACGGCGGATTGGGTGCAATATAACGTGTTTAATACAGGGGAAATTAAGATAAAGGAGTGGTAATACAAAGGGATTCGGGGTAAGTCTAGACGCTAAGAAGATATGAAGGAATTCAGACAATGTCTAGATCAGTGGTCTTTAACCGTTTTAGACTCATAGCCCACATTTTTAGGCACACATTTTTCGCGACCAACGTAAGAGCGATCGCACACCTAAAGAGCAAAACTGAGTTTGTATATTAACAAAAAAGAAACTAAAATTATTTAATACTTTGTAGTAGTACTTTTATAACTGAATAAATAAAAACTACATTGTTGACGAAATAAATGAAAATAAACTTTTTAACGGATACGTAGATATGATTAGAAAATAACGCGACTAACATTAGTCTTTAAATACAACACAGCAACAATAATGATAATGTTCATAGATTTTGGGTCTCCTTAACGATAACAATATAATATATTAATTGTATTACTAGCCCGGTTTACTCGGAAATTATTATATTCAATGTCATACTATGCAGAATCATACCAGTATATGAAACATATACTGTGATTTGATATACTTGATATTATATTATATTATAGAATATAAATTTTATAATAATGTTGTTTACATAATATATTACAATAATTTTTAAACTGTATTTTCATTTGTTAATTTTCTAAGTTTAATAACTAAACAATTATTTTTATACCTTATGTAATTGTATAAATTTAATTTTTATTTTAAAAAGTAAACTTATCATGGCCCAAAAATGGGTCGCGACCCACCGGTTAAAGACCACTTGTCTAGATATTAGTATTCTCTGAATCGTACACAGGCGGTGGGTGCATTATAAGTGTATAACGTATAGAATACAAGGGAAATTGATATGAAGGGATTCGGGAAATATCTAGATGTCAGTATTTTATGTTTAATGAGGAGAATAGGAACAATAGGAACAAATAGGAAAAATGATTACACACAATCGTGTTTTCATGATATCAATGTAACTTCACTATATCGAATAGGTACACATTAATAAGAAATTCGATAAATTCACGTTTTTTTATCGGTTTTTCAAATTTGATGAGAAAACTCTTGAGAAAATCGAAAAAGCCTAACCTCTCTAAAGTACCTGCCCACATCGATTTTCTTTCAGAAATGGTAATACACTTAAAAATCTGAGTAAGTCTTCTGGTAGAAAAGTTGCTCACAGATAAAAAAAAAAATAAACTTCTTTTTAATTTATTTAAAAATAAATGGATCAATTTTCCTAAAGTTATTTTAATTTATTTTATAATAATTTTAAATGTTTAGCATATCAACTTGCAGACCAAGGTTATGATGTATGGTTAGGAAATTCTAGAGGAAACACATATTCCCGTACTCATATCAATCGAAGTCCACAAAATGAAGAATTTTGGAATTTTAGGTAATATTTATAATTTTAACTTGTTAAATTTTATTTTATTACACATTACACATTATTACAGTTTTCATGAAATGGGTATATATGATATGCCAGCTACTATAGATTACATCTTAGAACGCACTAATCGAAGTCAACTAAACTACATTGGCCATTCAATGGGCACCTGTATATTTTTTGTTATGTGTTCTGTGCTTCCAGAATATAATTATAAAATACGAGTACAAATTAGTTTGGCACCCGTGGCATATATACATCACATGACATCCACACTAAATAGTTTAGCACCATATGCAAATCAAATAGAAGTATGCAAAATATTATTTTCCTTTTTATATATATATACAGGTTGTCCCACGATCTGTCATTTGAAATAACTTTTGTTCTATTCAATATTTTTAATATATATATATATTTTTTTTAAATTAGTATGTCTGCGCTACAGTTATTACAGTGATAAAAAATATTGAATAGAACAAAAATTATTTAAAATGACAGATCGTGGGACATCTATATAAATATTTGTCAACATTTTTTATTTTAGAAGGCTTCAAATTGGATTTCACATGGAGCCTTTTTACCGCAAAATGCTGCCAGCAAATTAGTAAATAAGTATTTGTGTGGAGAGGATGCTAGTAATTCATTATTGTGTAAGAAATATATAGTTTATAAGTTGTTTGGAGAAGATTCAGTCCAGTTTGATATGGTAAATCAATTAAATCTTATAAAGTTGCATGAATAACATATAAATAATTTTTTTTCTAGTCATTACTACCCATTATACTAGGTCATAATCCAGCTGGAACATCGGTAAAAACTTTAATGCATTTTGCACAAGAAATAAGAACAAGTAAAGTATTAATTATTTTTGTATTTTAAGTAGTTAGTAAATTTGATTTTTAAAATGTATGGTCTTTTTCAGAAAACTTTCAACAATTTGACCACGGGAAAGAAGAAAACATTAAGATTTACAACTGTTCACACCCACCAAAATACAACCTGAGCAATGTAATTGCTCCTGTAGCCTTTTATTATGCTCAAAACGATATAATTGCTGATCCTAAAGTATATAAATTCATCATATTTGTTTTATTTATTATTGATCTACTTTCTAAAATGTTTAATTTGGTTTTGTGTTTAGGATGTCATTGAGCTGTATTCACATTTACCAAACAGACTAGGTTTAAACCTCATAGAATTTGATCAATTTAATCATGTTGATTTCCTGTACAGTAAGAATATTATTGATATGGTATACCAAAGTGTTCTAAACACAATATCTACCACAGAATTTGAAGATTGGGTACCCGTTTTTGATAATACAACTATATACAATGCCATAGACAATATCCACTGTAATGATATAGAACTTAGAGAGAGGAACTCGAGAAAAACTAATAAAGGATTTTGGAGTAAATTAACTGGATATATTAAAAAAAAAGAAGTGAGTCCACTAGTAAACATCAAGGAACAACATAGCGAAAAAACCGCTGAATCTAGAAACACATATACGAAGGCTTGGAAGGAGCTATTTAATGAATAAAGAGGATTTATTTTAATATTTATACACAACTTACATATATTTATATATACAGGGTGATTCAAAATTTATGTTACAGCCATTTTACCATGTAAATATTCAAAATTGAGAAAAATTTATAATACAAAAATGTCTTAATTTATAATCATCCAAAATAATTTGTACATTTTTTATTTTACTAAATTTTTGGGGGTTAATTTTTAAAATTTAAATGAGAACCAACATTAAAAATTCCATAAATAGATGGAGTATTAAACAAAACAAACTTTGGTGTTGATATTTTTGATTTTGTCAACCTGTTGATGAGATATTCCATTTTTCAGTTCAGATAGGGGGAGAGTAGTGAAACACTATTCAAACGCTGCCGCGCGCCGTATCGTAGCATCAGAACAACTTCTTGGAACACCTAAAACTCTCCCCTTGCTGTTATTAGTATCACTCATCATATTATCATATAGTGCGCCGAGCATATTGTGTATGCGGCGAATTCGTATTAAACAAGGGTGATAATAATAAATTGACGTATTCACGTATTGACGTGATATCGCTAACAATACCATAGTTACACCCATAATATGAAAAATATTGTCAATGGTTGTGAGTACTAAATAGTACTCATGTAACCTACCTAACCTAAATAATTGCATTTATTATATTGTTTCAAAATCTAATTTTTATATTTTTATAATAATATAATTTATAATATTTTTCATTTAAAAATATTTCTATTTAAAATATGCAGTACAGTGTTATTATACACAAGAATTGGATACTCAGAAACTACATATTAAAAATTATTTGGTAAGTTTTTCTTGATATTGAGCAGTTAAAAATCACTAAAATAAATTTGTTGTTCAACCTAATTTACAATTTTTGTTTAAATGTTGTGTCCTGAAACATGGATCACTCAATTATCATACACCCAGTTACATCATAATACCATAATACTATGACAACACCCTCTAAGATACCATCTATTTATTAGAAAAATTAATAAAAAATTTCTATTTTAAAAATATTTTATATAAATTCAAATTCTAGATATTCTAAGATACCTATATTTAAATTTCATACTTTAAATAGAAATTTGCATAATTTAATTTAATTATAATTATTTATATAAGTATTTTAATTTTTATTCCCTTATTATTTTTCTTTATTTAGCTAGTAAAGTATTGTAAGTTATACCTTTGAGTATAGAGAGTAGATTATGCACCTATTATGTTCCACTGTTATGTACTACTCGATGGTTATACCCGGTATAAAGATTCAAAACTTACAAAAAAATATATTATTATTTTTAGATAAAAGATATTTAAAACTATGTGTACATTAGAGATAAAATTAATAATTTTAAAAATCCCTAGCCCTATTCTCAAATTGTTAAAATTTATAAAAATATTTAATTTGTATTAACTGTATCTAGTATTTTGGATGTATTGACTTTTGATATGTTTTATTGGTCTTGACCTTACCCGAATTTTGCTATGATAGCATTATGAAAATTTGGCTAAATTCTGGTAAAGATATCAAATTAACAACGTGTCCATTATGTTTGATATGTTAATTTTAAATTAAAGTCCATTATTTTGTATATTTAAAAACATAATTATATTGATACAATGATACTTATAAAAAGTTATCTAATATGATTTACCAATTAAAACAATACCTAATTGATACATATTTATTAATTTATAGTAATCAAAGTTATGAGTATTTTATGTTTCTGACAGTTCTATATTTCATTAATAATAATGAAAATAAATTGTTGTAGGTAAGGAACTTAAATATTGGCACCATTAAATCCATAAGCAATTTTACACTTTACTTTATATTTTAAAATATTGTTTAAGTAGTAGTTGTAAATTTTTTTTTATTCCTACCTCAAAATAAAGTCTTTAGAGTTAAGATATTGTAAAAATTAGAAAAAAAGTAAGTTCAATGATTCAATTGTTTTAAAAATAGACAGTTGTGGTCTGTCCTTTACCATATTAGCCTGGTGGGCTTCTGAAAGTAAATTATTATTTTTTTTTTTTAACAATTTATTATAATTATACCAGCTTTGAAATAATGTTTTTATACAGAAATGTCTCACTAAACCTAAGTTTATAACTTTTATATAATTATTGGTCAACAAATTTAAGGTAAGTTGATATACTTAAAATATTTAAGAGTTAAAAGAACCTAGGTATATTAAACAAAAGTTTAACTAATACAAGATAGAATTATTTATTGTACAATTTAATAACACATTTTAAAGTAGATATATTACTTACAATCAGATACGAAAGGTTAGGTAATTGTTTTCCAATTTGATTGAAACATAAATTCAGTGAGAAATATCATACCGGATATTACAATATTTTTTACTTTAGATTTAGTTAATCATATATGTTCAAAAACATTGGCATATAGTAAACAAAAAAATATATCTAAACCATTGCAATTACCACCAAATAATCTGCAAAAATATTTAGTAATATTGATTTAAATAAACTTGGCTCATCTACCTAATGTTAGAAGTTATTGATCTTCAAACTTGGAAAACCAATTAATTATAGATACAATGTGTACAAATACAACTGAAAAAATAAGAAGCAATTTTCATTTCATCTTTCATTTTTTAGAATATTGATTAGTACAAGTTCATTAAGGTATGAACTAATTTATAACTTTTTAAGTTGTTATGCAATATTTATTTTCTATTAATATCAATTATACGTTTAAACATGTTTTATATCAATAGAATTTATTTACAAAAAATTTGTAATAATGTAATAATTCCTATTATTTCTGACAGTTTATAAATTATAAGTTGACTAGTCACAAACAATGAAAATAAAATAAATTTTTTTTGGCATTTAATCGTTTTTGTCGATTATTCTTAATGTCAGTAAATTTTCCTATAAGTTTTAAGGAATCGCGTAACCTTTTAAATGTCATATGTGATGGTATATGTTAAGATACTGTTCCCTGTATGCTGCTATGGAATGTCTACTACTATTTTCTATACATTTATGAAATATTTCAAGTATATCAACTCTCTCTTATCATTAGAAAATGAATCATTATAATACAAATAAATACATAATTATGATACTACATTAATTGTAAAATTAAAAAATTATCCAATAATTTTAATTTATAAACATATAACTGCATAAGACATGTACATAGTCATACATAGATCATATTTTGTTATGAATAATAATTTATTTACCTTGCAGTTCAAGAATTTTTCAAAATAAAATAATCTTAATATCCAATTTGTTTATATTAATATACAAATTGCAAAGTTGTATTTTATTAACATCAAACGCAATTTACAAAGAATAAAATGAATAACAATAATAATCATATTACAAAATATTATATTTTTGTAAATACTAATGATATTTTGAATACACTAAGTGAAATATTAAAAAACCACATTTTATTGTATTCTCAATTCAAGTTTAACAATTAACACTTTAAATTTAATTCATTATACATTAATATGTAATAAATAAACTAGAAATTGGATAAATAAGAGCCGTATGCGGATTTTTTAGACATTAATATATCTGAATTAGATTTTTATATAATTAGAACTACATATTTGGAAACTTAGAATAACGCTAAAAATAAAAAATATTTATCTATAATATAATAATATAAATTATTTGGATTTAATGGTATAATCGATAGCGGAAACCAATCAAAATTTATTACACCATAAAGTACCAGTGATCATTCTCTGATTATGGATTTTACAGGATTACAAGATTTTATCTTATATCAAATTATCTATGTTATAGGCTCTCATATCATGTCAAGTTATTATTATCACTATATTACTACCCACGTTTGGTACAAATTGTAGGTATGCGCAGTGCATTATATAATTAATTATATAATGCACTGCGCACATTATATAATTATATATTATTTGTTATTTGACGGCAAGGGGAGAGTTGTAGATGTACCAAGAAGTTGTTCTGCTGCTATAATACGGCATGCGGCAGCGTTTAAATAATGTTCCACCCCTATTTAAACTAAAAAGTGGAACATCTCGTCAACGGGTTAACGGAAATCAAAAATATCAACACCAAAGTTTGTTTTGATTAATACTCTAAATATTTATGGAATTTTTAATATAGATTCCTATTTGAATTTCAAAAGTTAACCCCCCCCCCCCAAAAAAAAAATTTAGTAAAATAAAAAAAACTTATAAATTATTTTAGATAATTATTAAGAGTATTATGCCTCGATTACATAGGATGAATTTACTCGCAGCATGTCAACGACCATAGTCGTGTGCGAGTGGGTGTGTAGCAACATGTCCGATTACAGTATTACATTGTGCAATTAAACGCTTGTAGCATGTCACAACCACGCATTGCGTATGCATATAATAAGTATTATTTATATAAATTATTTATGTGGGATTGCCGTTCTTATTTGAGTATCTTCTTTCTTAATTAAATTATAAACCATCTGTAATAAATTATCGAACTGGGCCACGTCCATTCTTAGAAGATTTCAGTAGGTTATAGTGTCTTCATCTCTAAACTCTTATTAATGTACTCAATGCATCATATTTCTCTTGTCTAGCAATCCAATCTCTAACACAAATATTTTTCTTCTTCTTAGTTTTCCTTTTTTCCAATTTCTGACGCAATAAATGAGAATAATAACAATACCTGCGTGAACTACAGCCTCTAATATCTTGGAACAACTAGTCACAAACACACTAACTATTTTGCTAGCCATGTCGATTATACAAAACAATTTTATTCGCTGGAATGTAAAATAGCAAGCGAGGAGCCATAAAAGTAGCCCAGCCATCAACTTTAATCTCGAGCGAGTAGCGACTGTTAATATACAGTGAATAAGTGACTAGGTCAAATACATTGAACGAATTTAGTAACAGCGAGTAGCGAGTAAATTCGCTCTATGTAATCAAGGCTCATTTTTTTTTCAATTTTGAATATTTTAATGATAAAATAACTGTAACATAAATTTTGAAACATCCTGTATATATATATATATATATATTTATAAAAAAATATGATTTATTGAAAATCCATTTTATTTATTATAAATGGTTTAAAAATACAGAAAATAAGTAATTTAATGATGCATATATGTACAACTTAAATTTAAAACTTTAATCACTTATTTTTATTGAGTGTAAAATTAAAAAAAAATAATAATATATATATATATATATATATATATTTATATTTGTCAATTTTACTTCATAATTCTGATCAATATCTTGACCTAAAAAATAAAATGCCCATCATATTATTTAAAAATTATAGGAGTCACAATTAAGGTATAAGAAATAATTCCTACCAAAATCAATTACACAATGCATAAAACATCAGTTATCATATACTGTACAAATAAATTGTCTTAATATGTGTGTGAAATAATACTTAATTAAAATACAATAGTTGAAATAATAAAATTACCTGTAATCATCTCGATCTCTTCTTCTACTGCTACCGTATTTTGGACTTCTAGAAGTACTAAAAGATTAAAACATTAACTTACATTTGGATAATTATTTATTATAATTAATGTAGGTACATTACCTTTTTTTGTAATCGTCTCTTCGGCTTACATAAGGTGATCTAAAATTAATGAGAATATTAATTACTATCTAGTATTTAGTAATTATTAAAATAAATTTAAAACTGAATTTATTTTGAAAATATATTTTAATTATTGTTTTGCTGTACTATTTAAAATAAAATCATAAGGAATGTTATATCCATCCATGTGGGTATACATAGTGAGAAACTAGCTTTAATGCTAGAAAAAAGATTACCCAATCAATTATTAGTTATTAAAACTGATCCAAACTGAAATTGATACTTCAATTATATAATATAAATATCAATTTCAGTTTGATCAGTTTTATGATAATAAATATATTTTATGTATGTATTGCATTTTGTTTTATTTTATAAACTATATATTAATATTTACTGCTGAGAAAAATTTACTTTTAGTGCAAATTTTAAAAATTTTAAGTACTTGCATATTCAGTGTTCAAGAACCTATAGGCTTTTTACTAAAATAATTTGTATGCAATACAAAAATATAAAAAACAAATTGCCATTATTATTATTTTCTTTTTTCTTTTTTTAATATCAATAGTTTCATTAAATTACACGTTTTCAAAATCATTAATGAGACCATGTTTACACATAACCAAAAATTCAAAAATGATAATATCAAATTAACATTATACAATAAAAATTATTTTTGCACTTATCTAATGAGTTGCTTAAACCTGCAACATGTATAAGCTCTGAGTATCTTTTCTTTAGCAAAAATTTCAAATATTGTTTTATAACGATAAATAATAATCGTGTATAGTAAAATAGTAAAGGTATTTTGCTAAAAAAGAAGAAAAAAAGTTAACGTCACAGATTAATGAATTAATTATTAACAAATATATTATTCATTCAAACACATAAAAGTATTACCTTTCTCTGGAATTTGTGTGACTAGTCTTTCGTTCATAATCTCTATCCCGATAATCTCTATGTGATCGTTCTCTACGATCAATTCTGTCTCTAGATCTTGACGTGTCAGAGATATCAGCTCTATTTCTATAATCATCTCTTTCTCTATTACTATATTAAACAGAATTTGAATTACAGCTAAATTAAATTGTAAATAAATAATTATTCCTACTTAAAATTTTTTTCAGGTACATTTCTTCTGGGCGTTTCTTCAATTACTGGAGGATACTTATCACTCATTTTCTTTTCCATTTGTTGCTAAAAAAAAAAAAAAAAACAAAATCATTAGTATCTATTAAAACATTTAATATACATTTACATGATATTCAAAATACCGTAAGATAAGTTCCAGGGTTTTATTGCTGACATACCTACCTGAATGGGCACAGGAATTCTAGGGAATAATGTTGAATACCACTCCAATTTGAATAAAAAACTCTTTAATATATTGCCAATTGTCATCATTTGTCCACCTCCGGCTCTAACATCCATTTCCTAATTATATTATTTAAACAAATATGTATTATTTAAATGTATAGAATAGGTATTTCAAATGTTTATTGTAAGAGGTTGTTATTCTTATGTATACTAAATGTCTGCATAAACAATAAAATAAATACAGTAAAATATTAATTGCAATATCTAAGATAACACCAAGTTTAAATAACTATTATGATGTAGTCTTACATTTTTTAGTGATTATACGCAGTGCTGTATTTATGATTTAGATACTTAGATTACAAAGACTAATGAGCAAAAGTCATCAGTAGGACTCGGAATATGCATTCGCATGTTTTTTGTGAGCTATTACATGATTTGCTGAGTAAGCTAAATATCGAAAAAAAAACGAAAAAAATCAAAAGTTTATAGTAAATTGTAAACATATTTAGTGATTTTATAGTTTTAAGAGCATAATTCTTAATTTAATCATTTTTAGATATATATTTTATAACTCATGATAATAGTATTTAAAAATTCAGTAATAAATAAATAGATGTATTAGTTTTAAAACTTTACACTGAGTATTTTAGTATAGTGTTTTTTAAATATTTATCTAATAGCTTCTATCAAAATATAATTTATTCTATAAAATACTATCCTTAGAAAATGATTCAATGGTTATATAGTTAATTGCATTAATATACCTAGACTTATCGCTAAAGTACAAGTAAGCCATGCGTTGCTTTAGGTAGACATATAATTTTTTTTTAAGAAATTGAAGAACCAAAATAAAATTAATAATCGTCAAAAAACACTGCAATAGAATTTTTGCTTTAGGACGGAAAATATTTTACGAAGGACTTAAATATATCTACCCGTAAATAAAAATGTTAGTTCCGACTAATACGTTCATAAGTTTAATTAGTGTTGTTCTTATTTCTTTTGATTATATTATTTTTATTTCATTCCCGAAAAATTTAACTGTCCAAGACAAATCATTTGAAAAGTTCCTTGTTGGAGTACGGGATGGATACATTTAAAACCGATAGAACTATTTTTTTATTGTAAGTTATGTAAAATAATGGAAAATAGTGACAGAAAATTTGTTGACTGCACACTAATACTGAAAAACAAACAAGCAGTTATTAGGAAAAATGAAAAGAACAAAAACACTGAAGTTTAACAGTAACAGTTATAATTAATACTCCAAAAAATTGTTTATCTCACAAAGCTTTATTATCAGCAAACATACCTCTTCACAAAATTTAGTAAAACTCAATCAAAAATAATTTTTGGAAAAGTATATATCAAGAGAAACTCCCAGTGAATATTTTGTATAAAAAAAACAAAATTTATGATTACATATTTAGTACTTTTTAAGAGCATTAAGTTCTGAGCCATAGTTATCAGCAACAATTTGGAGCAAAAAAAAAAGAAAAAAAGCCACTGTCTATTTCCATACATTGTTTAATCGTTGTGATAACATGAATATATGACATTTTGAAAATAATGAATAATAAATGAGACATATACACGAATAATAACTAAGTATTCTATAAACTTATACCCGTAATCAAGTAAAAATTTTTGAATACATTATTGTCAAAAACCCAGGAAGTGTGTGTAAATATGTTAAATATGCCAAATATGTTCAACCACACCACCAACTATTAACTACTATATTCAAGGCAATGAAATAAGAACCTTATGTTTTAAACCAATAATATTCTAAAAAAAAAAAAAAGAAATCTGAATCTTAATTTAGACACCAAATTTAAAAGTGATGTTCTTTTTTTAAATTTTCTCTTTAAGTTTAGTAATAATTATCAAAACTATTTACTACCCCTTGATGCTAATTAATATTTTACACAAATTTGTATTATTAGAAGTATTGCTTATTAACTGATTGGATCATAATAATATACCTAATGAATATAGATATCACATGCTTGTTAAAATATTTAATCAAAATAATGGTTTAAACCAAATATTTTATGTTTACAAATTATAGCAAACAGAAATTACCTCTTCGTCATCCAAGAAAGATTCGTACCAATCCCATAAATCCCCAGGTGGCTGAGTATACCTAAAATATATTATGAAAAAATTATTTTATTTCATATCAACATAAAAATGATAAAATAAATAAATAGGAACAGGAATACTTTCAGGACTGTTATTATTCTTCAAACAATTATCCTCCACTATACTTTGGGATAGTTTGATCAAAATCTTACCTGATGTACATAAAACCCAAAGCACGTATATAAGGTGAATCGCAATGGGTAATTAACCCAGTTACCTGCTTGCGAGTCAATTTCAATGTGAACAGTTTATAAAGAAGACAGAAAGCTGTAGACACAATTCCACCAGCACCAACTCCTCGAACCTAAAACATTAAAATAAGATTATACTTTTTAAAATATTATAACCCTTTATTGATTTTAAGATAATATAAATTATTAATTTTAAAAACAACTTACACCACCACACATTCCAGTCTGTCCAGAGGTTTTACGACTACCTTTTTCCCATGGCTCAAGATGTTGTACTTTATAATAAATTTCATCAATTACTTCATGGTAGGTTTTTAATTCATATAAATTGACTAAAAAAATTATACTAATTTATAATAACATTTTGTTTAAATAAATTGATATGCAATGGGTAGATTTTAATATTAATTTCCAAATTTTTTTTTTCCACCTTATTATTTAATAAGAGTAACTTTCACTAATGCAAACAATGATTTATGAACGATATGTTTTAGATAATTTATCAATTTTGGTTATACAGGGTTTGTCCGGAAAGTAATGAGCCTAATTATTTTGTGACATGACTATACAATGTGGAACGATGAAACCAATTAAGAAGAGTGAGGGGCACCTTTAGCTATTCAGAGATGCCATGGTTAGTCATATCCGATCTCTAGGAGAGTTAAGACGTGCTTTTACGTGAACCTCTGTGCAGTGACTGCGTTGTAGTTAAGATAGAAAAATGTTTAAACCAATGTTAAGTGGAGAAATTTTGTGTCAAGCTCAACAAGATGCCAAAAGAAACATGGGACATACTTAAAATAACCTTCGGGGATGCTTCTATGATCTATTTGCAGGTAAAGAAGTGTCACAAGTCGTTCAAGGAAGGTCGGAAAGATGTCAACGACGAGGCCCGTTCTGGACGCACATCAACATCGCAAACGGACAAACATCTCACCCGTGTGGGCGAATTGTTGAACACAGACCGATGAATGTTTGTATGTCAGGAATATTGAATTAAAAGGAAGTGCTTCAAAGGCTGAATTACAGTCACCCGCGTCCGAAAAGAGATCTGAGCGTCATGGAGACTGCATCATGACAATGTGCCGTCTCACACAGCCTTTGTTGTCACCTCCTACTTGACTTGGATTGGTGTCAAAACAATTTCCCAGCCACCCTACAGTCCAAACTTAGCTCTGGCGGACTTCTTTTTATTTTCTGGACTGAAAAGGAAGCTCAAAGAACATCATCTGGGCACCCTGGAGAACGTCTAAGATACTTTGACGACCTTACTGAACAGTATTTCTGCAGAGAGTTCCAGGAAGCTTATACAGCATGAGAATCAGGTTGGCAAAAATGTATTGAAGTGAAAGGGTCTTATTTTGAAGAATATTAAGTTGTAGTACTTGTATGTTCAATAAATTTTGTGAAAAATATCATGCTCAATACTTTCCGGACAAACCCTGTACATCAAATAAACACCTTAATTTACATTGATGGCTCCAAATAATACATATTAATTTAAAAAATTAAACATCAACTAGTTTGATATATGAAGTACATATTTTAATACATTTTTTTTAAATTACCTTTAAAATAATGGGATGATTGAATATTAGTTAATATTAAGCTGTTTAAATTCATTGTACGCTCATTACCCCAAATAGGTAAATTATTATTCTTTCTAGTCAAAATACTTCCTTTTGATTTTGACTGATATTCATTATCATATCCTGAAAATAAAATTATACAAAGTATTATTAAAGTGACAAATTTTATAATTTATGCTATCTAAGAATGGATAATTTAGCTTTTATAATCAAAAGCCAAGTCAGTTATAGTATCACCTATGCATGCATGTACAAATTAACTACTTACTTTAATTATATAATTGAGTTATTATTATTATTCTAAGAAATTACTTGATACTCCCATCAAAAATTATTTTTTTATTTAATTCCTGCTTTAATATCTAACCAATTACTACTTCAATTACATAATAATTGTAAGTTTTACATTTACAATTTTTAATAAAAAAAAAATATGTATATTTTATTAGGAACCTATTTAATGAACATACATAAATATTTTTAATGCTAACTATTCAGTGACCTACCTTATATTTTTAAACTACACAACAATATTTACTATATATAGTTTAATTCTTGCTTTCAAATTTAAATAAAAATTTTTTTATCCAAATATTGACATACAGATAAGTTTAATCTGACTTACATAACTACTTAACCATGATAACAATTTATTTGTATTTTTATAAATAAACATATTTGTTACACAAATTTCACTTAGCACTCTATTTCCAGAGTTAAATGAGTTTACAAGGTATACAATTTTTTATAGAATTATGATTTTACAAGTATGTGTATATCTTACCATCATTTTCATGGCTCACTTCCATGATTATATTTGGAATTGCCTTTTATAATTACACCAAAACAATTAAACAGAACAAATAAAATACTTCATTCTTCAAAACACAAATCAAATACTAATATTAATAGATATAAAATCAAATGCTAAGTACAATGTCCATAATAAAAAAAAAAATAACACAAAATAACCAACATTCATGGCGCATGCGTTAATTAAAAGAACAGTGTAGCCATGTTTTTAGGTGACCGAAATGGGTATGAATGAAGCACTGTGTTGATAAGAAATACATTTTATGATACACTTCATAAACCATGATTTTGGTTACTATCTTAGATTTTTAACAATTAGGGATAGCAAAATTCACGAATGAATCATAGCAAGAAAATTTCCTCACTGTTCATGACATCATTTTGCCGTTTATCATTGTTATCAAATATCAATTACCAGTTTCCATCAATAACTGGTTACTACTATATAAAATTAATCCAGCACGTCAAATGCCATGTACAACAAAAACGAATCGTTCAAACATAATACGTTCATTTGAACATTGTCTAAAATCGTTTTTATTATAATAGAACTTTTTAATATATAGTATTATATCAAATAGATATATTATGTATTTTATTAGATATTATAGATACCTACCTAATAAAGTAGTATAATTATTAATTGCAATGGGTTTTTGTTTTAACTTGATTTAAAACATTTTATTTATTATTTTAATTGCAGGTACTTTTTATTGTTTAAATATATATATCATTATAATTATCAAAAATATACATCAGCTATAATTTATTATATTTATAAAAAAATGTATTTTGAAATTTATTCTGTTTTTAAACTAAAAAAAATGTGGGAAATTATATTGTATATTTGCATATTATTATGAAATATTATCATTGATAACAAAGATGTACATACATAACATACACAACGATACAAATATATTGTCGGTTTATATTTTAGAATATTGTGTATTAAACTATTATCCAATCAGTAACGTTTTGACTGGGTGTATGATTATTATTTCTGTAGCTAGGTACAAGAAGGGCCAATGTCACATTGTCATTGTTGGGAAATGGGCCTGAAATTTTAACTCCCCATGCTCTGTGTATTTTATTAAATCTAAATGTTCGTGTAATTTTTAATTTTTACAAAAACTTAAAAATTGTATGGTTTTTTCATGTATTCAACTGATTTTTTTAAAAAACTGACAGCCATTCTTGCACCAAGCCACAGATTTATATTTATCAGTGGTGGCTTTCATGTATCTGAAAATGTGTTTAAGCACCTCTTTCGTAATTGTGGTGAGGCGGTTATAACTATTAGGTCTCCAGTACCAGTATCAACTTAGAAAATCTTCGATTTTTAACAAAATAATAATACAATGGAAACATAGTATTATTATAGATTAATAGAATATTAGATTATAAAAGAATCTATTATGCCTATGCCTTTAAACAGGTGGAAACAAACATTTCCGTAATAACAGTCAATATAAATAATAAAATTATATTATGGCAACAATATTTCTAAACTCCAAATAGAAACTAAATAGTTTATGGTCACATCCCCGTCCAATAAACCTCAAACAAACAAACCCATAAACATAAATGAATTTTAACAATATGATATAATATAGCATAATATAATATAGGTATAATTATTATAAGGTTAGTGAATCTGTACATTTTTTTTTCTTCAACTAAAAGTATTTATTATTTATTGATATCATTGTATGAGTGAGTCGCGGCCAGTTTAGCTGTATTTGGCCTATACAAAAACATATTATCTATAACATTACCAAAATAATTTAGATAAAAGCAATGTTGTCGGAACAGACTGTCTAGTGTAATGGTACTGTGTTATTAACAGTCTTTCGACAACTGTTGTTATTAGGATGTGACCTGCTACAAACTCAATTGACGTTAATTAGTGTTTTGAAATTTAAAATGCATATTGTAATTCATTGTAATCAAATTGTTTAATAATAAATTCATTTGTAAAATATTTTCACAAGAAAAAAAAATCAAATAAGCATAGTTAGGTATATAATTAGAGTAATTAAGCACATATTCATGAACATTTTTTGGTCGTATATACACATATTTTTTTATTATAAACACATTTAAATCCGAGCCCTAGTGATGAATAAAATGTATATAGTAATACTTAGTATTTAGTATATAATTTATATATAAATTATTATAGTATATAAGTATGTGTGAAGCAGTTGAGTAACTAGGAATTTATTTCGAGGGGTGATTTGAGTATTTGCTATTAATAATATTAATATTGTATAAATGTCAAAATTAATATTTAATGTAGAAAAAAAAGGTTTTGAGAGTTAATATATCACTCCCTCCTAGTTATGCCACTGGTGTGAATACATTTAAAAATCTAAACAATTTTTATATGGCTAATTGTAAAAGAATTAAAAACCCTATTAAAATAAACTTAAAATGTTGGCAGGTAAAAATATGTTGAGAGAAGTAATTTGTTAGATTACCAGAAATACTAGACGATACTAGTTCTTTTTAAGTGAGCACCTGTTATATTTTTTTCGACATAGCTGCCACTAATAATTATATATTATACAAATTTGGTTTCATCATTTTATAATTTTTTATAAAATGTATAAAAAGCATCTACTTATCTCACTGCAACTTAAAGATGTAACCAAAACTTTCTTTGCAAGTTTTTGTAGTTCACTTTTGTGAACACATATATACCAGGTGGAATACACCGGGAATGCTTGTAGAGCACTTGAAGCATACAAAGTATCCAACCAGAGAACACACCCAATATTTGATAAAATTATAAAATATTTGTAATGTCTTTGGAAATTTAATATAATGACATTCTTTATATTAATAAAATCATAAAATAAATATGGGAGCAAGAATAAGAAATGTAGGGTATAATTGAAATACAAAATGTCTATTTTTTTCATATTTTATTAGGTAAAACATATATATAAATCTTATTGTTTTTGCGCAAGTTCTTTTTCCTTTGCCTTTTCAATTTTGGCAAGGCGACAAGCAGACTTGGCACCCAAAACACCACCACCCCAATGACGTTTGAATTCATCAAATCGTTCATTAAAGTTGTTCTTAATAGATTCTACCAATTTAGCAAGAGTAGCACGATCACCGGTATCAACCTAATTTAAATTTAAATGATGAATTTAACTAATTATAATTTTTTAAACACAAGTTACATAATTATGTATTCAGCACCATATTTACCTGTGTAATAGCTAAAGCTGTACAATTCTTACGACGCACAAGATTTCCTAACCTCCATTTTCCCTTAATAATGCAGTAAGGAACACCCATTTTACGGCACAATGCTGGTAAATAAATGACCAACTACAAAATACGTTATTATTTAAACTTTAATCAAACATAAAAAGAAAATATTGTACCTCCAATGGATCTACATCGTGGGCAATAACAACCAATTGAGCTTTCTTTTGTTCAACAAGGTTTACTACAGTATTGATTCCTTGACGAATAACATTAGGGCGTTTAGTTGGTTGATCTTCCTTTGATTCTACTTTATCTTCAGCTCTTTTCTAAAACAAAAAATAAAATAAAATATATATACAATATACCTTCAAATATAAAAACCAAAATAATATAATTTATAAGAATTTGATTTATTATACAACTGTACCTGCAATCTTCTTTTTTTCATAGCAGCAGTTTCAGGTCTGTATTTTTCCATCAGTTTAAATAACTGAGTTACTAAAATAATACCCATGAGTTTCAGTTTAATGATTCAAATTTAAGTTTAAAAATATAACTTAGTACCAGTAGCTTTATCAGCAGCAAATGAAAATTGGTTGATTGGTGGAGGAATTTTGAGCCGTCTTTGAAGAACTGACTTTTGTCTTTGAATGCGAATGTAATTTGGCCATTTGACAAAACGGCTTAAATCTCTCTTAGGTTGAATATCCTGCCCTGTAAAATGGTTATTAATTCAATATTTTAATTTAAAATATCAAATTAATGAAACACAGTAGTCATAGATACTTATAAAGAACTGTGTAATATTAAATATAATATTACCATTCATTTTTATTTACCCCATACACAATTTGATAATTACCTAACCTACCTAATAGCTCTTAAATCTGTTCATTCACATCCCCAAAATCAAGGAGAAATTGTAAATGTACATAGTAATTTTTTTACGTTTTAGATTTAAAATTTGTTAAAATTGCATTGAAAATATATTTATTACAGGACATATTATGTATAATGATAAAATTATTTATAAGTATTTTACAGTCAGAAACACAAGTACAGCCATTTACAATTACCTCACCACCTGACCCTAAGTTAGGATATGCTATTTTTTGGTATATTAAACAAATCAATTTTTGGTAAACAATATTATCTGTGTATCAATTGCTCAGTGTTAAAAAGCTCATAAATTATATTTTCATTATTATCAATAATAATATATAACTCATCATAGCAATATCTTTTATAATTAATATAAATCAAATTTACTTTTGTTTCCTAAAGTTAAAATTGAGTTCAGCATTTTTAAAGCACAAAATGTGAATTTTTATCAATAAAGAATTTATGCATGGCGAAAAAAAAAAGAATATAAATTACATAATTGAAAAGTTTTGTTTTATTTTAATTAATAATTTTAAAGACTAAGAGAGATTATAACAATTTAGACAAATTATTGTTGTAGTTTTAGTTAAGAAAGCTCAAATAATACTTTTCATATGATTTTTCAATAGAAATATATACATCAAAGCAAGGCAAGACGTTGAAAATAACCAGCCTAAAAATACACACAATTATTCTAATTATTATAAAAGAACTCTCCATGTAAATATAATAAGATATTAAACAATTAGTTTTGAAAAGATGTCAGAGTTAAAAAGCTCATATAATATAATATTATCATTTTATGTCAACCTAAAAACAACTCATCATCCAATAAATATAACATTCCCAAGCTCAGAATGTCATTTTCAACATTACTCTTAACATACTTTATTATGTATGAAAAGTTTAGTTGAAGAAATTTTAACATCATAGCTAAAACAGAATTTATATTAAGTAAAAATTTAAATTACTTAATATATGTGCTGAAAGTAAACATTTTAAATAACATGGTGTTCTATATAAGAAGTAACTAATATTTATGGTCAATATAACCTCATTTAAAAAATAAAAATGTTTCATAATGATTAACACATTTAGACTAGATGTAATTTCTAGTCATCATTAAAATATTTGTTTTAAAAAAAAATTCGCTCAGAATGTCATTTACAGCATTATTATAACATATATAATGATATAACTATTAAATAGAAATTTAGTTCAGATGAAGAAATTCTATCATCATTGCGATTTAACTACTTAACAGTTACATTTACTAGAGTTTATTTTAAAATAGACATTATACTATGAACTGTATAAATTATTAAAAAAAAGGTTGCAAATGTTTAAAAATGTAATGTATTACATTGTTATTTACTAATTTACTTTGTTGTTCCAAATTTTCTTTTAACTTGGTAAATATGCATCTTTTTTTATTTGATAGCAAGGTAAAATACAATTATTAAAATAATAAAGTAAAAAATAAGTAAATAAATTTGTCGCCTGGAGTATGATGATTAGTGTATACAATTGAATATTGCAAAAACTTGCAAGAATTGATATTTACATTAGACAGTATGTTTACTCTAAAAGGTATTACTAAATATTTCAGTTGGATAACCTAGTATTAAAATGGAATTTTTTAAGGAATGATATGGAGTATTCAAAATTAAAATGGTTTAACCCTTTTGGTACACACGTGCATAATACAACAAATTTTTTTTCTACGGATTTAGATAAGAGTATTTTTTTGTTTAACCAATTTTGTATAAAAAGTATTTCTCTAATCTCGATAACAGAAATGATATCTTTGATATTTTGAAATTCCTCTTTATAGATATTATAAATATTAAAATTAATACACAAATTATTACACACTACTCGTATTTGTTTTTTAATGTTGGATATTATTAGGATTCACATATAAACATATTGAACATAGTTCAAATTTCATCAATTGCAGATTATTCGTAAATATTAAAGTTCAACATACTATAACTTTGCTAATTTGTAATTAGAGAAAATTGTTTAAAAATAATTAGTTGTATTGCACATGTGCATGCCAAAAAGGTTACAAATTTGAAATTAGTCTGACAATGTTTATTTGGGTACTCCCTGTCATTCCTTGAAAATTCCATTTCAATACTAGTTCATCCAACTAAAATATTTAATGGTACCCCTTAGTATGAACTGTATACCTATTATTTTTTTTTTAAATTTGATTTAAAATAAAAAATTTGAGAATTAGGCTCCTTGACTTAATGCTTGATTACATAATACGAGATGCTGACTTAATAGTAGACAGGTAAAGAATGATGTACTTTGGATGCAAGGTACTGATAGACTTGCAAAAAACATTAATTTGTAGGTGGTCTCATAGTATGAGTAGAAAGCTGCGCTGTAGCAACTTTTTAAGTTAGCTCAGATGTTAGTTCGCACTGATTAATCAGGTCTTTAGAGACAATTCGCCCCTAGCTGACTAATGACAATATTACAATGTTAATGGAATAATTTAAGAGAGGCAAACTAAAAATAAGCAACTCTTTTTTACCTAGATTCATTTAATTATCATCTCCGCTACAAACTGTAATATTGAAAGAAACAAACTGTAGACAATTTGTATAAGGCGATATGAAAGACCTCATTAGACTAACAGGGACACGGATTAAATAATAAGAATGATTAAATATTGGATAAATGAATGGTTGTAATCTAAGGCCCGGTTTACACAATTAAATATCAAACTTCATGTTTTAGAAACATTCCTAAAATATATGACAGTTTTGTTAAATATTGGATTAATAGATTGATAAAAAATTGTTATCATCGTCTATCATTATTATGAAATATAATTTACAGTATTTACACATTTTATACAAAAGCATTGCCATTTGTAGTCCAATAATTGTAATTATTATTTATTACATTTTAATGACTATACAAAATTTTAAATAAAATCAAATTAGTTTTTTTCAATGACACCGAAAAGAGTAAAAATATGTATTGCTAGACTGAAAACTGAATAAATCGGTAGGCACCACTAAAATCTGGTGGTCACAAATTAATTACATTTATGAATTTGGGTTCTTGGGAGAATAAATTATTATATCAGGTATATAATATTATATGGACGATGAACATGTATTCAAAATTACAAGGAAATGTCTTTTATTTGTAATACACACATCATATACATCTTAGTAAAACCAATAGATCCAACACTACGCTCCAAATATAATTCTTACAAAATACTTATGCATACCTACTACATAGAAAGTTAAAGTAGGGACTAATTTTATTAATTACTTATTTATTAACAATTTCCTTAGTTTTTATAATTTATAGTTTTATTAATTTTTCTCAGTACTAACTGATATTGTTGCTCTAATGTAAGAATATCCTAATGAATAATAAGTAACAACTTAATACCATGATGTTGATGAAATTTAATCTAATAATTTAAGTTTGTCGTTCACCAAATATGGGATTGTGTTACTAAGGGCTTACTTAGGAACATTAAGTGACAAAAGAAGACTGCAATATGGAAAATAAATATATTACTTATGTAATTTGAAGAATTGATTGGAACACGTATTAATTTTAACATTTCAGTTTTGCTAACAGTGTTTTAAATATTTGGTTTGGATGTTAGGAAATGAAAAAACTTTAGTTTTAACCAGTTTTTTAAGTACAGTAAACTACCTAGGTATAAAAATTAAGAACTTACCAATTCCAAAGTTTCTTGGTCTTTTTTCAAACAGTGGATTAACTACTTTTTGTTTAACCACTTTCTTTGGTTTATCACTGGAGAGAGGGGCTGGAGCAATCTTCGCCCTCTTTCCAACTTTTTTATTAGCACCTGCCTACAATAAGAAAATAAGAATTATATGAATAAATTCGTAATAGATGGTAGAATAAAATAATATATGAATAATCTTAAACCATTTAAATCGATCAAACATTATAGCATAATAAAGAATTAATATTGTTCACACATTTCTATACCTAGGTACAAAATATTATTAATAAAGAAAATAAATATTTGCTACTAAACGTTTATATTATAATTAATGTTTAATATTATAAAATAATATTACCTTTTTCGGTGCCATGATGACAGTTAATGAAAAGATTAACCGGATAAACGAGGATGTAAACGCGTTACGCGAATAATCGCCAACGAGAAAGAACGGCACGAACCAAAGGAACTACGGTGAAGGAATTGGGAGGGTAAGTTTTTGGTTATGTTGACATGGTCTGTGGGCAAACTCACGGATGAAATGCTTATAACAGTGTTGCATGTTTTAACCCATAAGTCATAGAAGAAAAAATTTAATCATGGTAGAATAAATATAAGGTTTGGATTAACCATAGAACTTATCATAATATATCATATCATTAATATGTCTATGGACTATAGAGTAATACTTTATGCTATTGACCTTATCTCATCTATAAATTCGTTGGTACAAACCGGTGAACCGATACATTTTGTACCGTTTAACACTTGATACCGATTATTTTACACTAGTAAAATAGATATTCTACGACGGAAATCAGTGTATCCCCACCATTGTTCAAAATTAATAATGATAATACTATCAATTAAATATTAATCAATTATTTAAATTATTAGTATTACCTATACTACATTTTCCATTTCCTGCTAATAATTTAATAAAAATTAATTAGGTATTAATTATTGTTATCAATTAAATTCTTATTATTATCATCTATCTGTTTGTTTATTATTTCGAGGAGGAAATGAGACGTGATGATACGGTGTAAATAGTTTGCATCATATGTAAGTGATTGTGCAGAAAAATTAAACCGGTGTCAATTTTAACACGAGTTACACTAAAAAATATCTCAAATTCACACCGGTTTGTATAAATGAATTTCCTGTATATACTATGTAATATATAACTGTATTTGCCTGTTGTATGGACTAAAATTTACAGAATACCGAACGAACGTGTGATAAGCTCAAACCACAGACGCCATATACTTAGTATAAGGTCTATGACTCAAACCTTCTCACTATTGATAAAGCGATTAACACTATATCAATAATTATTATAGAATAGTCTAGGCCGAATAGATATGATATTTATTACACACTCTACTACTCCAATATAAACTTTGGACTGGTTTTAGTTGATTTTTATACCAATTTTGTCTTAAAGCGCTGTCATGCCAAAACCAAACAATGAGAACCGGGCGGATTCAGATACATTGATAAGACCTTTCCGTTCGGTATTCGCTTTTTATCAAGGTGTACAATACACCTTAATATATATCTTAATTCGTAATCTGTAAATATTACTGATATGAGCACAAATTGTGATACGAAGAAAAAATAATTATAGATAATAAAACTGATGATACATAGTACATTATTTTTACCAAAATTAAATTTCGTTTTCTTATTTTTCTTTTTCGTTTTCTTTTTTTTTTTAATTTCATTTTCCATGTGAATTGACTAACAAATAACATTGAAGATATAAATATATAGATTAAATACGTAAATACGTAGATAATAATACATTTTTATATCTTATTAAAATATTTAAACAATACATATTTCACTACAATATATTTATTCACTTTTCTAAGTAGTACCTATTGTTAAATTGTGTTTATATTTGTCGTTCATAATAATAATGCTATTTGCATTCCATTAATAATTAATTGGTTTTATTAATTTGATTTTACATAAAATATGTCTACTTCGATGTCAGTTACTAAGTCTTACACAAATCGCTTAAAAAGTGATGTGAAATGTATGCTTGAAAATTTTGAAGGTAACCAATAGACAATTTTTATATTATGTGTTCAATTTTTCCCAAAATGTTTTCTAAGTTTTAGATTTTAAATTTATACCTACACAATATTACAGGTAATGTTATTTACATACATAAATTAACTTAAATAAAAATTTTAAACAATTTCTTTTAGATTAAGTATAAGATAAGTAAATGCGTTTGAACATATCTACTTTACTGGGTATCCCTTTTTCTTCTAATTGAATGTTTTAAAAGGCAATAAATTTGAAAGTTTGGAGACAAAATTTTATAATTTATATAGTTTATTATTTTAAAAGACTTGTTTTTTGATGCTGATATTTAAGAAGTTATGATAAAAAAAACCTTAAGACTTCAATATTAATTCAATTAAGTACCATTGTTCATTTTCAGATTTTTTTTTAAAATGTGTGAAATATTGTGTAGTAGTTTTTTTTATAAGTTTGCAAATTCAAAATGCACTATTTTTAATTTATAACAGATGCCTTGTTTAAAATTTACATGCCTCATTTATTAACAAAATTATTAGAAATAAAGAATTCTTTTAGAAACAAACATTAGTTTAACTATTCTGTAATTGAAAATAATTTATAATTTAATGCTTCATATTAGGATACATTTTATGTTATAGGTATTGTAAAACTGTGCAAAACTGATGATGATCAAACTCAGATTTCCAAAGCTACCAGAAGTGAATTAATCGCATTTGAAATGGAAGTCAGAGCAGCCAACATTGTTCGTGCTGGAGAATCTTTGTTAAAACTTGTTTCTGATATGAAGCAGTACCTTATTTTGAATGACTTCCCATCAGTTAATGAAGCCATTGCCCAAAATTCAAAACTCTTCCGCACCAAACAAGTAGAATGTGATCGAAAACTAACCAGTTTAGTAGATGATATGTCGACAGAATTATATGAACTCGAAGAAGAATATTATACATCAAATTATAAATGAAGAGTAGGTTCTAAAGATTACTTTTATTATATTAAATTAATATAGTAGGTATAAAGTTTTTAACAAAATCCCCCCCAGCCATCAAATATGTATTCAGCATTAAATAAAGTATAAATTATTAATAACACTTTAAACACTATTTATAAAACATAAAAATATAAAAATAGTATAATAACAAAAATTGCTGCAACTGTAAGTTTTATATACATTGATTTTAGATTAAGATTTGTTGCTTCTTTTTTGTATTTTTTTGATAATATAGATAAATTTTGGGCCTTTGAATCAAGCTCTGGAAAAAAAATAGACAATAATATTAAAGACATTTCATGAAAGTGAACATTTAAAATTGAGTGTTTAATACTCATGAAAATAAACATATATAAAAATTGTATATTTTAATATAATAATAAAATATCTGTAGATTTTATAATGACCAGGTATGATACAAATTTAAATGTACATTATTTTCAATGTGTGTTAACTGGGGGAAGCTAAGCTTAGAGTATTTTATTCCAAATATTTTAAAAATATATTATTGATAACTAATAAGGCATTTTGGATTTTTGTAGAAATTATTGAACCTTAAGTAATATGAGTTAAAAATAATATTAGTATTATGAATTAGTAAAAGATAACTACTAGTTGGTAGTAAAGTTTCTTTTTTGTTTATTTATAATATCCAGGCTAAATAAGTATTTATATTTATAATTAAATTATACATTTGTATTATGTGACTATATTTGCATGCAAGTATATATTAACTATTTATAATTTTCATAACTGGTATTATTTCATGTCTCCATTATCTTGTATCTCATAATAAATTAACATTATAATTTATATTTATATTATTATGTGAAACGAACCACCTAAAGCAAAATTAACACAAAACACAAATATTCGCGTTCCATTTACGAAATAAACAAGCAAACAGAAATATGCACATCAAATGGCAAAGAAAATGATCAAATACCATAATATCTGAATTTAACATTAGATAGAACTCTTAAGTTATAGAAAACATTGTGAAAACACAAAAAAAGTCAGTACGAGAAATGAAATCATAAGGTAACTGGTAGGTTCTAAATGGGGAGCAAACCATAACACATTAAGTAACACTCATAACACCCTGCCTCTTGGCAGCGGCATATGTGTGTCCTGTATAGAGGAACTCTTCTCTTACAAACGAAATAGAAACACATAGAATAGATGACAAATGTGAATGTGGAGAAATTCAGGATGAAGGACATATTTAAGGGTACCCCAATCTTAGTACTAGGTATACCAATAAGGATGTAGAAAAAATTGAATGACAATGCCATACAGCTGGCAGAATATTGGAATGGGAAGTTATAAAGACATAGGCGATAAGCTACTATGAATGAACATGAAAAGAAGAACATTTTAATATATTAAATAATTTTGCCCCCCCCCGTTCTCATACAAATTTGTCTAGTTACTCCCAAATTATTTTCCAATGATTTTGTATTTTATCAAAACGAATAATCATACATCAAGAATTAGGCAAATCAATGAACAAAAGTTATTAATAATTAGTTATTATTGTTTGCTAATTGTGTAGGATTAATTGAAAGTTTAATGAAATTTAATCATATTATGGTATATTTTTAATTTTCAACAAAATTATTTTACTCTTTATTTTGATAAGTGTTTATTATAATTACAACTTTTGTTTTGCATAGTGCATCTTTATTAATTCAAAAATATGTTTTTATTGTTTAGATAATGTCATGAAGTTTTCAATGACCTTAAAACCTTTGGAGACAACTTTATTTAATAGGTATAAGTTAAATTTGTGTGATGTAATTTATATTAAAACAATTGAATATTATAACTTTGAATTTTAAAATCAATTTAAAAGTTTTTATCATAAGAAGTTGGTATTAGATACCAGCTTAATTTCCCTGGTTTGTAAATTTCTTTTTACCATATTAAAACAGAATTTTTAAAAAGTCTTTCTAAATCATAAATCATTAAATTTAATTTAATGTGTCCTTGTTTCCACCCATGTTAAGTAAATTATTATTTCCAGGTAATTTATCTTTTAAAAAGAGTATTTCCTTGTCTGTGACAACCAAATTAAAAATAACAACTGTTTTTATTCTATCTGTGTTGCCAAAGTACTCAGAAATTACCAAAAAATAAAAAATGTTCATATAATATCGAAAATTATGCGTGAATCACCAATAAGGGTTAAATTTTTTGATAATAAATAGACAGCAACCTTTCCTTTATTTTGAATATCAAGTTTCACGCTGAAGATTATGGCGCAATCACAATTTTTTTTAGAAACTATTATTTAAGAACTTTGGAGGATTTAATAACTATGTGTCCCAAAGATAATATGCAGAATAGATCTAGTTTATTGGATGGCCTTTTATTTTGAAATGGTGTGGTTCAAAATGCAGGTAACAGTTTTGCTTGCTAACTCAAGCTATCCCCTTATGGAGGAGAGATAGGCACTTATCTAACCTAATACTACTGCGAAAAGTATAGTGTCCTTAGTATTATCCTAAACATCACTAATCAAAACCATTCCTTCAACCACCTCTATTTATAAACAAACTCATGTCAGACTTGCAAACCCGTTAAAATAACAAACTTAATATTATATTTTTAGAATCGATTTCAATAAATCAAAATTTAAAAAGTCACCAGTAACGCAATTAAAAAATTTGCATGGTGAAGGTTTAAATCTTTATAATATTAAAATTATACTTTTATAAATAATGGCTTTAGTTAAAAACAATAAGGATATGATTATATGAAGGATTTATTGCATTAACAATAAAAACTTAAGTTATTTGTTATTTTAAAAACTAATTGATAAATTTTTCATTTTAGAAAACAAATTTATTATTTTATATTTTATTGAATATTTAAAGCGGATTTAAAGTTTAAAAAGACCAATTGAATCGTCTCATTAAGAAATATTATAACTTTATTTATATTAACGGCCTAATTAAAAGTATTATAAAAAATAATTTATTACCTGATAAAACAGTGCCTCTTTGCAACACATCATCAATATTTTGAACCATTATTCTTTGTACATCTTGAAGTTCATTATTTAATGAATTAAGATTTCTTCGTACTCTCGAATCTATGTAATTTTTCTTTGCTTTCTGTATATAATTATCTAGAATAATAAAAGTAATGACTAATAAATTTGTTTATTATTATTATAACTAAATATGTATATTTAAAAAAAATTAAGAATATAATTACATTGGAGACTTGTTTGAGTACAGAAAGTTGAATTTTAAATGGGAATATTGAGTAAAAATTAATGGTTCTTAGCCTAAAAATTTACCGATTGTGGGCCTTTAACTACTTACATTTGAATGCTTCAAAAGCTCATATTGGAATTTCCATAAAAAATAATTTGTTGTGAAAATCTATGTTGAGTAGGTCACTAGGGGAAAAAACTGGGATACTTTAAAGAGTAATAGAAATATTTTAGAAACCAATTATTGTTTTTAGCAATTTTACTTTCCAAAGAAATATTTTTCTGATAAATATAATTCCATTCAAATAATTTCCTAATTTGGACATGCTTCTGAGTCCCAATACATCTAAATTAACTACATATTTATTTATCATTAAGTACCTAACTAAAAATAAGTTACCAAATTCAATTAATGTATAAGGCCGTGAAACAGTTGATACTTGTCGTCCATAAAGCCGATTAAATTCAGCTGCTATGTCTTCTAAAAAACTGAATGCAGATCGTTTTGAAAAATTCTTTTCGCATAATACCAAGTAACAAACATCTCTTTCAATTAAATAACTAAAATCAATTTATTTTTTGAATAACGAGATTTTAAATAAAATTATTTTAGAAATAAAACTTACTGAAAATAATAAGGTGGAGATTCAATTGTACATTGCTTAGGGGATTGAAAATTTAGTTTTTTAAAAAGAAGTTTAGCTTGATTTTGATATTCAATTAATTTTCTTCCGACCTATATGAAAACATAATATTATATGTATATGTTTTATTTACATTTAAAATGTTTATTTTTTTGAAACTATACAAATTTTAAAAACATTTTTGCAATATAAAGTTTACCTGTTCGTCATCTTGCATAGATGCAGCTAATGGTAATCCATCAGGAATTCTCGCTATCATAGTCAATAAAACCATTATTTATGTGCAGATAAATTACAAATTAAATAAAACGTATTTTAAATTTTAAATTGAATGAAGGAATAATATAAAATTGGTACGTGTAAAATGTAATACACTAATACATAATTGTTAAATATGTTGTCATTCATTTATTGTTATCAACATTGATTTTTTTGATAATATATTTTGACACGTATCTCTACATCTATTATCATACTATTTATTACGGTATAAAAAATATTGTACGCACAATCGGATATTGCGAATAGTCAGAAAATTGATAAGGCACTAAACATTAGATACAATATTTCTCAGTTATCAACTGTTTTCTTTGAAAACAATACCATAATTTCGTATTACGGGCGATAGTTCTCATGCATCGTCGAAGCTTTTCTATTTCAAAGTGAATATTAATTATTAATATTTTTCCCATTCCCTCATTTATTTCCATCCAACGTGTTTTTTCAACAACTAAAAATTTTAGGTTTTAAATTTCCATCTAGGCCATTTAGGGTTCTAACAACGAGTTCTAGGTATTAGCCATTAGGTTTGGGCGTGGCAGAATATTCCTTTTTTCGAAGTTCCAATATCATTTTTCTGACTTCTAGGTAGATTTCAATAATACTAATATGACGTTATGTTAGTATATATTTATGTTTATTATAAAATAAAAACTAATAAGCTTTCATGTTAAGTATTTTTTGATCAGTGCATGAAAAAAATTATGAATGTAATTACTTTTATTTTTAAGAAATGCGGTAAATGCGACTTCATTCATTTTATGCCAGAAGGTGAATACAAATTATACAATTACAAATTAAAATAAAGAAATACATAATACATTTTTTTTGGTTTATATAAATGAAAAATTAGGCCTTAGTGCCTTACCCCCCATTCTGTAGTGTTTACAAAATGTTAAGTTTGGAATGCACACTAAATTTTGATAAATGAGAATGCATTCATTTTTTCAGCTCAGAAAAATTAATAGGATTGTGTTCCTTTGTATAAAAAAATTTGTAACACTGTACCTACCTATTATTATAATTCGCTTGAAAATAAAAAAAAATATTGATATACGCCAACGTTGAGGATTACCCATTAAAATATTATATTATTCTTTAATTTCAATTAATATTTCATTGTTGTCGGAATAGCGACAGCGAAACGTTACATTTTGAATTTTTGTTACACTCGATATTTGTACTAACGAACTTTTATTCTAAAAATGTTTATCATGATGTAATAATGTACATCTTGACACATCAGTTATAGGTACCTAGTACCTAATTTTCGTTCATGACGATATGTACATATTATACAATAAAGTGTACTTATATTACATAAGGTTTTACTCATCTGTAGGTACTTACTACCTACTTATAATACCTACAACAAAAACAAAATTGTTATTAAAATATTTACATCGATACGGCCAACGGAGGAAGGGTACGGGCCTCTCTCCCTCATAAATACTATACTGTATACAATATTGATCCCGTTAGTTGTTAATTGAGAAGTATAAATAACTATTATAATTTACAAACTTTCTGTATAGATTAGAGTCCATGAAATTAATTAGGTATCTGTAATTAGTCTAATATAGACTACTTACTACTTAGGTAAGTACCTAGCTACATAAATATAACATTGGTACCTACCTAAGTATATGTTTACTTTTAAATTTTATACCATAGGTACTATATTTACAGTTTGTAAGTAATACACAAGCAAATATTTATTTTATTATGGAGTTTATTAAAATGTGTACAATTATGAATTATTAAAAATGAATTGAGTGGTTAATGATGTAATTTTAAACAACTGTTATTTTATGTACAAGTAGGTAGTAGATAGGTATTTATCTAAGTACTTTAAATTAAATCCTTTAAGCTTAAAAATTATAATTTCATAGTACTCCATTTATTCTCATTTTCAAATTTTTATAATATATGGATAAAGCAAGGATGGCGATGACATCATCGCTAGTTCCACTAGTAGGTAAAATGGTTGCAATTTTCTATAGTTCTTAAAAATTAAAAGCACTTAACTTTTAAATTTGTATTTTATTGTACTTGTATTTAATAAAAGATTTCTTAAAATATTTAATTACCTGCTCAAAACTTTATAATTACATCTAAATTATAAACCATTAGGTAGGCATTGTTGAGAAAAAAGTAAAAAAACCTTATAAGGGAGGGAGTTTAAAATATTATTTGTTAACACTATTGAGTATTGAGACTATTTAGGTAGTAGGTACCTACGTAAAATAAATATCTATATTATTTTATTATTTATTTATTTATTCATGATCACATCTTATAAAGACTTAAAGTTATAGGTAAACTATAGATCACAGAAAAGAAAACAAAGCATTAATATGTTCATTTTGACCATGGCTTTAAATAACATTAATTCTAAAATAGCCGCCGTTAAAATTATCAACATTTACAATATTATTTGAAGTACAGTAATGGTTACACTGTTTCTCGGTCCTTGATCTTCTAACCCTACCAATATCGTACAGTCTGTACTTTTACATATCAATTTTTCAGTGACGTGAACGATTCAACTTTTTCCGTATTTGTGAAAGTAGTATTTTAATAGAAAAAATTTACAGAATATCTTGAATACATCGATCTTAGTTAGTTTTTAATTCTATATAATATGAATTAAATAATGAAATAAAATAAATCTTCAAATGAAAGGGTAAGTAAAGTTGTCAATTGTTGAAATCCAACTAGTGATATTTTATGTTACTTATCTAAATAGATAAAATCTTAACTTTTAAAAAAATCTATTTTGAATAGAGCATAGACTATAAATACAGACATGTCCAACAAAAACTTTTGGAGCAATTTGGATTCTTCTTCGAAATTCATACAACAACCAGTAAGTTTTAACATAGTATTCTCAAATGTTTAACTCTTTTTATCAGGGATCAGTTATTATTGAATAGTAATGTAAACTATGAAAACAAATTATTTATTAATTTTAAAAAAGGACAAAACGTATCTCTAAATGGTTATAGGTATTGAATCAAAAAATATTGTATTTATTACTTGAATAACTTGTTAATTTTAACTCATTAATATAAACAAATAACAATAAAAACCATCACTTTGTATCACATAGTATTATCATTATTATACTGTTATATGTATGAAAATTATCATTGAGCTCTTTTATTTCTTCATTTTCATCAGGTAATACTACTTTTTTCTATTAAATTCAATTAGTATTATTTGGTCTTTTTATTTTAAAGTGTTAATATATTTATTTGCAAATATCAACTTTTCAGATTTTACATTTCCAAACCTATTTTTCAACTTTGATTGCATAATGTTGGATACTGATCTTTTATACTTTCCCAATCAAATATCAATTGATTATTGATTAACAGAATACCACTAAGTAATTGATATCATAGATTTGAATGAATTCTTATACATATATGATATTAAAGATGTTGATAACATATTAATATTGGTTAAAAAGTCTGGATTTATATTTCTTAATTAGTCATACTCTTTGGCTTTTTCTTTGACTGTCAAATTTATTCTTTATAAACAACAACCAATCATATTAGTCACATTAGTATTGTATTGGGTATGAAAAATTGGAATTGTGGATATTTCACCCCTGCCATTTTGTCATTTTGTCTCCATCAAAAAAACCAGTTCACGAACATTTTATCCTTGGTAATTATTAAGTCAAGACATTTTGTCCTGGAGAGTTATTAGCTATAGGATGTTTGGTCCCCAGCATACTTTTATAATCTAAATACATACATTTTTAATAAGCAACTTAATGTGGTATAATTACAAGTATTCAAAATTTAAATAAATTACAATTATATTAAGTCAACACAAAATGTCATAAAAATGAATTTTTTTTTTTTTTTTTAATTTTTTAAAAAGTAATACACAATCTGTAAATTCAATTTTTACAATAAGCGTATGGGCGAATAGTTATTTTAGCGTGAATTGACCGATAAAAGAAGCCACCCAGCGGTGACACTTAATACCTTGACTGTTATTAATTAATGGGTAATACAGGTTGCCGAGGTCTCTGCACCAACGGCGAGCTAGTCGTCTAGGGGGATTTCCGGGAATAGTATTTGAGTTGAGATCTCTTATACGAGGATTTGGGTGGTTGACTAGGCGGGATCGGAATCGTTTGTAAAAGAGAGATGCAGTTTTGGATACGGTGTTGATGTGAAGATCAGAGTGTAATGTGTGATTGGAGACATAATAGGGTGCGCCCGTTATTAGGCGGAGCGAGGTAGACTGGAATGCTTGGATTTTTTTAATGTTTGATGGCTTGGCTGTTTCCCATACTTGTATACCGTAAGACCAGATAGGAGTTAGTAACATTAAAATAGTAACATAAAATTGAATAAATTAAAACCAACTACTATAATACTAAGGTAAATTATATATTTATTTTTAGGTCAATTGTCATATGTTTTTTAAATAGTATAAAATGTCATTATCTTCATTATATTTAAAACCTATACATTATGATTGTAATTTCTTATCCTTAAATCTAACTTTCTTTAGTACATTTATTATATATTTTTTTTTTCTTTGTATCAATGCTGTAGTTACAGACGCATTGCACATCTGTATTGATTCAATAAATATATATATATATATATGTTAGGATGTTTAATTCTTACAATATTTTTTAATTTATTGTTGAACCCTTCTGACTTGTTATTGGTCAAACAATAGCCTTCTTTTATGGCATTGTACACTTTCCATATGTGTGGTGAAAATATTGGTAGATGTCGTAAAAAGCGAGTTGTACTGTACTTTGTTATAATGGATTTATGTGTATCATTGACATAAGTTGAATCAAAGTAGACTACTTGCTTAATTGCCAATATAGAATGTTCAAAATCTATTGAAATTATTGAAAGTGATTCAAATTTATTTTTTAGAGCAGCCAGTAATTCAATGAAAGTTTCTTTATTTTTATGCTGAAGCAAAGTGTACACCACAGGAATAATATTTTCTATACTTGCGTGTAATATATAAACTTAATAAAATTCAAAAGGGCAAATAGAAAATATTCTGTCCATATAAATAATTTTGGTATGTTTTTAATACATCAATGCACCAATCCAATACATCAATGAAGTGAAAATTATAACACGTTTTCACTATTTTTATTGTCATAAAATAAAAAAGACTGAATTTTCTTTACCATTTATACTCCAGTATGTTTCTTCCAGTAAAATATTGTCTATTTTTGAAGTTTCTAGATAGATACTGCTGTGAAAACTCCGTAAACACCATTTTATGCATTTTTTTTGTTTTTGTCTGATAAATTAATCACATTTCATGCGTAAATTCAAAATGGTAAATCATAATTTTACTTTGCTGTGTTCTTTATAGTACATTTAGCTCTTTCTGCGTTAATAAAATCTGTATCACCTTCATGACTATGAGCTCCAAATTTAAAAAACGGTAGTTATTTCATTGTCTGTTAAAATTGTTCCATTGCACAAGTCTTTGTGAACACACATNATAGTAAATTTATTTCTTTTTGTAATTAAATATTCCATATTTGTACTATATACACATTACAATATAAACAAAATATAACTGTGTACAGTGAGTGTGTAGAATTGTTGAAATAGTTAGTATAAAAAGTTAGTATTTTATCGGATAGGTTTATCTTAATAACTTTTGATATACTAAGTATTTTATATCTATTTGAAAACCCCATAATTTGATGTATTAATATAAATTTAGAATTTCAGCTCACAAATCTGTTTGGCTGTATAGTGCACGTAAAATCTTAATTATTTACTTTTAGCCTATTTAGTATGTACTATATTAGACATTACAGAATTGTTCATTCAAAAAAAATGTATTAATTATTAGTAAAATAATAAACTTTAAAGAAATTAATAAATAATAATGATTTAAAAAACCTGAGAATTAAATATCCTATAACAAAATATGTCGGGGACCAAACGTCCTATGGCTAATAACTTCAGAATAAAATGTCCTATCTAAATAATTGTTGAATTCTAAAAACTAAAATAGCTACACTAAACAGTTGGCAAAATTGAGTTATGTCCTTTGTAGGACGTGCTGATATGTTCAAACATATTATGATCTTATTTATTTGATTTTTCAACATGATTTTGGTTTTTTTTATTTTTACAATTGTTACATGTAAGCCTAATTGCATGACAAACAATAAATTAAATATATTTATATCATATGTTCGTAACAAACAATTAATAATTGTATAAACTTGTTTTTATATATTTATCATCATAATTTCCATTAGAAATGTATACATATAAATGTCAACTTAAATGGTCCACTCTTACCTGCAGTTCATGGTCACATTTTTAGCATTTAGCCCACATTTCAGTTTTATTCGTCTTGATNTCTTGTATTTTAGATTATGAGTGGAGCCAATAAGCGTATGGTTTTACAATGATGTTTAGTATTATTTATTTTTTTTTATCTGCTCAAATTTTCAACCAGAAATTATTTTCTGAAGGGTTTTATGAATAAATATGAAAAACCAAAATAAAAAAAAAAATTGAGGATAAATAGGACAATGTACAAAATGTAGGTATTAGTTGAAAAAAATATTACAGCCTTTGTTTTCTTGTGAACAACTTTTCTTCCAGCAATTTTACTCAGATTTATATTAATAACATTTTATAGAAAAGGAAATTTGACTAGGGAGGTACTTTGGAGAGGTCAATTTTTATTTTCTCACTATTTTTCTCGATAAATTAGAAAAACGGGAAAATAGGTACAATATTGAACAAATATTTATAAAGAAAATATTTATTCCCTATTGCAATTATTTTCAAATGATATGACATATAAATTGTTGACAAAACAACTACACTATCAACTGAACTCCTTTTAAAATCATTTTTTCGTTAGCAATGGTTAGTCGTTGCTAACAGTTATACATTAAATTACCTATAACAGTGGCTGCACCCGTCCCCATTATCCTAGAACAGAATAGTTGAATTAACTTAATATCATTTATTAAGTAGTATATTAATTTTCATCAAAGTTAATACTACGTTAAATTTTAAAATCATGAAAGGAAATTTCAAATGGATAATATGGGTTAGATACTATGCAATTAATGAATATGATTGAATTTTGTCTATTTTAGTTTTGAGCAATTTTATCTTTTTTTTTTGAAATCATATTTAGTATCAGATTTTTTAAAAATATTTTCTTTGATAATAATTGGTTTCAATAAATAAATAAATGAATTTTATAGGTAATAATGTTATTTTAATTTTGTCTAATAAAGCCGAAAGTATCTCAACAAAATGATGAATGGAATTGTAGTACGGATGATTGGAATTCTATTGAACATCCATCAAATAATACAAATTTGAATGCACAAATAATGAATTCTACTCTAAATTCAGATTTACCATTAAATAGTTTTTCTGTTCCGGACTCTTATAATGGAACACCTCAATCTATAGTTAATACCAATAGGCCTGCTCATAACGAAAATATTGGAATTGAAAACGGACAACATAAGTTTTCAGTCATCAACCATAATTGGTTTGATAAATTTGAAAACCAACATGAACAAATAACCAATACCCAACATACATTTATTAGTCAAGATGTTGATGTTAAAAATAGTGATAATGGTATTGGGATCGATGATAATTACTGGACTGATGTTGAAAATAGAGAAATACTTCCTCCAGAATCATTTCAAAATGATTCACTTCCAGTTGCAATAAGTAATTTGCAAATAAATGATGAGGTAAGTTAAAAATTATTACTTAATATAGCTGGTGAAATAGGTAGGGGTTTCTTTTTATTATAGGTCCTAAATTATAATAGAGATTTAGAAAGGTATGGTTTTGAGGCTTTATAGTTGTGATTCATAAGTATTTATACATTATGGAAATAGTGAAATAGTAAAAAAAAAGTTAAAACTTTAAAATTATGATTTTAGGTTCTGGGCAAAAAGTTTTATTATAAGTGAGCTTTATTCTGTCTGTAAACAAGTTTTTTATAAGATATTTTGCTTCAATCATCAACTTCGAAGGTAGTTTCTAATAGCAAATTTTGTTTAGTTGATAAATTATAGAAACTTTTTAAAATGTTGTAATTTTCTTAATAATATGGATGGATTTTAATACATTTAATTAAAGAATTTTGCAAAATTATCTCTAGGTAAAAAAATTTTTTTTTCTTTATATCAATAAGCGAATGATTTCTAATCAAATCTCAAAAATTGTTCTCATTAACTACTCTTGGTAAAATACAAAAACTTTGAACCAACAACTTTAAAAGTTCATACAACTTAGGTACTATATTTAACAAAGTCGTGTACTTAGATTTTTATATCTCTGACTGTCTTATAGCAATTTTAGTAAATAATTGTTTAAAAACAATAAAAAGATCCAAATACAAAAATATTTGAACAATATTTAATATAAAGTTAATTTTGGAGTTTTTTTTTTACATATTAAAATAAAATAATTTATTCTTGTAAAACAAAATATTTATATATTGTTCTAGGTAATGAATTCCAATGTATGTAATAGTACTGTCGATACTAAATGGAATTCTACAGAAAATGATGACGGTATGTTTTTATTATTATTATTATTATTATTACTGATAATATGTTATGACACGACCGTTCTCGTCGAGAAATTAGAACTAAAATTAGGTGGCCGGACCTTAAATCCAATCCGAGTCTCTTGCATGCCGAGCAATTGCTCTGATACCACTGACACTATTTGACTATTTGGACTTGAATGCTGGTCTTGAATGCACCGGGTTTGGGCAGGTTGGTGAAGCAGCCATACGGTTGAGGGGATAATGTGGCGTGAGGCGGCTGTGCCAGTCATAAAACTACACAAACAAATATACTTTTTGCATATAAAAAAAATGTACAACTATCAAAGTTCTGATTTTAATTACTTATAATCTGTTTTTATGACTTTTAGATAGGCCACCACTTGGACTTCATCGATTAGTTACTGGTCAAACAAAATCATTAGATGATTATTCAGGTTCAGACCAATGTGGTCCACAACCATTTGATGTTCGAACAGTACCTGGCCAGTTAAGTGATGATGATATTCCTGTTCATCGACATGTCACAGGTTCTAAAATTGGAAGTAGACCAATAGACAATAATGCTAATTTTCAAAGTACTCTTAACAATTCAGTTACTCCAAAAAGGATTCCATCATTAGTACAATTTCAAAATCAATTTGAAGGCCATTCTCGTCAAGTTTTACATAGAGATGTTGAAGATTTTGTTAATCAACCAAATGATAATCAAAAATTGGATGATTCAGCTAGAGTTATTTCAGATATTGATATTTATAAATCAATTAGAAATGAATCACAACCTGAATTTAAAGAGCCTACTACTGTGATAAAACGGGGTCGTCCCAGAATTTTAGACCATGAAGTTTTTGAACGAACTGGACCAGATGGATACATGAATGAAACAAGCCCTTATTTAAGATCAACTATTCAAAATCAAGTTAAACCAGTATTAGATTCCCAGAAAGATAATTGCTTAAAATTATCAGCACCTACTCCATCAGAAAGTATTGAACGAATTCAAGAATATGATAGAAACAATAAAAGAATAGAAAAAAAACATCCTCCACCACCTCCAGGATTTGATAGAATGGTTGAAGGTAACATTGGAGAAAGTGATAACAAATCTAAGCTTTCAAAGATTACTCATAAAAATGATCATCGAAAACGACTTCATTCAATTGATTCAAATTCATCAGTTCCACCAAATATCCATCCAGTGTCAGATGAGGGTCATAAAAGTATCCGAAGAGGGCTTCAACCAAAAAAATATTCAAATGTGGAACACTATCAAAATAGAGATAGAAGACATTACCGTTATCCTAAAGAGTAAGTTGAAATACTATATTTTTCTAATAATTTTTCATTTAAAACTATAAAAATTATTATTGTTATTACTATTATTTTCATTTATGTTAATGCAATTTAATAAAATCAGAAGTACAATTATATAATTTTATTAAATTTAAATTTAGATGAATATATATATTTTGATTGAAACTTCAATTAATAATAATTATTATAACTAGAAAAAAGAAAACAAAGACAGAAAAACATAGTAAATACAATAATAATATAATGCTATAGGCTCTCAAAGATAAAATTTAAGTATCGAAAGCTATGTGCCATAATTTTGTAACATTACAGTTTTAATTTATTTTGGTAGCATTGCACAAATGTACATACTGTAAACACAAATAAGTGTCTTATTCTTCTCCACCTTCATTCCAACTCTGGGGTCAACCACCCTCATCCTCTTTTGTCCACTTGACCAGATTTTCAATTTTCTAAAGAGTTTTATTACATAAATACATTCGTGAACAATCAGAAATTCCAGACGAGATTTTTTCACATTTAACTTAATTGAATACTTTACAAATAGTTCTTTATTAAACACTAAAAAGCAATCAAAAATAGTGCTACTTTAATTATGTATTACATAATTTCTTTATTTTTCTATAGAATATTTTTATACATTTATAATACATACATACATTCAAATATTTACAATATACATATACATGGAATAAATAAATAAATAAAATTATAAAATAAAGTCTGTTGTATAAAAAAATATTTTTAATAACTTGAAATTTGTTTGCCCCGGACTGGTTCGAGTTATTAAGGTTCCACTGTATTGTTAAAGAAAATGTATACAGTCTAATTATTTTACTATTATATGACATATGTTGTTGACAAAGGATTACTATTGATTGAACTCCGATCAGAATCGTTTTTTTGTTAGTAATGGTTTATCGTTGCTTTTAGGTACACATTAAATTACCTTTAACAGTGGCTGCACCCATTCCCGTTATCCTAGGATATCTTTTTAGTCTTCATAGTCTTCAGATTTTTCCTCCTATGTTTATTTTTATTACAATTCTTCAGATTCCTTTTTCTCTGTTACTTATTTATTTTCTCTATTTTTGTCTACTTTAGAAGCTACCTCATATGTACTCGACTCTTATCCTAACTTCTCCCAATATTCTACTCATCCACCTATGTATTTTCTGTTGTATTTTTGTGTCTACTGCCCAACACTCCAAACCATAAAACAATAAAACAGTCAGTTTCAGTGCACTTTTGTAAAACTTAATTTTAAATCTGATTGGAATTCTTCTCTCCTCTTTATCAAACCGCACTTAATCCTGTTTCACATCTTAATGAAAGCCACCATTCTTTTGTACAAAATATCCTAAATCCTTAAAACTCTCAATATCACACTTATAACTGTTTATTGTCATTAGCTATCTTTTCCTGTTCCTCCAAACTCTTACTCAACTTATTCTTAGTCCCTTTCCTTCAAGTGCTGCTCTTCATTCCTGGAATTTAAGATTTTATATTTAAATTATTAATAATTATATTAACAGAAGTGAAGAAGATTACTTTTATGAAGAAGAAGAAGAAGAAGAAGACAATGCTTCATCAAGTCCCAAGGTAGAACCTAAATATCGATCTCACCGATCTCAAAACCACCAACCCAAACAATATAGACGAAGAGTTCATCATGACAAGTATTTAATTATTTTCAATCTAATATTAGTTATTTTGATAATTTTGTTTGTATATTATTGGTTATATTTTATTTTGCAATTAACCAATTTAGCCCTTTTCTTTAAAATAAATTAATATTTAACTCCCATATATAACTGGAATATTTTTGTCCTGCTTTGCACAGCTACGACCACTCAGACATAGAATATCCAAGTGAATATGATGATTTTGATGATTATGAGAGGCGGAGGAGATATAGGTAAAAATTTAAATTAATTACAAATTATATCAAGAGTAAAGTATTAATTATGAATTAAAAATGTATTGTGTATCTAAATGTTATCTTAATATGTACCTAAAGTATTATGGCTATTGCCAAAAACCGCTAGGCAATTTACATTATTCTTGCTTTTTCTAGATATTATACATTATAATGCCAAAACTTACATAAGCAGTATGGTAGGTAGTAGAGCTGCTCATAGGATTTACAGTGATTTAATATATTTTAAACTAAGATTAGAACAAAAAGACTATTAGTTATACTAATATATATTTTTTCTGGAAAAAAGTTTTTAATCTAATTGAAATAATATATTCTATATTATACTAGTTCAATATTTAGCTATCTTATTCTAAATTCAGTTTTTAAATTAAATGTAAAATTAATTGTCAATTGTTATATATTACAAGGATTTACAAATTCAAATATGCAATGTTGAATATGTCAATATTGGTCTTCGATTATTTTTTTTGTTTTGTATTTTCACTAATGATTTGATTTAGTTGCATGGTTTGTGGGAAATTGTGTGTTATTCATTCTGGTATTTCAACATAGTTTATAGTTGCAGTGCCAGTTAAAAACAAAATGTACTCCGGAAAACATAATCTACATCATTAATATAATTTTTTTTTTTTTAATATAAATGTAACTATTATTTAACTAGTATTTTAACTAATTTCTGATTTAAATTTATCTCATTATAATAATGTTAACATAAGTTTAATTTTAACATTAGGAGTCCTGAATCTGAATACAGCAGCAGACATCCTAGAAATTTTAGAGATAGAAAATATCAAGATGACACAAAGTACTTATCATTTGATTTTAATAATAAATGAAATAAATCTTTTGGTATAAGTTTTTTGTTTTTGTTTTTAGCAGTCAGTATTACAGGAGAGATGAATTTAATTATCGCCATAGACCATCTAGTAGAACGGATTCAGAATATCATAAAAGATACTCATCTGTACCATTTCAAGATTTTATTGAAATGATGGATCCATTGAAAAGTATGAAATCTTACAAATAATTTCTTAATTATTACTCCCTACAAATTATATATTTATAAATATTTATAGGGAGGAATTTTCTTTTGGAATTTCGAGAAGATAACCCTAAAGCATATACTGAATGGTATACAAGTTATAAAACCAAAGTTGAAATGCAAAAACTAATATCGAGGACCAAAAATGGTTCAGAATGTAGTTCACCAGTATCAACTCAATCACATGACATGTAAGTTTTAAATAAAATTAAACTATTTCATTGTAAATTAATATGTACACAGAGTGTACAGAATTTTATATGACAACAAATTTCTCCTATAAATATACAAAATAGAGAATAATTTATAACGAATCATTTTTATTAAGCAATAGAAAATTATATTTATGCTCAAATTTTTAGACACCCTTTTGGAGAAAATTTGAGGTCAAATTTTGAAAACATAAGTGCATAGTGTTGCACTATGCCCCCCTGTTTAAACTAAAAAGTGGAATATCTCATCAATGGGTTGATGGAAATTAAAAATTTGAATACTAACATTTATTTAAACTAATTCTCCATCCATCTATGGAATTTCAAGCAAATACAATTTTAAATTACACTATGTAATAAAAATATTTCATTATAAATTATTTTCTATTTATAGGAGAAAATTACTGTAACATTAAATTCTAATCACTCTGTATACAATCTATATATTTTCTTTACATGTTTAGAGGTCCATTGAACCATATGGCTAGACTAGACAAAGAAAAAGAAATTCATCGAACTACCCCTTTTAGATATCAAAAATATCACATAAATGGTAATTAAAAATTATTTTTAATAGTTATAATTGTTTCTTTACTTAAGTGAATTATAGTATATTATTATTATTTTTATTTGATACTAATTATTATTGAATAACATTTTTAATTGTAATGTATAGTTTTAATAGTTCATCTAAGATGTTACTTTTTAAATGTATTATTTTATTCCTATTTTTATATCATTTACTATTAACTTAAATACTTCTGAATGATATAGCTTAACTACAGACTAGATATATATGTTCTTAAAATCCACAAAAACCCTTGAAAAATATCACTTAAAATTGTACAAAAACGCAAAAATAATAGAAGGGTTTTATTGTTCCTACTCTAACTGATTTAATTTATAAATACAATTTTATATAAAATAAAATATTTTGTACTATTAGGAAATTTAATTTATTAAGTTAGAGCCTTTGGTGGAGAGACTTTCAAATTCTATAATTTTTGCTTTATTAAATTTCTGTAAATACTTTTTTCAGCAATTTTTGATGTTTTATAGCCCTTTTTTATGGATTATAAGAGAATATAAATCAAGCCTCTAATTATAACAATAACATATAATTATTAAAACTAACTCATTACTTCATAAGATTACATTTTATGAATTTTAGTTTTTGGTATTATATTTTTATCTATTAATATATTTTAATCTAATATTTTTTTTTTACTTTCAGCAAAAATGAATATGGGATTTGGAAAATTATTTATGTTAGACTCTTCAAATGCAACAATAAATTTTTTTAAAGCAATGCCTGAATCTGATGATGTTGACACTGCTGAGCTTTTCAGATTTCCTACTCCTTTTGTGATGTTAGTATAAAAGCAATTCGATATTGTTCAGATTTTATATTATGTAACCAGTAAATTGCAAATTTTTTTGTAGAGGTAAAACACATAAAAATGCAGTTGCACAATATTTAAACAAATTAGCAGAGGAAACATCCAATAATTCAGAACATCTGCTATATAAATTAATTTGTATGATAACTAAACGAAATGGGGTAAGTAAAAGTATATTATAGGATTCCTGTAGTGTTAATATTTAATTTTTTATAATTTTATTCTGTTATAAATACTAATAATTATATATAAGTTTTAAAATTTATTTTGTGTGTAGTTTGTTGATGGAACTGATATATCTGAACTTTTAATGGAAAATGTAGCTAAAAATCCTGTCGATGGAATATTATTTGAAAATATTAGCTTAAATAATGTCAAGGGAATGCCAGTTGAACCCTTAAATAATTTCAGAAAATTACTTTCTCAAGGAAATAAATCTGAAGCTTTAGGTTGGTGCAACTTTATAGAAATCAAATAATTTTAAAAATTAACAATATGATTATTATTTGCATTTTAACTTTTTTTGAATTAAAAAAAATAATATATTTGTTATAAGTAAGCATTTAAAAAAAGAAGAGTATTCAATCTTTAAATCAAAACAAAAATTGTTCATTATTTCAAATGTTAATACACTAAATTTAATATAATTATGTGATAGTTGTCGAATAATTAATATAACCAGATTGCAGTTTTTGATAAAATTAATCAAAATAGTTTTGAGTTAAAAATTGTCTAGAATGTATATAATTAAATTAATTTCATTATTATTAATGTCAAAATTATTTTAAAAAATATATACATGGTGACTAATTGAGTGTTCTTTCCATTTTTTTTTATTTGTTAAATTTTTCTTATATTAAAATTTGGAATTTTTAATTGTAGTTATAGCCGATATTTTCGAGTACTTTGATTTTTCACAACATTTAAGAAACGTGTGGTGATATCAAATTTGGTTTTTAAATGAGAACCTATTTAAAAATTCCATAAATAGATTTAGTATTACTTTAAGTACTTTATGTTGTCAACATTTTTGATTTCCGTCGACCCGTTAATTCCATTTTTAAGGTTAGGTAAGGAAAGAGTAGTGAAATATTATTTGCTGCGTGACAGTACGACGCACTGCGTTTTAATACTGTTCCACTACTCCCCCTTGCCTAAACTTAAAAGAGGAATATCTCGTTAACGGGTTGACAGAAATTAAAAATTTTAATACCAACATTTATTTAAACTAATACTTCATCTATTTATGGAATTTTTAACATAGGTTCTCATTTGAAAAACCAAAGTTAGTATTACCACAGGATATTTCTTAAATGTTGTGAAAAATCTAACTTTTTATTAGTGCTTCATTAATCTTTTCCAAATTCCAAAAATCGGAATTTATGCAAAATTGAACAAAAAAAAATGAAGTGAGCATGCTTAGTGAATCATTCTGTACATATTTTATTATTGTAATACAAACTTCATGTACATTTTTATTACTACACAGTTAATTTGATTTTAATATTTTATACTTAACTTAAAATACTAACTATAATAATATAAAATAAATTTACTTTTTAGGATTTACAAATGCTTTTATTTTATTTTATTTTTTTGTAATTTAATTATTTGAAAGTGTATATTATATGATTAATTTATACCAATTACTGTATTAAGTATTCATTGTTGTGTTTGTTTTTAGAATTTGCTATATTAAATCAAGACTGGGGGTTAGCTTTTATATTAGCATTATTTATGGATTCAAAAACATTGAATTATGTTAGGTCTAAATATTTTCAAACAATTCCCCAAAATGACACTTTACAAACATTTTTTCAACTCAGTAATGGAAACATACCATCATGTACAACTGTAAGTAAATTTGATTAAATTGCTTATATATATTTATATTAGAATTATAATCATAAGAAGTTTAAAATTATTAATATATATAATATTAATTATATCAGATATTATCAACAATAAGGTTGCCACTCAGTCACCTTTTCAACTAAATGTCACATTTTTTTTTTATAAGTCACTAAAAGTCCCTTTTTTATCTTTAAAGTCACTTCTTTTATTTTAAATTTGTCGTAAACATTTTTTCGAATTATTTATTTTTGCCAAACATTTTGAGATGTATTGTTATACAAAGAGTGATATAATTTATTTTTTTTTACATTTAGATCGAACTAAATTATATTTTAATTATCTAAGTTATTAAATATCTTTAATTTTAGTTGTAACATTGTAATAAATGCTGGTTAGTCAATCAAATGTAATCTGGAACCTTATTAGGTATTCTTCGTTATTTACATAATAAATGAAAAATAATCAATTCTTTGAATTAGTACTATGTACATTTGTAATTACTTGTAATTTTATAATTATAAATATCTATTCTATTCTATCAACATTTTTAAAATGGGTATGTTTTCATCTCACTACAATTTCATGGTTATGTCCAATACAAATTACATAAATAATGCATCTTGGCAAAATTATAATAAAATATTTAAAAATTAAGCTAAATCTTAAGAAACGTTGTTTTATTTATGTATTTAAGTAAGTCACTTTTTTATAAAAACCTTAGTCACTTTATCTACTATTTTAAGTACAAAACATTAGTGGCGACCGTGCAATAATCAAAAAAATGGACATACTTCGCAACGTGGGTGCAGCCTTCATGTAAGTGAGAAGTTGGGAAGGTAGTAGAGGGAAAATTTAATATATATCTGTAAGCAACAATAAACCATTGCTAACGAAAAAACGATTCTGAACTGAGTTCAGTTGATAGTGTTGCTTTGTCAACAATAAATGTCATACTATGGTAAAATAATTAAGTAGGCGTTATATATTTTCTTTAATAATATCTATTTGCTTAATATTATACCGATTTTCCCAATAAAGAGTTATTTAACATAACATATAATGTCTGCATAATATCAGAACTTCAAAAAATTATAATTCGAAATAAGTCTGCTCAATTCTAATTTCACTAACGCTCTTAAATCCGTAATATACATGTTATATTCAAAATTAAAAATTAAAAAATTAGATTTCTCTACATAATTTTTTACTCAAACAATTTTTATTCAAATTCCTTTATAAAAAAAAATAATAATAATAATAATAATAATAATAATAAACATTTTTGTAAAACCAATACATTCTTTGCGGCACTCAGAATCTAAAACTTATTTAATAAAATAAAATATTATGAACTAAGCAAAAATATATTTTTAAATCTGAGCAAATCATTGGAATATGCTATGGTTTTTTTTTTTAATGGAAAACACTTAAGGAAATTAAGATGATTAGCTAATCGTAAATTGATACAGTTTTTTAAATTTCTTAATCTGTGGCCCAGGAATTTAAAACAATTGAAAGTAACAGCTAGAAAAAAAAAATTAAATGCCCATTAAAATTAATTTTATATTTTATTAATTCAAATTTGTTTTATTATATACTTAAATATGTATTATGTATTGTAACACAATTAAGATAATTCAGTTTTAACATAACATTAGTTTATTGATTTATTTACCCAAAATATATGCACATTTTTTCAAATGTATGCATTAGTTATTTATGTGAATAATAATTGTTTTTTTTTATAACAGCGTTGTACGGATAATAGTTGGGGTGATTGGAGAGAACATTTAGCTATGATTTTGAGTAATCAACATGTAAATATAAATAATGCTCGTAATGCCACCATACAACTTGGAGACAATTTAAGTTTGTATATTGAATTATAAAAGGCATATTTTGTTATCTAAAAAAATATTTTATATTACTTTTTAGATGCTAAAGGTGATGTATTTGGTGCTCACTTTTGTTATTTGGCTATCCAAATACCATTGGAATCAATTGGGATATCTTCTAAGTTTACTCTATTGGGTACATCATTTAATCAAGTCTTCGATACTATGGCTACAAATCGTGCTATTTTATTAACTAGTGCTTATGAGTTTTCCATGCGATTAAATCTGAATCATTTTCATATTCCTAGTCTTCTGGTAATTTTTAGTTTTATTATCTCTTTGTGAAATTTATGGTTTATATTATTTTTAGCCTTATAAATATTTACTGGCGATTCGCCTAGCCGAATATGGTGAGTGTGATCATGCATTACATCATTTGGAAGCTATTGCTACACAGGTGATTTCATCACCGGGATCTGTGAATTTGGGTTTTGTAGCCAGTGTAGTAGAACTAAGTACAGATTTATATCATATGCAGATTTCAAATAATAATTTACCAGGAAATATGGAAGTATTGGATTGGTTAGAAGACTTAAAACATTTTTTAACGAGTATTGGAAGTGTAAGTAATATATATTAATATTTGTGAAATATTATTTTTAGCTATAAGATCATAATATTTTTATAAACATTTTAGAATTATAACCATACTAATGGCATGCCATCAATGGAAACAGTGCAGCAAATGGATAATTATCAATCACATCAAATTGAACCCTCTGTTAAACATAATGAACAACAACAATTACTGCAAACTGTAAGATTTATAGCAATTTTATCTGAAGAAATAATCTTTATGTGAATATATAGGTTCCAGATACAAGTTTAGATTATTCTACCAACTATCAAACACCACCACCTCAAGTACCATTACAAATAGTTGAACAGCCACCTCCAAATCTTCCTACAGTTTCTTATTGGCAACCAAATGCTATTTCACAGACACCTGAACCACCGCCGCCACCTCAAAATGGTAAATTTTACAATTGCAACTAATATATACTATTATTTATTAAACTAGAGATGTGATTTTTTTTTATTGAATGTCACAGTATAATGTTTTACAGTTGTATTCCAAATGCTTCTTTTCATAGAATATAATTATTTGAAATATACTCCCTTTTTTTTTTTTATTTATTTATTTATTTAAACATACAATATTTTCTTTTTTAAAATTTTAAACACATAATACTTCTAATTTAATTTTGTTTTTTATTTAAAAAAAATAACATCTATTAGCTATTAAAAATTCATATTAGTTAAAGTAAATATATTTTATATTTATAGGTAATATTATGATTTATGAACAATTATATTAGTACCTATTAGGTTATTTTTAAATACAGAATGACTTAATTAAGTTTCAACCAATAGTTATCTATATTTATATATTATTATGGATAATCAACAAAAATTGTTATTTTTATATTTACATTTTTGTAAATGTAAGACCATTATCATATTTATATACTGCTTCATGATAGCGATATGAGCGATTTTAAAATAACTAAAGAACCCCAATAAATTTTTAGGTGTTGATAGATACCACTCTATAGTATAAATAATATCTGTGAGTTAACACCCATCTCAAAGTTTGCATTTTTCAAGGTATTTCTGAAAACTGGACATGATATTTTGCAGTATGCGAATTTGTAGTATCTTGACATGTCATCTTTCACTTGTGTTACTATATTTAGTCTATCTCACACAATTTTATTAAAATCATGAGCACGGAGAACATACAAACAATTCCATCACAGCCATTTTGATTAAAATTAATTTACCGTGAATATGTGTTGTTGGGTCATCCAACAATTTGTGATTACTAATTACTTGGGGTTAAATGTATGTTTTGCATTTTCAATATTTAAAATGATTATGCATAGGAAATTATTTAAAAAATATATTCAAATTCACTTTCAAATAAATTTATAAGTGGTTTGGTATCTTATCAACAATGATTTATCGTGTAATCATGAAATTTATTTAAACACATGTTCACACAAAACAGAAACATATACCCTTCTAAGTGAATTTAGATTAAAATATTCATTACCCAATGTTTAAAAGACATTTCTAAATTAATCTTTTATGTAATGTGCTGTATGGTGTGCCCATAGAATAGTCATACTTAATATTTAATTTTTATAATCTTTGAAACTTCCTTTTTTTTCTTTGTATATAGTTATTTCACTTATAGTGGTAATTATTAACTACAAAATGTTTGTTTTTTTTTTTTAATTTCATTCTAGATACGTTTCCTTTAATATGAATTTAAAATGTCAATTTATTAAGCAGAAGCATATTATTTTATACAAAAATCACATATCTATTTTAAAATCGCCCATTTCACTGATGACCTGTCTTTCATAGTCCCTATAGACACTTATGTAACATTTATCTTTACTTTAATTACAAAATAGAACAATGATTCTACCTTTTTACAAAGTAATTTTTTGCAAATATAATTTTATTTACTTGCTTTTTATATGATGTATAAAATATTGTTGTTAAATTAGCAAATATTGAATATTATATCTTTTGTTAGAATTTAGTTTATGGAGTTAACTACATAAATAATACAATGTAATAGTACTATACTTAATAAATGAATGATTGTATATCAATTGATTGTAAATACTTACCACAACAATTACACATAAGAAATAATTTTACTGCATGATAGTTTATATAAAAAATATTTATCACAAATTAATAATCAATACAACTTCAATTCTTAAATTTTAAGCCGTTAATAAATATTATCATTAATTTTTCTTTGGCAGGAAGATATTTGTATAAATTATAAATAATTTTAATTATTTATTCGACATGTTATATAGATTAATATCAAATTATAATATACTGTTGTTTATATTTCATTGCTACTATATTAGGTTTAAAATTAAATTGTATTAACAGATATCATCTAGTATTAGTTACACTAATTTATAATATGTACAGTGTTGTCCCATTGTGATTGTTTATGTTCATAAATATAACTTTTCCAATTAAAAATTATCAATAAAATTATCACGCACTATCTTAAAAAGATGATTTGTGTGTTTAAGGTGAATTTTTTTTTTTTATCACATTAATATGCCCATAATTTTATATTTGATAACGTCTATGATAATTCTATATTTCTAATACAAACATCAAAAATTATATCTATTCTTTTGTTATTATTTTTCTTTTCTTTTATGCCATAAAGAACATATGGATTTATAAAGTAAACAATTGACATAAAAAATTAGTGTTATGGCCTACTGTATATTACATGTTAGAGCATATACAAAATATCCCACAAACCCTTTTTGATATCTCAAAATTATTAAATTTTTTTAAAACTATTCAAGAAAAATTCTGATCTAAAATGTTACATTATTTTTGGGGTGGAAATTACTTAATACATACTTTTGATTTTCAAATGGTAACCTATATTAAAAATTACATAAATAGATGGAGTATTAGTTAAATACATTTTTGGTATTGAAATTTTTTATTTCTGTCAGTCCATTGACAAGATATTACACTATTAAGTTTAGGTAGTGATGGAAATGTAATGATTAAAATGTAGTGTGCTGTCCTGCTATAAAACGAAGCTCCACTACTCTTCGTACCAAAATTTAAAAGTGGAAAAACCTGTCAATAGGTTTATGGTAATTAAACATTTAATCATCAAAATGTATTTAAACTAATATTTCATCTACATATGGGATTTTTAATACAAGTTACCATTTCAAAATAAAAAAAGTAGGTAGTCATTTCATATAAAAAATAATTGTCATAATAAAATTTGATATTTTTCTTAAATTGTCAAAAAATAATTACACAAATAGTAAATATTTACTGAGATATCACATTGGATTTATCTATTTGGGACACTGATTACTATTATTATAAAATAGTAAAATTAATTTTAATGATTTATGGTAATTTTTTTTTGTAATAGGTATTATTTACAATCAATTGACAAAATTACATACTTAGTAACTGTCTAAAATAAATGTTCAACTGTTTTTTTTTATTAAAAATTGATTCTATACAAAACAAATTGTAATTTATTTCATTTATAGTTAATAAAAATTGTTATCATAAAATTGAATTTTATATTAATTAAATCATTAAACAATTTATTATTGATATTAATTTTACCAAATAATAATTAATAACTAGAAAAATGTCTTTAGGAATCAATATAGAAAAATTGTAATGTTAAAATTGTTTGTTTTAATGCTCTATTTTATAATCTTTATTGCAATTTGCTGTATGCGAGTAATGAGCTGTTTTTTAAATATTAAAAGATTAATATATTGATACCATTTGGTTATTAAAAGAAAATTGTATTATACATTATATTTTTAAATGAACTTAAGATTATTTTGAAAATTTATTTTATTCAAAACAAATACATTTCAGATACATTATCTCATTTAATTAATCTATTATAAGTTATTAAAATATTCTGACCTAAAAGTATTGTTTGAAGATTGAAAAAAAATACTAAATGAATTTAAGTTTATCCGATGTTAAAATATAAATGTATGTGTGTAATACTTTATTTTATTTGAACATAAAATCTAGTGAAGTATTAACGAAACATTACAATACATTAAAAACCAATTTTTTCTCCTGTTCCATGTTATCAAAACATTTCATAAACAATTATTTACAATAATAAATATATATATTATTTATTTATTACATAATACAAGGTCTTCCTCAATTAAAACATAAATTTGAATTTAAACTTTATTAATAACTTTTATATTGTACTAAGTCTAAACATAAAACTATACGTTTTAAAGTTCAAATATAACATAAGTTCATATTTGCTTAACATGCCTCTAAATTTTAATTGCTTTTGTATGCTAAAAATATGAACTATTGATTAATAGATTAAATGTTATTGACTAAAGTATTCTATTCATATTTAAAATTATTTTGAAAGTTAAATCTATTCCTTTCATACTCATATATTAATCTGTAAAATACATCCCTCAGAGAATTTATAAATATAAAGCAGTATGGTGTGGGATCCTGTATTATACAATAATACAATTTTTTTTACTTTTTAGATTATTCTCAATACTATGATCCTACATCTATGATTTTAACTGGAGAAACAGTTAGTGATAATAATCAGATTGAAATGACTTCAGAAGTATCTACTATTACTCAAGATCTCACTTTGCTGGCTGAAACAAAAAAGACAATATCAACAGAATCAAAGTTTGGATTTTTTGATCGTCAAATGGCAGAACTGGAACCAAAAGTATGTTTTATGATGAGACTTATACAAGTTATTATAAAAATGTTCAAATGCATTTATTAACAGGTACCGGGTACTAGTGAAAATAAACCACCAGTAAAAAAAGTTATAGAAAATAAAGGTCCACAAAAAGAAAAGAATGCGTGGTTCGGCGGATTAGCTAAATTTTGGAAGCCATCTAATAATGATGATGTAAATATTTATCATTACTTTATCTAGGAGATTTATTAAAATATTTTTACTATAGACTATTGGTGACAATTTTGGGAATGAAACAGTTCAACAAGTCGCCCCTCCTATGGATTCAGAGTTAAATTTTAATCCAGTTGCTAATAGTTCTCCTGCTAATCAAAATCATAATCAATTTAAAATTCTAAGAAAACGAGGTACTAAATATTTTTTATTAATTTTATAAATATACCTTATATAACATTACATAATTTTATCATTATTATAGGAGTAAAAGATATGTATGTAAATGTAATGAGCAATAATAAACCAACAGAAAATATATTAGCACCAGATTCAATATTCGAAACCAATCAAACATCTAAAACTTTTTATAATCCATCACAGTAATTCATATTTATTATACATTTGTTTTGAGGTAATGAAGGTGGTGAATAGAAATAATAAGAAACTTGTAATTTTATTTAAATGCTATTTTCTTTTTTATATAACATGTTACAGTATTTTGTGTATTATTTATTAAATTCCTTATTATTCCAGACCCAAAAATTACTAATGATAAAACAGAATGCCTAATGTACAGTTTTTCAGCATTTATACATTTATATACAATTTTATAGTTATATGGGTCTTAATTTTGTTTGTTTGTGAATTGTTTTTTATTATAGAATATTATATGTAATAGGTATATTTTAATTGTGTAAATTTATTTGTTATTTAATTAGTTAAACATTTGTATTTTGTTGGTTTGGATGATATAAATATATGCCTACTAAATTTGTAATGTTTACAATATGGGGATTAGATAGAATAAAAATAAAAACAATAATTATTTTGTTTATGTATAACTATTTCAACCAAAATAAGACTACTTTTGAATTTAAAATATATTGTTTTATGCGATTTGATATTTAGTTATGTTTCTATCTTAAATATTTAATACTAAACAATGTTTTCAAACATCATGTTTTAACTGGAAATAAAAAAAAAGTACATAATGTAAAATGTTAAATAAAGACTATGATTTAACGATGGTAATATTTAAGCAAACTTAGCCTCGCCTAAAGTTATTTTATTAATGGTTATAAAAAAAAATTTTTTTTTACAGATAATAGCTTTGTATCTGTTGAACAACAATCTTAATATATAAAGTACAATATCTTTCATATTTTTAAATTAGAATCCTAATCATTAAAAATAATTATTTGTTCACAGTAAAAATGTTAAATATAATAAGTAGAAAATGTTGTTTAAATTAGTTCATTATCATTACTGTGTAATATAAAAACATTTAAAATGTATATGGCAGTAAAGAATCCATATTTATAATAAAGATATGTATACAAACAAAATATTAAGTGCTTCAGTAAAAAATATTAAACAATACTAAGTCTAAATAAAAATGTTACACAATTTTTTAAATCTACATCAATTATTTATAAATAAAAAAACTAATTAACCTTTTTGGTAAGTTAGGAGTCTAAACTAAAAATAAATAATTAAACATTATAATCGGTAACTTAATATTTTGAGCTGCAAACAGAATTCTTATTTATCAAAACAATTATTAGTCCATCTTGATCTTGGTTAAAGTATCTAAAATTAAATTGCATGTTAAATATAATTATATAATTTAATATACCAGTTTTATATTACACTAAATTTCTGGCTTTAATTTTTTGGTCGACCACTGGCTTTATACAAGGGCGGCCGTGTGGGCTATGTTTTCCACGGCCAGTAATTATCGTCAGTCTTTTATTTTTGATGTGAGTCTTATTAGCACGTCTCAATAAAGAAATCTGGTAGTCCAAAAATATATTCAATGTTAAAATAGCGTCTTGAACCTAATAAAAAATCTATAATAGTACAAGTTTTTCTTTAACATAAGTTTAAATTATTATTACTGATAAAGAATGTAAATCTAGGACAGAAGCATCATCATGTAGCTTTATAAATGCTAACAGTTTATTAGCCTTAGCTTGATTTTCATTTTGTTTAAATTCTTCTGCCTATACAACAAAGTTAATATACTTATCACCATTTACATTAAGAGAGAAATTTAAATTAATTATTATTAGTAGTAAAATAGTACTATTAGTATAAATTACTTTATTCAAATAATATCGTGTAACTGCAGAATGTTGACTATATCGAATTGACTGATTAGCTTTAATATTATATTTTTTTCTCGAGTGTGCATAGGCTAATTCTTCTTTTTTATAATTCATAACAAGGTTGAATTCATTTTTTACTCCATTAACATAACTTTCCTTGGTTTCCTAATGAGCACATGTAGAACATTATTTTTCTATTATTTAATTTAATATTCAGACATACAATTTCATAAACTCATATTGAGCTTTACATTATTTATTTTAAATAATATACAGAATTTTTTTTCTCATCGTGAACCAGTGATTATCAATACAAAATTTGAATCTATTTAATTTGGTTTTTTTCACACATTATAGAATTTTTAAATAATATTTTTTGGATATAGCAAATAAATATATAAATAAAAAGTCGAGTTTTACATTTAGACTGTGACATACCTGATGATAAACTTTTAATTCGAAATCTGTGGTATCATACACTTATTATAATACTCCAAGCGACACATTCATTTTTTTTTATTTATATATTTATTTACGAGTATTAACCATTTTTATAGTTTTGTTTTTACTTTATTATTTTATTAAATATTATTTGGGTAGTAAGTATGTTATTTTATTATCAAAATTGTACTCTTATTATTTTGTTTTATATATCATAAACACATCAAATATTTTTTTTTTTTATGAAACCATTTAATTCAAAAATAAATACATAGTACATACATAAACTGAGTTTCACAAAACTAAGATTTCATAGTTGTACATCTGCTGTTTCATCCAACTCGTGGTTTGGTTTTATGGTAAAAGTTTTGTCAAATTGTATGTTTATTATTAGGTTATTTGTTATCAGTGCTTATTAAGTAATTAACTAAAATGCAACAGTATAATATAGTAGTGTATTCAATGACAAATAGATTTTATATTTATTCCCATCATTGTTTGAACAATAAATAGCATTTAATTCTTCCAACTTATCAGATAACATTTTTGAAACTTAAAAATTGTAGCATTATAGTAAATAATTCTAAAATTTCTATAAAATTTTTCTCAAAACTAGTTTTTTCACCTTCTGAATTTAGACCAGAGGAGTGGAAGGGAAATAAATGTATAACTCATAAACAGTAGGTATAATATGCAATGCCTTATACATATTAAAATGTTAAAAATGATATAAATAGAAGATTTCTATTTGTAAAAATTAATTTTTGTTATTTGGATGGTATGCAGTATAAAGGTTGTATAGTAAATAAAATTATGAAACAATTCTGTAATGTAACCAAATTTCAACATCTCTAGATAATTGCTGGTTCATGATAAAAGAATTGTCCTATATAATTGCTTACTACACTGTTTTGACTTTCTTGGTTTGTCGAATTTTTGATTTTGAAACCACTTAACTCATTTAAAGCATCATCCTATAAAGAACAATTGCACAATTGTTAGTGTTTAGTGTTATCTACCAATCGGTATTTGGCAATGACAAAGACCAATAGGTAGTGACTTACACATAACAACAAAAATTGTTAGGTAGATCATACATAACAGCTGTATCGAACAATTAAATTTATAAAGCGATACACATAAAAAAATATTTATATTTATTTACTTGAATCTTTTTGTTTTTAGCCCGAACAGCTTCAGCAAATGTGATTTGTCCCTTGTATTTAAATAGAAATTACATTTAAATATTAGTATTTTATAATAAATTATATATTAATATAAATGTATACTCACAGAATAAGGTCTTTGAGCGTCATATTTTTCCTGCAGCTTTCTTGCAAATATTTCATCTAGTTGTGTGATAAATGTAAAATAGATAAAAGTTAAATTTAAAAATAGATTATTCAAAATTATATAATAAAAGGAAGTGTTTGTGTGTGCGTGCGTGTCTGAAATATACAGCAAAATCTAAGACATACAGAGATCTGAAATGCTGAACATAAACGGATGGGGTCTGACAGTATCTCGAAGATGGACTCCTAAATTTAAATCTTTACATGGATTCTCTTAGTTGCATAAATAACAATACAAAATTAAAATAAATGGTAAACTATATAAATGTTTTATTTGTATTAATTTAGTTGTCATAGGCAGCACTGTGAAAGACACCGCTAGTCTAAAATATAAAAAAAATTAACATTCCAATAATATAAATACTTAACATACTATAGTAATAACTAATAAATTAATATGTTATGATTAAAACTTTATTTAATTTATTAAATAGCAAATAAAATTATTGTATATACCTAATTAATAAATGTTTAAAGAGAAACATAATTTATAAACATGTTACATGTATATCAATTTATAATAAATTCTCTAAATATTTTAAAATAAATAAAGATAAACTTGATCTAATAAGGCCAACTAACAGCAATTTTCATAATAATAATTTACACCATTACTCTAATGGTAAGATGAAATAAGTATACTAGGTGTTATTAAATAAATAAAAGTTAATGTTATTAGGTAGGTAATTTATGTTAAACCCTATTTATGGCAATATTTATGTAAATATATTATTTAATTTACTTTAAACAATGGTGTAGATTGATTAAACGTTAGAGTTAGACAATCTCTGCGCAATTACATTATGAAATACAGAATATAATTGCAGGTGTAGTTAGTTTTGTCGAAATAAAAATGACACTATTAAAATCTATTACGTGCATTCGGCGATTGAGTAATAGTAGAGCACTTTAGATATTTTATATTTAAAGTTAATATGGAAAAGATTAATGGGCCTCACTGAAAAAACTCCTGGAGGCCCAGGGTAATAGTGCTTTAGTAATGGTCAAGCAGGAGCATCTATAATAGCAATGTTTAATTTATTAAACATTTAACAAGATATTAACTGCTACCCTATAGTTATAAAAAATACTCTAATTGAAGTGTATGCCAAATGATGAATGGTCATGAGTGGAGAATCAATATAAAAATAAATCCAGTAAAACTTAGAAATATTTTCTGAACTCTCAAGCTAAGAACATTGAGTAGCAGTATTGGAATTCTAAATATCCAACCTGTGTTCTAACACAGAACTTACTAATTAGTATCAGAAAGCTTTTAAAGAGGAAAGCAGTTAAAACTCACTAGCTACTCTCTTCACAAAACCAAGTATCTTGAGAATTCTGCAACTAAACGAGTAATGACTTCCATATTATGACAAAAATTCAAGCTGGAAGTAAAACTAATACTGAGTTATTTTTTTTAGGAAAACTTAATATTATATTGACAATGATATTAATTGAAAGTGAAAATTAAATAGAAGAAATGTGTCCAATTCGTAGAATACTAGAAAATACAAAATATATATAGATAGGGATTTAAACTCATTAAAATTTGTAAGAGAGACTCTTCTAAAAGAGAGTTTCTCAAGAGTTTATTATAATCATAGGCGTGGCAGCTAAACATTATACAAATGATTAATAATTAGAGTTAGTAAAATACTTGAATTTGTTGAGTTTTTTTAAGTCGAGTACTCAACTTTGTCTCAGTTAACTTTTTTGTTGGCTTTGGTTAGGTTAACTTATAGTATAGTAAACTTTTACTATAGTTAAATAAAATATATATATATAAATACATAAACTTTTTATAGTAACTCGAGTACTTGAATTAATACCCACCACACATTAAAAATATAACCAGGTGATGGATAGTAAAGAATCTGTTGTGTGCAGTCAGCCGTCTAGTTTCATGTTCCACAAACTAAATTAAAATATATATATATATATTATAGGATGCTGAGTTAATGAGTGTATCCTGTTTTAAGAACACACATTTTAAAACCTTTTCAGACAGTTTGTATTTAATGTCTTTCTTTTATATATTAAATTAATTTAATATTTTAACTTATAATTTTTAAGCTTTATAATTGAAAATTGTGTTTATATTTCTACTGAAATTCAAGAATATGGTTGACTGCATTTAATAAGTAAGTATTTTAAAAAAGATGTATCTTTCTAAATATAATCACTTTGTAAAATACTTCAGCATACATACGCCTATAATTATAATATAATATAATACAAATATGTTTGAACAATACAATTAGAAAAAAACAATATTAAAATGACTGAAACATGGATATTTATTATTGTATCAGAAATATTTTTTATATTAAAATTTAACATTATTTACCAATTAATAATTTGTCTTGGTCATAAATTCTCGTAGGTACATTTGCAATTAAACAACAATATAGTTCTTCTGCTAACTTTTCAGGTATTTTCACAGACATTGGTAGTTTACTTTTATCTAAACCCAAATAGTTAAAAATAATATTAATCTTTTAATATCTAATATAAATTTATATTTATTTAAAAATTAAAATATTTATTGTACATACTCAAATCTGAAGAAACATCGCCAAAATAATCACATAATTGGGTCAGCACTGAAGTATCTATAGCCAGCTCGACTAACTTTTCCTTATTGTTGTGTTCTGGTATTATGTCTACATCAACAGTTTCAGATATTGGCGGTATAACATCATTTTTGTCCAACATATTATGATTTTCTTTTGACTGTTTTATTTTTAATATATGCTCAGGATATAAAGAATCATCAAACGTAAATTTATTTTCAATATTTTTTCTCAAATCACTAATATAGTTTGGATTTGTTGTTTGCAATTCGTTTTCTTTCAAATCTATTTTCTTTTTTCTTTTTTTACGTTTCTTTTTATTTTCACCTTCTTGTATAGATGTATTTTCAGTAAATGTAACAGTATTTGATTGTAAATCCAAAGATGTTCTATGTAAATCTTGTTCAATTTTTACATTATTTTGTTTGGACTTTTCAATATTATCTCCAACGTCAATACTTTTAGTAAAATCATTTTCTTTAAACTGAATTAAACTGTACAGTCTTTGCTTTGATATATAATCATG